GTACATCACTGACTTCAAATTACCCTATAAAAAATCCCATGGTGTTAGGCTCGGAGACCTAGCAGGCCACTAGATTGTCCCTCGTTGGCAATATCACCGTAAAATTTGAAATAAACTACCAAACAACTTTTATTAAAATCATTTTTTAATATTTTCGATATTTCAAAAGTAAACTCAATATTTCAAACTTTTGAGCCACCCTGTATAGTCGTGTCAATTTTAGTTCTCTTAAAATTAACAACAACTTTGGAGGTCTGTAGTTTTGTTATTTTTTACCCAATTTGAAAAATAATTATATCAAATGCTAGATACCTAATTAAATACACTTTGAAAAAATGTAAATATCCTAAAATTATATTATCAGTTGGATTTTAAATGTGTTTGTTAAGAAACTAAAAACTATCGACAAAAATTATTTAGACAATTAGGAAAAAACCGGTATCTAAAAATACTTTTTTAATGCATACCTAGATAAAAAATAATTTACTTGTTTATGTCTTGAAAACAAAACAATTTTGATTTTGAACTGTTTCAATTATAATTTGGAATTTTTCCAAAATAAACGTAAATTATTAATAATTGTAGTCACCTTAAAGAATTTTTAAGTTTTTACCAGAAAGAAAAACTATTTCTTAAATATAAGTGCGCCATTTTCGGATCACCCTGTACATAAAAAACATACGTTCCTGAAATTTATTACGTAGTTTTTTCATAGTCAAAATGTCTTATTTTTACTACCTATAAATATAAATTGCAAAACCGTACTTAATTGCATAAAAAAAATTGGATAGAATTCGGAGACACTCTGTAAGTATCAAATATTTACTCGAAAACAACGTCAAAGAAAATTTCATAAAAGCATCTGAAAAATTCCCACAAGTTAATCGAGCTTTTAAGAAGGATGCTTTCGACCTTGGAAGGCCGTTGGGGACAAACAAAAAAAAATAAAAAAGACGACCGCCTCTGCTCGTTTGTTTTATTAAATCCAACAGGTGCCCGTCGGTGCACAGTGGGGGGTGAATGCTAATTAATATAATATGGCCCAACGTATAAAATACAAAGTATGTGTAGTTTTTAATGTCTGTGTTTAAGCACATTTTTTTGTGAATTTTCATTTTGAAATTCTGTTAGGTTCGGTATATTATATTTATTTTCGTGTCATAAAACCCTGTACACAATTTCAATGCCCCCTTATCAAAACAACAACTTAATTCACACAAAACATACATAGGTAAAAGATAATTTTAAAACTGTTAACACCGATAATAAAATTCTTTACCTAAAATGTTATCTCCTCCAAACATAATTACAAATAAATACAAAAAAAACGGTGATGATTAACGCTGCGCATTGTCCTCTGTATCACCGGCAAGGCAAAAAATCGTTTTTACTTTTACATAACATAACTTAAAATGTGACTAAACGTAAAACGCGGCAGTTTTATTATTTCTTATATCATTCGCGACCGGGTTAATACTTTTAGTTGCTTCCTAATTGTGTAGTGTGTCGTTTGTCCATAACCGTTTAATTTTCGTTTGTTTAATGAATTGTTGTTGTGTACAGTTTTCTGTCCCGATGTGCACGTGTCTACGCGTCTGCGCCTCCTATGTCGTGCACAATCTTTTCAATTGTTATTGTTCGTCCGAGGTGAGCGATTTTTTTTGTTTTGTTTTTGAGTTTTTGGTTGATTTATTTTGATTGGCTGGCTTGGCTGCAATGTGCTGTTTTATACGCGTTTTGGTAGTTTTGCTGTTAAAATAAAATATAAAGTCTATGGGTGATTCTCAAAATAACTACACTTTCGGTTTATTATTTTTTTAATACTAAAAAGTTTGGTAATATTATTACAATAGCATTTTTGTAAAGCTTTAGTTAAATCCTAAACTAAAATAAGATTGATATTGCATGCAAACCTTAATTTTTCTATTTATGGGTAAATTATGTCCACAGAAAAGACGTCCACTGAATGGACATCTATGTATATTATTCTCTATAAGAAAGGTAAATTTTAGGTTATGCCTTCGCATTTGTCATGTGCCAAAAATAAAAACTTTGACAATAATAATGATAATAATTAGAAAATAATTCAATACTTACTGTTTGAAATATAATTGTAACAGAAAGGACAGCCTATGCTTCTACACTGGAGCCTCGTACATAAACATGAACGCTTCTTTACAACCTTTCAAAAAAGAACTGACAAGGGCGACTTAAATAACAAATGACAGATTTTTTAATGACATAAAATTAACGGTTGACGTGAGTGGCGCGAAATACTTTTGAAATTTTGCACTTACAAATAAGTCCTCGGAATGGATCGAAACTGGTAACGTATAAGTGACTAAACTACAATATTAAATAAAAAAGAATAAAAAGGAATATGAACCATATCTATGTATTTTTGGGGTATTTAATAATAATGGCAATTTCTTAGGTTTTTTTAATATGCAGGCTTTTCACTACATTAACTGAAACTTACCAACACGATATAGTCACGTTCCACGGAAAGGACAATATCTCTATTCAGATCAGTTTTTTGGGCGGTATTTTTTTTTCTTATTTTTTTTTTACTTAAAGTACTGTTAGTTAACGTTGTGTACTTTAAAAATGTTACTTATTTTTACCATTTTTTTTTTAATATGGGAGAAAAAAACACGTCACGCAAAGATTGTAGTTATTTTGAGAATAACCCCTATGTTTTATAAAATAACAATAAAAACATTTCGTTTCATTTGTAAATTTTATTGGAAAGCATTTTTGTGCTGGAAATAAGAAAGACCTTGTATTTTCATGAAAACCCATTTTTTCATATTTATACACGGTGTTCGGTTATTTTAAGCACCAATCTGATGATACAATAATAACCGAAAAATAAATCTTTACATTTTTTAATTATTAAAATTATGGAGTTAGTTTAGGACACCCTGTATGTTTCTACCGAATTTGCACAAACATATTACAAATAATGGATTAATTCCAAATGAAATTTAAATATGTTATCACCAATATTATTTATTATATGTTTTAAAACTTTTGGGGTTCTATTTAAAATATTTCAAAAACTAATAAAGTTGTAAAAATGTAATTAAAATATGTTATTTTCACCAATATTATCTACAGTAGTAAATATATTTATTGGAAAAACCAAAAGGCTATTGACCGAAGTCTTTCTGCCTTATATTATCTACATTTTTGCCAAATTTTAACTTTTTAACTCTAATACTTTTTAAAATATTAGACAAACAAATTTTGCAAACAAAAAATCATAAATTTTACTACACTTTTGGGGATGTGTCCAAAATATTTGAAAAACTATTGAAGATGTAGAGATGAAATTTAAATATGTTATCACCAATATTATCTACATTTTTGCCAAATATCAACTTTTTAGCTCCAATACTTTATAAAATATTAGACAAACAAAAGTTGTTTCTAGCTCTAATACTTTTTAAAATATTAGATAAAACAAATATTGGAAACAAAAAATCATAAATTTTACTACACTTTTGGGGATGTATCCAAAACATTTCAAAAACTATTGAAGATGAAAAGATGAAATTTAAATATGTTATTATCACCAATATTATCTACATTTTTGCCAAATATCACTTTTTATCTCTAATAATTTTTAAAATATTAGGCGAACGAATTTTGGAAACAAAAAATCATAAATTTTACCACACTTTTGGGGTTGCATCCAAAATATTTTAAAAACTATTGAGAAGATGTAAAGATGAAATTTAAATATGTTATTATCACCAATATTATCTACATGTTTGCCAAATATCAACTTTTTATCTCTAATACTTTATAAAATATTAGACAAACAAATTTTGTAAAATATTAATTTCATCACACTTTTGAGGTTGTATGCAAAATATTTCAAAAACTATTAAAGTTGTAAAAAAATGTATATATGTTATTATCGCTAATATTATCTACATTTATGCCAATTTGAAATTTTTTTAAAATATGAACCAAACAAATTTTGGAAACAAAAAATCATAAATTTTACTAAATTTTTGGGGTTGTATATAAAATATTTCAAAAACAATTGAAGATGTAAAGATAAAATTTAAATATGTGATCATCTCTAGTATTATCTACATTTAAGTCAAATTTTAACTTTTTAGCTCTAATACTTTTTAAAATATTGGACAAACAATTTTGTAAACAAAAAATCATAAATTTTACTACTACTTTTGGGGTTGTATACAAAATATTTTAAAAACTATTGAAGATGTAAACAAAATTATAAATGTTATTATCAACAATATTTTCTAATTTTTTTCCAAAATTCAACTTTATTGCTTTAATAATTGTTAAAATATTAGACAAACAAATATATTACACAATAACATGTTTTTAGTATATTAATTTTGAAACAAATATGTTTATTCTTATTTATTTTTAATTTTAAAAATGCTTATTTTTGTATTTGTCAATAAAACAATTAACAGTTTGAAAATTATAAAAATCAATATATTACCAAACAAAAGTTCTATAAGTAAATTATTAGACCATAAGTGGACGACGCCTGACGTCACACGGCGTCGTCTAATGACGTAAGTTGTACCCAAAGTATTCAGTATAAAATAATTACTATGCACTAGAGGGTGGTCCTTTATTTTATTAATAAATACACTATGGGACAACTTAGTTTTAATTTTTTTTTGTATGTCAACCAATTCCCATTTTCTTATCATGTTATGTCAGTAACAATGTAAATTCAAAGAGATTCCCACGAGCTATCTAATATCAGGATATAATTTTTAATAAGAATTAGTAGTGATAAGCTGGTGTTATTTGCTGAACAATTAAAATTACAATAGTTATAAAAGATAAATATGTTTTGGTCAAGCAAAAGTTTAGTATGTAATTTCAGCCGTTTTAGTCGTTATTTCCTGATAATATTGTGGTATTTATATACAGGGTGTTCCAAAATTGGCGCCCAAGACGAAATTTCCAAAAAATCACTTTTTTAATGTGTTGTTTTTCAGCATATAAAAGATGAGCTCAACGAGGTGGTGTCGGAAATGGAGTCTCTCGATACGGGAGAAGACGGCAAAAACAGCAACAAGACCAAAATGTTGTCGATCGGCCGGAAAAAGTTCAACATGGACCCGAAGAAAGGCATCGAGTTTTTGATAGAAAAGGGGCTGCTGCAGCAAACGGCCGGCGATGTTGCCCAGTTTCTTTACAAAGGGGAGGGTCTGAACAAAACCGCCATCGGCGATTATTTGGGGGAGAAGAACGATTTCAACGAAAAAGTTCTTCAGTCCTTCGTGGATCTGCACGATTTCACGGATTTGATCCTAGTGCAAGCTTTAAGGTACCTAACTATCATTTAAATAAATTCTTAAAATAAAGGCATTTCTTTTTAGACAATTTCTGTGGAGCTTCCGACTGCCGGGGGAAGCCCAGAAAATCGACCGCATGATGGAGTGTTTTGCGAAGAGGTACTGCGACTGCCAGGGGGAGAACAACATCTTCGAAAATTCCGACACCTGCTACGTTCTCTCCTTCGCCATCATCATGTTGAACACGAGTCTGCACAACCCCAGCGTCAAAGAGAAACCGTCGATAGAGCAGTTTGTTAATATGAACAGGGGAATCAATCAGGGGTCTGATTTGCCCAGGGAACTTTTAGTGGTGAGTGCTTTTTTGATATTTTTTTATATTGTGTTTATTATCTACATTTTTGCCAAACATCAACTTTTTAGCTCTAATACTTTTTAAAATAATAGACAAACAATTTTTGGTAACAAAAAATCATACATTTTACTACACTTGTGGGTTTGTAGACAAAATATTTCAAAACCTAATAAAAATGTAAATATAAAATTTAAATTTGTCGTTATCACCAATATTATCTACATATTTGCCAAATATCAACTTTTTAGCTCTAAAATATTGGTCAAACAAATGTTGAAAAAAAAAATCATAAATTCTACCACACTTTTGGGGTTGTATCCAAAATATTTCAAAAACTATTGGAGATGTAGAGATCAAATTTAAAAATGTTACTATCACCAATATTAATATAATTATCTACTTTTTAGCTCTAATACTTTTTAAAATATTTGGAAAACTAATTTTTGAAACAAAAAATCATTAATTTTACCACACTTGTAGTGTTGTATCTAAAATATTTTAAAAACTATTGAAGATGTAAAGATTAAATTAAAATATGTTATTATCACCAATATTCTCTACATTATTGCCAAACATCAACTTTTTAGCTGTAATAGTTACTTTATAAAATATTAGACAAACAAATATTGGAAACAAAAAATCATAAATTTTGGGGTTGTGTTTGCAAAATATTTAAAAATATGTTAAATATGTAAAAATGAAATTTGAATATGAATATTTTCTACGTTTCTGCCAAATTTCAACTTTTTAGCTCTAATACTTTATAAAACAAACAAATATTGGAAACAAAAATTCATAAATTTTGGGGTTGTTTGCAAAATATTTCAAAAAGTATTAAAGTTGCTAAAATGAAATTTAAAATGTTATCACCAATATTATCCACATTTTTGATAAACAACTTTTTAGCTCTAATACTTTATAAAATATTATACAAACAAAATTTGTTGGAAACAAAAAATCATAAATTTTACTACACTTTTTTGGTTGTATCCAAAATATTTTGAAAATGAAAAATAAATATGTTATAACATAATAATAATATATCATCAATATTATCTACATGTTTTTCAAATATCAACTTTTTAGCTCTAATACTTTTAAAATATAAGGCAAATTTTGGAAACAAAAAATCATAAATTTTACTAAACTTTTGGGGTTGTATCCAAAATATTTGAAAAACTATTGAAGATGTAAATATGAAATTTAAATTTGTTTTCACGAATATTAGCCACAAATATTAACCTTCTAGCTCTAATACTTTTTAAAATATTAGACAAACAAATATTGGAAACAAAAAATCATTAATTTCATCAAAATATGTTATTATCTGCAATATTATCCAAATTTTTGTCAAATTTCAAATGTTTAGCTGTAATACTTTTTAAAATATTATACAAACAAATGTTATAAACAAAAAATCATAAACTAATGAAGATGTTAAGATGAAATTTAAATTTGTTATTATCACCAATATTATCCACATTTTTGCCATATGTCATCTTTTTAGCTCTATACTTTTTATACTTTTTAAAATATTAGACAAACAAACTTTGGGGTTGTATCAAAAATATTTTAAAAACCATTGAAGATGTAAATATGAAATTTAAATTTGTTATTATCACGAATATTAGCAACAAATATTAACCTTTTAGCTCTAATACTTTTAAAAATATTAGACAAACAAATGTTGGAAACAAAAAATCATTAATTTCATCACACTTTTGGGGTTGTATCCAAAATATTTCAAAAACCAATGAAGATGTGTAAAGATGAAATTTAAATATGTTATTATCACCAATATTATCCACACTTTTGCCAAATATCAACTTTTTAGCTCTAATACCTTTTAAAATATTAGACAAACAAATTTGGAAACAAAATTCATAAATGTTAATACATTTTTGGGATGGTATCTAAAAATTTCAAAAACCACTGAGGATGTAATGATCAATTTTAAATATGTTATCACTAATGTTATCTACATTTTTGGCAAATTTAAACTTTTTAGCTATAATACTTTTTAAAATATTAGACAACAAATTTTGGAAACAAAAAATCATAAATTTTACCACACTTTTGGGATTGTATCCAAAAACTAATGAAGATGTAAAGGGGAATTTTAAATATGTTGTTATCACCAATATTCTCCAAATTTTTGCCAAATATCAACTTTTTAGCCAACCAAATGTTGGTAACAAAAAATCAAAACGCTTTTGGATTGCATAAATGTTATTAGATGTTCACACATAAAAAGCTCAAATAATATATCTCTTTATTTCTTGATCCAGAGCCTGTACGAGAGCATAAAAGCGGAACCGTTTAAAATCCCCGAAGACGACGGTAACGACCTCATGCACACGTTCTTCAACCCGGACAAGGAGGGCTGGCTGTGGAAGCAGGGCGGCCGCTACAAGTCGTGGAAGCGGCGCTGGTTCATCCTCAACGACAACTGCCTCTACTACTTCGAGTACACCACCGACAAGGAGCCCAGAGGCATCATCCCGCTGGAGAACATCTCGATCAGGGAGTGCGCCGATCGGCAGAAGCAGCACTGCTTCGAGCTGTACGCCAGCGGCGGCGCGGACTTCATCAAGGCCTGCAAGACGGACAGCGAGGGCAAGGTCGTGGAGGGCAAGCACACGGTCTACAGGATGTCGGCCTCTTCGGACGAGGAAAGGAAGGAGTGGATCATGAGGCTGACGCAAAGCATAAGCCACAACCCTTTCTACGACATGTTGGCCACGAGAAAGCGCAAGGCGCAGCTGAATCCTTGAGTTTGAGGACGAGTTATGTATTTTGTAAGTGTGTACATTTTTATTTCTTTTTTTGGTCACTTGGTACTATTTATTAAATATATTTAATAAGTATCTAACATTTTGCCTTGTTCTTTTGTAAATATTTCAAAAACTATTAAAGTTGCAACAATAAAATTTAAATACGTTATTAACCTCAATATAATCTACATTTTTGCCAAATTTTAACTTTTTAGCTCTAATACTTTATAAAATATTAGACAAACAAATATTGGAATCAAAAAATCTTAAATTTTGGGGTCGTTTGCAAAATATTTCGAAAACTATTTAAGTTGTAGAAATGAAATTTGAATATGTTATTATCACCAATATTATCCACATTTTTGCCAAATTTCAACTTTTTATTTCTAATACTTTATAAAATATTAGACAAACAAATATTGAAAACAAAAAATCATAAATTTTGGGGTTGTTTGCAGAATATTTCAAAATCTAATAAAGTTGCAAAAATGAAATTTGAATATGTTATTAATACCAATATTTTCTACGTTTCTGCCAAATTTTAACTTTTTAGCTCTAATACTTTATAAAATATTAGACAAACAAATATTGGAAACAAAAAATCATAAATTTTGGGATTGTTTGCAAAATATTTCAAAAACTATTAAAGTTGTAAAAATGAAATTTAAATATGTTATTATCGCCAATATTATCTACATTTTTGCCAAATTTTAACTTTTTAGCTCCAATACTTTATAAAATATTAGACAAACAAATATTGGAAACAAAAAATCATAAATTTTGGGGTTGTTTGCAAAATATTTCAAAAAATATTTAAGTTGTAATAATGAAATTTTAATATGTTATTATCACCAATATTATCCACATTTTTGCCAAATTTCAACTTTTTATCTCTAATACTTTATAAAATATTAGACAAACAAATATTGGAAACAAAAAAACATAAATTTTGGGATGGTTTGCAAAATATTTCGAAAAATTTTAAAGTTGCAAAAATGAAATTTAAACATGTTATTAACACCATTATTATCTACATTTGCCAAATTTAAACTTTTTAGCTCTAATACTTTATAAAATATTAGACAAACAAATATTGGAAACAAAAAATCATAAATTTTGGGGTTGTTTGCAGAATATTTCAAAATCTAATAAAGTTTCGAAAATGAAATTTGAATATGTTATTAACACCAATATACGTTTCTGCCAAATTTCAACTTTTTATCTCTAATACTTTATAAAATATTAGACAAACAAATTTTGGAACAGAAAATCATAAATTTTGGGGTTGTTTGCAAAATATTTCAAAAACTATTAAAGTTGTAACAATGAAATTTTAATATGTTATTATCACCAATATTATTCACATTTTTGCCAAATTTCAACTTTTTAGCTCTAATACTTTATAGAATATTAGATAAACAAATATTGGAAACAAAAAATCATAAATTTTGGTGTTTGCAAAATATTTCAAAAACTATTAAAGTTGGAACAATGAAATTTAAATATGTTATTATCACCAATATTATCCACATTTTTGCCAAATTTCAAATTTTTAGCTCTAATACTTTATAAAATATTAGACAAACAAATATTGGAAACAAAAAATCATACATTTTGGGGTTGGTTGCAAAATATTTCAATATTAAATATTTAAATTTGTAAAAATAAAATTTGAATATGTTATTATGACCAATATTATCTACATTTTTGACAAATTTTAAATTTTTAGCTCTAATACTTAGACAAACAAATATTGGAAACAAAAAATCATAAATTTTGGTCACCGATAATATTATCCACATTTTTGCCAAATTTCAACTTTCACCAATAATATTATCCACATTTTTGCCAAATTTCAACTTTTTAGCTCCAATACTTTTTAAAATATTAGACAAACAAATATTGGAAACAAAAAATCATAAATTTTGGGTTTGTTTGCAAAATATTTCAAAAACTATTAAAGTTGCAAATATGAAATTTAAATATGTTATTGTCACCAATATTATATTTTTATATTTTTTGCCAAATTTCAAATCTGTAGCTCTAATACTTTTTAAAATATTGGACAAACAAATGTTGGAAACAAAAAGCCATAAATTTCACTACAATTTTTTGTTTTTATCAGGAAAATTATGTAAGATAGAAAGTTAAGAATTTGGTAGGTTTTTGGGGTTAAATAAATATCTTTACTTTTCACAAAGTTTGTATCCCAAACAGTTTCTGAAATATTGGACAAAATGTTTTAAAAGTTGAGTTTAATACAGTCTAGGGACCGGCAAAACTAAAGAATTTGTACACAAAAGTTGTTTTTTTTGTGAACTGTCTTTACCCACATTTTTTTTTATAAAAACTAGATTTTTTTTCTGGTTTTTCTTAAACTTAATTTTCTGCTGAAAACTAGACCATTTTTACAATTCTAGTTTTTATCGTTTTTGTTTTGTAAAAATTTTAAATCACATTTAATAAATTTCGGGTTTTTTTATTATTGCGGAGTTGATGAGAGATTTTGCGCGATTTTAGGTTTATCGAAAAAATAATCAAAAACTGGAAATTGTTGCTATACAGGGTGTTGAAAGGATTAAGTTATTACAATGAAAATTAAACTATAAAAACAATAAAAGTTGAGTTATTTGTACACCCTGTATGCAACATGTTTTTGTGGATCATGTTGAAGTTTTTGTATAGAAAAAGAAACGTGTAATAGTTTTGTACATATAAATATTTGTACCTGCTATCAAATGCGTTTGAAATATCGTATGTTATAGAAAAGTATTTTTTACTTTGTTAAATTGTGTATAATGAAAATAGTACAGGTATGGTGAAATATTTTTAAAACGGTGCTTATCGCAAAAAGTATCAACGAAAATTATTTTTAGGGGAAATTAATTTAACAGCGTTAATTTTTTTTTCGCGTTTCATTGCGTGGCACTGTAAATCTTTGCAAAATTATTTGTAATTGTTGTACATAGTTTTTTTGTTGATATGGCACAAGAAATTGTATAAGACTGCATATTGACAAAAAATTGCAAGATTTATAGTTTTTAAGGCACTGAAACATGCATTATTGTACAGTTATATATTTATATACATATATATAAATTATTTTATTTACTAGTCTATTTAATTTTTTATTATATTTGTATATCATAGATAGAAATTATTTGTTTCTAATTATTTATTTATTTTTTCTTTGTAAGGAACATATACATATGTATATACATGTATGTATGTATATAGTCCTTTCAGTATCACATCAATTGATTGTATATATTGTATATTTTTGCAACATTATTTGTATATACGCAACTATTTTGTTTTTGTATAATTTATTATGTAAATAAAATTTGCAAATTTGTAGTTTTGACTTTTATTTCCTAGTTACCTCAGTTATAAAAGGTAAGTTTATCAATAAAATATAATAAATACAATAAAATATTTACACACACAAATAAGTTAAAATTAAAATAAAAAGGTATGCATAATTTTTTTAAATACGGTTACTGTTAAACGCAAAAATCCTCGAAATACCGCTTTTTATCAAAATGCCACAGATTACATGCCATGATCTCATAGTGCAACCTTTCTTAAAAAAAAAACTTCTGGGTTGCGTTTAAATGATAGTCGACAATAAATTTTATTGCAATGGCTTTTTTTTCGTTTTACTGTTTTAAGTTACTTAACTTAAGTAAGACTTATATTGCTTACATTGATTAAAACAAACTAAACTAGTTATAAATGTAATTGTGGTTATGTTATTATTATTGTAGGTATCATTGAACAGTTGTAAAGTTGAGTTGAGTCAAAATTCGTAATTAAAAATTCAATTAATTTGGCTTTGGTGGTACGTAGATGAATAAAATCATATAAAAAAGTAGTTAAATATAGGTGACTATGGCCCAGGAGAGACAAAGTATTCCTAGCTTTGAAAAGAATTTATAAAAAAAAATTAAAATTTTACTAAACACACGTGAATGATGTCCAATCATTGTAGGTACTCCAATGGAATGGGTATTTTGTTTAAGCCACTGAACGTTAATACTTGTAGTGGGTAAATAATAATTATAATGTACCTTTATATTGTCCATTATGTATATTATTAATGATGAGTAACTTGCAAATTGAAAGAAGAAAAAGTTTCGTGATTATTCTTATTCAGAGAGGAAAAATAACTACTAGATTTTTTAAAAAAGTTTAACCTAATTTTTGTTTTTTTATTTCACCTTTATTTTTAAAAATTTTTGATCTGCCTAGCTGAAAATAATGTGTGATTTTATATTTGTAAAACCAAAATCGTTAATTTTTTACTCCAAAAATGTCAGCCAATTATAAGGTCCTCTAGAATTTGTCAACTTATACCCCAAAATTTTTGACGTCAAATTCCGAATAAAAAATACGAACTGTAACTTTTTTTACGCACTTTAATGCAGCTAATTTTTGTGAAGTTGTAAAGGAAAGCTTACTGAAAAATTTGTCATCTAGAAAACCCTTGTAAATCGTAGAAAATTGTATATTAATTAATTCACCAAAGTGTCTTAAAAACGTTATAGGTAACTTTTAATTTAGATTTAATTGGCTATAAAAATGCTCATTCTTTAATAGATGAATAGGTAGTTACTTTAAACATATTTACCTACAACAATTATATATTTAAAGGTCGTTTTAAAAATATGGAGCATAAAATTTTAGTTTTAAAAACATTAAAACAGATGTAGGTAATTTAAAAAAAACACGGTAGGTATAAAGTTTTTAAAAGGTAGGTAAGTTTATCAATAAAATATAATCTAACAACAAATAAATACAATATATATACAACTATTTAGTATCGCAAACATCTTGAAATTAAACCTTTACTTTAATAAAATTATTTATGATCTGTATACCTATTAGGTAAGTAAGCAAAAAACGCTTTTGATTAAAATGCCATAAATATCGAACATCCCATAGTGCGTAAAATTATGCAACCCATATTACAGAAATTGCATGCTGGTTGCGTTCAGATTGTTGTTGACATAATAAAAGTGAGGTTGGGGTGTCGTGAAAGTAATTATAATTTCTCGTTTCCTTTGATTTTTTCGTTGATTTTCTCTGTAAAATGCACAGAGGTGATAAAATGGAGGAAACTACGTTGCAATTACTGGATTTCGCCGAAACAAAGCTGGAGGAAACCGATCACGATTATTCTGCAAAAAAGTATGAAACGGATATAAAATCGGAAGGTTTTTTGGAAAATTATATAGACGAACCCGAGAATTTGCCTGGGTACAATGAATTAAGGTACGAAGAAGACATAGAAATGAATAACGACAGTGGAAACATTGAGGACGAGATTCACACAGTCAAGTGTACTACGTGTAAAATGAACTTCATCAACAATGTACAGTTGAATATACACAATATGGTGCACCAAAAGTGCGACAAGTTTTTCTGCTGCGACATCTGCAAACGCAAAATACAAAATAAATACAAGTTTGAGGAGCACATTCAAAAGCACATGTGTTTGAAGCCTTTTGTGTGCGGGCACTGTAACGAGAGGTTTAGCAGCAGCAAAGACACCAAAATTCACATGCAAACCCACACAAATAGGCCTTTTTCTTGCAATTTGTGCGAGAAATGTTTTACAAGCAAAGGTAGCCTCATGGCGCACAAAATTATGCATATGCCCTCAAATAAGTTTAAGTGCAAGGTAAGATATGTTTTTTACTTAACCAACTAATTATTGACAAGATTTTAATTATTTTATTAAAAAATTATCCGCGTAAATTCGTTTTTACCCCATTGTGCAGTTTCGCGCAGTGTGACAAAACACAAATTTACTCGGACAAATAATGGCACAACTTAAAAAAAATTTTTTTTAGTTTTGTCGCATTGACTTTCCATCGAAATTAAGTTTGCAACTGCACGTTTCGAAGTTCCACGACATGGTTAAATCATACAGAAACCTTTCGCTTCCTGGTATCGCCGGCAATGGTTTTAAATGCACCCATTGCGACAAAATTTACATGTCCAAATCCAGCCTTAAAGTTCACAACTTAAGTCACGCGACGCGCGTGCAGAAAATTGTTGTTGTGAAGTAATTCGTTTTTTAAATATTCATCCTCACTTGCCTCGGTGCGCTGATACAACTAAAAAAATGCTGTGATAACAGTTATTTTTATTGAAATTGTATTGTTTTCCTACTATTATTTATATTGTATTTAAATTAATGTTTATAGTTTAGTTCATTTGGAGTTTCTTTTTTTTAAGAAACACCCTGTATATTGGAGATTTTAAGCTTATTTTAGCTTATGTTGGTGTGGTTATAGATTAATATTCAAATATACTCATTATATAAGCTTTTTATTATATAAAAGTACTTTTATTTTTCCTAAATAATGGTTTCTTCGCACTGTGCGTGACGTACATATGAAACAAAGTAAGCAACCAAGATTACAGTGGAATTTGACACAACGTTAATGACGTTTATTTTTGAGGTTAAAATCAATATTTTTATTGATTTTCCGACTAAAACAGTGAAAATGGAAAGTTTTGTTCAAGAATACATAAAATCGGCCGCCGATTTTCTCGAAATTCAACTGGAATCAGAAGAAAACACTATCAATACAAAATATATTAATGAAAACTCTGAAAAACCGGAAATAATAGAAATAAACCCAGATATCAACATAGTAACTGACTATAAACATTTTTGCCTATTATGCAGCAAGAATTTCGAGTCGCAAAAATATTTAAAAGCCCATATGAAAAGACATGGAAAAAACACTCGTAAAAATATTGAATACAAACATTTCTGCACTGTGTGTGGACGTAATTTCGAGAAGGAAAAATATTTAGTGGCACACATGAAAAATCATGGGGAATTGGGTAAAATTTTCCAATGTAATTTTTGCGTGAAAGCGTTTTACTCCAATAAAGATTTAATCGAGCATACTGGGTTGCATAGTGACGAGAAAACATATAAATGCCCAGTGTGTTTTAAAGCTTTTAAAACCAAGTTAAATTTGTCCAAACATAAACCTACTCACTCGGAAGAGAGGCCTTTTAAATGTAAAATATGCGATAAAGCGTTTAAAAAAACCATAATTCTTAAAAAACACATCCTAATACACCAAAGAAAATCTAAAATACTTAACATTAACATACAAGAAGATTGCAACAAAAATATGTCCTGCATTATATGTAATAAAACGTTTTCCAATATTATCGATTACACAGATCATCAAAAAAGTCATACTGATGTGAATACGTTTAAATGCCCAATATGCGATTTATCCTTCAAGAGAAAGCAAAACGTTACTAATCACATGATGATTCATTCAGAAGAAAGACCTTTTAAATGTGACACATGTGAAAATAGCTATAAATCCAAAAATGGGCTTAGAATGCATAAAATGTACGCTCATATTGTTAATTAGTTATTTTTTCTGTATTGTTAAAATATTAATGTATATGTATTGTATAATTATTATAATAAACTATAACTGATTTTCATTTAAATAAATTACATGTATATATGCAACCAGGATAGCTTTGTTTTGCTGAGGCGGTCATTGACACTGACGTAAGATAAGTGAGGTTAAAAATCGATGTATTTTGTTTCTGCCTTGGTTTATTGACATAAATTTGTTGACAAATTTCCAATGGAGTTAAATCACGTTAAACCCCCGGAATTCGTGGAAATAAAGCAGGAAAATGATGCGAATATGGAATATGAGTACAGTAAGGTGACCGAAGTAGAACACAGCGTTAAAATAGACCCTCTGAACGATGAATTGCATTCTCACGAGTGTAGAGAATGCGAAACGAAATTTATCAACGCAGTGCAATTAAAAATACACAGCATGGTGCACCAGAAAGACCACAACTGCTTTATGTGTGATGGTTTTCACATAAAGAACAAAAATCAGTTTTTCGGTCACGTTAGGAAGCACATGTGCCCGAAGCCGTTCCTGTGTTATTTTTGCGACAAAAATTTTCCTAGTCAAAGAGAAACCAAGCTGCACACCAGAGTCCATAGCGACGATAGACCTTTTATGTGTACCGAATGTGGGAAGTCGTTCAAACAGATGAGTACACTGAAAGATCATGAAATTGTTCACACTGGAGTGAAGAGGTTCAAATGCAAGGTAAGATTTAATAAATTGTATAAATTGATAACATTTTGGTATATGAAGACAAGTTGTCTTCATATACAGGGTAAATGTAAATTCCTCTTGAAATTCCAAGATGAATTTTTCTTTACCGTTTTTTCGTAATCGCTAAATTGCAGGAGTTATTTAACTTTAAATCCGCGGTATTATCGATTTGTGATCACAGTTGCCTAACTACATTTAAACAAACATTTAAATTCGGAGGTGCCAATGTAGTAAAAATAAAACACTGCATTTTACTGCTTTATTACAAATTAAAGTATTAATAAAAACTAAAAACAACTTAAACAGTAAATAAGTGACGATATAAATTGTTAATTTGTTGTTATAATGGCAAAATTAAGGTTTAAAACTCATATTTGTGCTTTTCTTAAGTTCTTCTTCTTCTTCTTCTTCAAAATTTTTGGCCTTTAGCTAATTTAAAAGCTATTTGGCCAGCTCATGATGTTGTTTTCTTAAGTTGGCAGCACGAAATTTAAAATGACAATCATGTTGTTTATTTATGAAAATCAAATTGACATTTAAAAGTAAGGTTTATTTTTTACAAAAAAGGAGTAAAATGGCTTCCCTTGTCACTTTAAGGCGTCTTTTAAGGCTTACATGTGCCTCAGTAACACAACGTTTAAAACGAATATTAATCTGTATAAACAGCACAAACCCGAAGCACAAGAATTGTAAACATAAAAATGGCCGCCGTTAGAGTATGTGCAGTTGGTTGCCTAACTTCGTGATTTTTAGCAGGGTGGAGGAAGGAGGTAATACATCTCTATCCCGGAAAGCGGCCAAATAACTTAGTTTTTGTTAAAATTCTCAATAGATGGCGCATTGATGTGGAACCTGTTTTAATCCCGGTGCACAACAAACTTTTCCCATTTTAAGTAAAATTGCATAGATTAACATCAAATAATAGGCCACTAAGCTTAGGGGCCGTCCATAAATTACGTAACACCATTTTTGCCAATTTTTGACCCCCCCCTCCCCCCTGTGTAACACTCTGTCACACTTGGGCAAACCCCCCCCCTAAAATTACGTAACACTTTGGCTTACCCCCCCTAAACTCAAAAAAAGGACAAAACATATAGTTAATAGTTAATTAGTTAATAACCAAAAAAAAAACAAAAAATATACTCAGTCAACAGAATCTTAATCTTAAATCAAACAAAAACCAAAATCTTAAAAATCTAAGCTTATTACAAACAGTTAGGTAACAAAATCTTACTATTAGGTTATTAAGAATCACTGAAGCAGTAGTATGGGTATTTTTCAGTCGTCAGAACTTTTCCATGGTGTTGAAATGGCATTTTCCATGGATATTACTTCTATGCTTGCGTTTTCGTAGATATATTCGGCAACAGCCACATTTTCTAAAACATCTTCATCAATCCACTGTAACTCCTGATCTGTTTTATCAAGTTGCACCAAAAATTCCTTTTGTCTTTTAGCTGCCACACTTTCTGGTCTAATTCTTTTAATATTTGCCTCTCGCCCGCAGTCTTTTTGGTGGCTGAGTATATATTTTAGTGAAGCTCCATAAAGCCCACCTTTCTTGCAGATTCGTTTCTGCAAAGCTTCTTTTACTGAAGGACACATGATATCATATGGGACTTCTTTAAAATTCTTAAAGAATAAGGGTGCATTTAACCTGTCCTTTAGAGAAAGAGTACCAAACAAAATTAAGAAGTGTCCTTGTTCTTTAATGGTTAACGCATCTTCATTATACCCTACTGATATTGGAGGAGGCAAGAATCTATTCGGGAAAAGCTCTTTAAATTGGCTTCTAAAAACCGAACAACAGATGCGATCATCGCATTTCACAATTTGTAAAAAGTACTGGCTACTTACATTTTATTTTATAATTTAAATGAAGGCTCAAAAGTGTTACGTAACAAAGTCGTAAACCCCCCCTTCCCGCCTCGTAACACTTTGTCACACTTTGAGCAACCCCTCCCCCCCCCTTCGCGTGTTACGTAATTTATGGATGGCCCCTTAATTAAAATTCAAATAAAACCATTTCAACGTCACTTTTGTGCGTTTGTGGCGGCTGTGCATTTTGGCAGAACAGTTGGCAATACCAATCATTCTGCAAATTATTATAATAGTGCTGTAAGAAAAGATGTAATTTTCGTTAAGGAGGGTAGAAGACTCTCCTTGAGTTTTCGTTATCTTATAATTTCTTGTTAAAAGTTAAGTTGTTATAGAATATATGGATTTCGTTGGTTCTTAGGTTCTTAGTTGACTCGCCATCAAACGAACGAAATACTGACTTATCTGGACGCTTGCTTCTGTACTGTAGAGATAGGAGCTATATCACCTTCTTCTTCTACCCTGATTTTTAGTATGCGCAAAATGAGATTAAGGGAAATCCCAGCAAACACAACCGTAAAGGTTCTATAATTGCCCTTTATAAACATGCCTTTAATTAACTGAAGGCCCTATAAAGGCTAACTAATGGAACTGTACATAATTATGTCGCGTTCACCTTTAATGGGCATGTAACAGCAGTCAATAAAGGCGCTTACAAAATCCATTTCATTTTTTGAAATGGCGCGCTATAGGTTCTGATATGGCAGATTAAAGGTACAAATGTGGCAAGCTAATGTTTCTGATATGGGTTGTTAAGGATTTTAGTATATTGGTTATATACGAGTATAATAGTATAAATTTATATAATATATAATAGTATAAATAATTTTTAATGGGTAAGTGAAGTATCTATTATGGTGGATTAAATGTGGTAGGTATATATTTATTAGATAAGGATATTCCACGGTAATTAGAAATTGTTAACCCTACCGTCACAATACAATCTCTGACGCTCGGGATAAAAATTTCCGATTATCGTGGAATATCCGACCCAATAATACTTATCTATTACCTACATTAATTAATATTATCGTGAAATGGAATACTAAAACATTCATAAATTTACAAGAAAAAATACAAAGCAATGTGTTGTAATAAAGATAAGTAAAACATAAAAATTTTATTTTAAAAACTGTTAGGTAATAAATGGAATTCATAATATTTAAATAAATAAAAAATCGTTAAACTTAATAGAAAATATTTAAAATTAAAATATATATTGACAAATAAGTTCACTTGATTTATTTGGTAGATTATCCTCTATAACAAAGAAAACCAGGTTTTCCTTGCCATTATTAATTTTTTTATTCGCAATTGCCCCAACTTTAACCTTATTAATTAAACCTTTCTACTAACTTCTTTCTCTGTAATAAGAGTTCTAAAATTTGTAAAATTAAAAATGCACAGGTCTACTCATTTAAATTTAACAACCATTAGGTTATTATTATTATTATGTGGTATAACACACTATTAAAACTATAGGAATTACACTTGGCGTCATTTTTAAAATATGGCGTTTACCAAAGGATGATTAAAGGTTCATGTAAGTTTTATACAGAAAGTCCTATCGACTTGATACATATATATTATATGGGTTTTTATGGGGTCATTCTATCGTTTCGGGTTTTATAAAACCATTTATTCAACCAAACTACAAATTTTTATGTATTTTGAAATAGTATTTTAGCAATTAAAGTGCCTTATTCTATACGTTTTTAGTTGTTCTATCTAATTTGTAAAATTCCCAGACCGCAAAATCACATTCCCTGCACATGTCAGGAATATTCCCAGGAATATTCCAATCATCCCAGAATATTCCCAGGAATATTCCTGGCATAATCAAATGTCCGCTTTTTGGTTAACCCAGGCATCATAAAAAGAATATTCCATATATCTGCATGCAGAAGACTCAAGGATTGTTAGGGGATATTCCTTGATATAATTTGGGGATTATTCCCAACCCTTATTGCCTCTTATACCCAGGAACTTAACTTAAGTATAGCCATTGTTGAGTTACTGAGTAGATCAGTCCCAATCTAATCATTGTTTGGCTGTGCCATCACAGACGCACATCTCCAACTAATATTATTAACCTATCGGTATATATAGTTATCAAGCGTGCGTAAGCAACGGTGAGAGGTATTGCAACTAAACTAATGAATATTCACTGGGAATATTCTTAGATGATGCTTGGAAGTTTTAGAGGATCATTCTAGGAATATTCCCAATGAATATTCCTAGAATGAAGCGGATTATTCCTAGGCGATAGGGAATATTCCTGGAATATTTTCGAACCTCATTGCAGTCTGGGTTAGTACAGTTTAGCATATAGGATAACGATTTTATAAGTCGAAAAGTGTGCGTTTCGGGTGTTTCACGATTTTGCCTCTGTCCTGATCATTGTTACATTTATTTGAAATTCAGCGAAATTTCTTAGAGAAACATTCCTTAAAATTACACTCCTCCAAAAGTATAATATTTACTAACCATCTACCACATAATCACTTTCACAAATAACGTTTTACTATTTTTTTTATAAAATACTTTGCTTCGGATGTTACAAGTACAAAAATTAAACACTTTATATGGACAACATCTGTGTTTTAAAGTCTCTAGGTACTACAAAATTAGTAAGTAACAAATAAACATAAATATAATGAATTCTCATTTAACATAACTTAAGCAGCTTCGGACGATTGATAAATCGGCAAAACGGGTAAAATCGTTATTGACAAAAATTGTAGTATTTGGTATTTTGGTAGATCCGTTGCCATTTCGGTAGGTTCGACAACACCATCGGAAAAGCAGTCACACCTGTTTAAAAGATGTGTGACTGCTTTTCCGATGGCGGCGCTAGTTGGCCGTCGAAAGAGCCTTAAAAATAATACTTATTGCATTCTTCAAGCAATACACACTCATATGAAAAAAAACGTTTCGGGTGTTACAGTTTTTAATCAAGTAAAAAACATACCAACCCTATTGAAAATGGCATATAGAACCATATAAAAAACAAGTATCTGGATTCTATATGGTTTCTTTCTGGTTCAATATAGGTATTTGAAACAGGCATTTCACTATAGAATAGAAGATTACATTATAGAACCAGATAAAAACACTCTAAAACACTATAGAACCAGATAGGGAAACCTATCTGGAAATACATATAGAACAGAAACCAGATAAATCCATATACATCCATATACATGTCTTTATAAAGACATGTATATGGTTGTATATGGATTTATCTGGTTTTTGTTCTATATGTATTTCCAGATAGGTTTCCCTATATGGTTGAATATGAAAATTTTTAAAATGGAAATCCATATTCAACCATATAGAATCCGTAATGTAAACCAGGACTTTCCATATAGGACCTATAAAACCATATAGAACCAGATACGTTTCCTTATCGGATTCAATATGGGTTCTATATGGCATTTTCAATAGGGAAATTAGTCTTATGCTCAGATATTAGTTAGTATTTTAAATGATTACCACCATAACCTTACATTTACTAAATATTATTACACTAATCAATCTGTAAGGTATAATATTAAAACAATTACCTGGTTTTTCGTTTCTGGTGTTACAGTGTCAAAGTAACAAGAAAACACACTTATAACGTGATAATTATCAATTTTTCCAGGACTGTGACGCAATCCACCAATAATACGATAAATAACCTTTAATCACAACGTGGCAAAACGGTTGACAGCTTGACAGTTATTTTTTTTCGTATTTCCAATGGTTAGAGGCGCAATGGTCATTCAGCCACTTCTAGTTTTTTTGTCGCAAATTATATGTTTTCTTTAAAAATTTATCAGATTTAATGCGAAAAGAACATATATATTTATTTTTTTACCCTCAGTATCGTTTGTCATGGAATGTCCCCATGAAACTATGTAATGGGCCATTACATAATCAGACTTATGTGTTTGCTGGGATCCTACCTTTGGAAGAAAATTTGTTTTTATTTTCTTTTTTAACGCTATTTTAATCTAATGTTGCAATGTTTTCATAATCACAAAAAAGTACTTGAAAAACGTTGCATTTTTTTTTAGATTTGTGAAGGGCCTTTCGCGACTGCCACAAGCCTGCGTAGACACGTTCGCGTGCTGCACGAGGCGATACGAAACTACAAATGCCACTACTGCGCGGAATCGTTCGCTAGCAAGGAGTTCCTCAAGGAGCACATGGGGGTGCACAGGGACGCGGACCCATTGAAATGTCAGCTGTGCAACATCAGGTTACCTGATAAAGAGGCTTTCAACGAGCACGAAAATAAACATATCGAGTTGAAGGAGAGCGGGTATTGCGTGTATTGCGCCAACAGCACTTTCTATTTCAACTTGAAGGATCACGTGGAGAAGAAACACAGCGCGAGGGCGTGCGAGTACTGCGATTTGGTTTTCTACGACGAGAAATCCATAGAGAACCACAAGAAAAGCCACTTGGACGAAGTGAACAGCAAGGAGGACTTGCTATGCACGATTTGCAATAAACAGTTCGAGTTTCCGAGGTATCTGAAGGCGCACTTGAAGCGACACGAAGATTCTTACAAAAAATTCAAATGCGACTTATGCGAGAAAGGGTTCTCCTCCAAAAGAGACCTGACGGATCACGTGAACGTGCACAAGAACATCAAAAACTTCAAGTGTCCGATTTGCGATAAAGCTTTCCGTACAAAGCAGAACGTTGCCAAACACCTGCCGATTCACTCCGAGAAAAGGCCGTACAAGTGCACGCTCTGCGACAAGTCCTTCAAAAAACAGTCGATACTCCGCAAACACTCCTTCACTCACCTGAAAGATCGCCCCTTCAAATGCGATGTCTGTGATAAAACCTACAAATCCAAAGAAAGCCTGCGCGTCCACAAATTAACGCACAACAAACCAAAATTTGACTGCAAGATGTGCGCGAGCACCTTCGACAGTCTCTCCCACCTCTACGGCCACAGTTGCCGCTCCAACAAAACTTTAAAGTTCTTCATTTGCAACTTCTGCAAACGGGGGTTTCTCAAGAAAACTCTGCTTAGCATTCACGTGAGGAATATGCACCAAAAAGTCAGTTTCACCTGTGATACTTGCGGGATTTTGTTCAATAGAAAGTATAAATACGTTTTGCACACGTTTAGATGTACCAGCAAGACTGAATAATAGTTTAGTATTTATGTGTATTTATTGTTGTATTTATTTTGATGGCTGTAAGAATAGAGATTTTATTGATAAACCTAACTTTTATTACTCTGTCCCAGCAACATTTTAAATTGTTTTTGAAAATGTAGCTATGGCTTTCCAGGAAAATTAGGCGTAACGCGTAAGTCATGTAGATGTGTCGGTGCAAAAATCGATATAAGTAAAAGTGAGAACGCGTTAACGTAACGCAGAGGTATATGTATTCGTGGAGTAAAAATTAGTGGCTGTGCATAAGTAAGAGAGGTATAGAAATAAATCAATCCAATATGGCGACCGCCGTGAGATGGATTGCCTATTGTTTTACTATCTCCTTGATATGCGCCAACAGCACTTTTTGTTTCAACTTGAAGGATCACGTAACGAAGAAACACAGCGCGAAGGCGTGCGAGTACTGCGATTTGATTTTCTACGATAAAAAATCCATGGAGAACCACAAGAAAAGCCACTTGGGCGAAGTGAATAGCAAGGAAGACTTGCTTTGCACGATTTGCAATAAGCAGTTCGAGTTTCCGAGGTATCTGAAGGCGCACTTGAAGCAACACGAAGATTTGTACAAAAAATACAAATGAGACTTATGCGAGAAAGCGTTCTCTTCCAAAAGAGACCTGATGGATCATGTGATCGTGCACAAGAACATCAAAAACTTCAAGTGTCCGATTTGCGATAAAGCTTTCCGTACAAAGCAGAATGTGGCCAAACACCTGCCGATTAACTCCGAGAAATGGCCGTACAAGTGCACGCTCGGCGACAAGTCCTTCAAAAAACAGTCGATACTCCGCAAACACTCCTTCATTCATCTGAAAGATCGCCCCTTCAAATGCGATGTCTGTGATAAAACCTACAAATCCAAAGAAAGCCTGCGCGTCCACAAATTAACGCACAACAAACCAAAATTCGACTGCAAGATGTGCGCGAGCACCTTCGACAGTCTCTCCCACCTCTACGGCCACAGTTGCCGCTCCAACAAAACTTTAAAATTCTTCATTTGCAACTTCTGCAAACGGGGGTTTCTCAAGAAAACTCTGCTCAGCATTCACGTGAGGAATATGCACCAAAAAGTCAGTTTCACCTGTGATACTTGCGGGATTTTGTTCAATAGAAAGTATAAATACGTTTTGCACACGTTTAGATGTACCAGCAAGACTGAATAATAGTTTAGTATTTATGTGTATTTATTGTTGTATTTATTTTGATGGCTGTAAGAATAGAGATTTTATTGATAAACCTAACTTTTATTACTCTGTCCCAGCAACATTTTAAATTGTTTTTGAAAATGTAGCTATGGCTTTCCTGGAAAATTAGGCGTAACGCGTAAGTCATGTAGATGTGTCGGTGCAAAAATAGATATAAGTAAAGGTGAGGACGCGTTAACGTAACGCAGAGGTATATGTTTTCGTGGAGTAAAAATTAGTGGTTGTGCATAAGTAAGATAGATATAGAAATAAATCAATCCAATATGGCGACCGCCGTGAGAGAGATTGCCTATTTCTTTACTATCTCCTTGATATGCGCCAACAGCACTTTTTGTTTCAACTTGAAGGATCACGTAACGAAGAAACACAGCGCGAAGGCGTGCGAGTACTGCGATTTGATTTTCTACGACAAAAAATCCATGGAGAACCACAAGAAAAGCCACTTGGGCGAAGTGAATAGCAAGGAAGACTTGCTTTGCACGATTTGCAATAAGCAGTTCGAGTTTCCGAAGTATCTGAAGGCGCACTTGAAGCAACACGAAGATTCGTACAAAAAATACAAATGAGACTTATGCGAGAAAGCGTTCTCTTCCAAAAGAGACCTGATGGATCATGTGATCGTGCACAAGAACATTAAAAACTTCAAGTGTCCGATTTGCCATAAAGCTTTCCGTACAAAGCAGAACGTGGCCAAACACCTGCCGATTAACTCCGAGAAAAGGCCGTACAAGTGCACGCTCTGCGACAAGTCCTTCAAAAAACAGTCGATACTCCGCAAGCACTCCTTCACTCACCTGAAAGATCGCCCCTTCAAATGCGATGTCTGTGATAAAACCTACAAATCCAAAGAAAGCCTGCGCGTCCACAAATTAACGCACAACAAACCAAAATTTGACTGCAAGATGTGCGCGAGCACCTTCGACAGTCTCTCCCACCTCTACGGCCACAGTTGCCGCTCCAACAAAACTTTAAAGTTCTTCATTTGCAACTTCTGCAAACGGGGGTTTCTCAAGAAAACTCTGCTCAGCATTCACGTGAGGAATATGCACCAAAAAGTCAGTTTCACCTGTGATACTTGCGGAATTTTGTTCAATAGAAAGTATAAATATGTTTTGCACACGTTTAGATGTACCAGCAAGACTGAATAATAGTTTAGTATTTATGTGTATTTATTGTTGTATTTATTTTGATGGCTGTAAGAATAGAGATTTTATTGATAAACCTAACTTTTATTACTGTCCCAGCAACATTTTAAATTGTTTTTGAAAATGTAGCTATAGCTTTCCTGGAAAATTAGGCGTAACGTCATGTCATGTAGATGTGTCGGTGCAAAAATCGATATAAGTAAAAGTGAGGACGCGTTAACGTAACGCAGAGGTATATGTATTCGTGGACTAAAAATTAGTGGCTGTGCATAAGTAAGAGAGATATAGAAATAAATCAATCCAATATGGCGACCGTCGTGAGATGAATTGCCTATTTCTTTACTATCTCCTTGATATGGGCCAACAGCACTTTTTGTTTCAACTTGAAGGATCACGTAACGAAGAAACACAGCGCGAAGACGTGTAAGTACTGCGATTTAATTTTCTACGACAAAAAATCCATGGAGAACCACAAGAAAAGCCACTTGGGCGAAGTGAATAGCAAGGAAGACTTGCTTTGCACGATTTGCAATAAGCAGTTCGAGTTTCCGAGGTATCTGAAGGCGCACTTGAAGCAACACGAAGATTCGTACAAAAAATACAAATGTGCACCAAAAAGTCAGTTTCACCTGTGATACTTGCGGAATTTTGTTCAATAGAAAGTATAAGTACGTTTTGCACACGTTTAGATGTACCAGCAAGACTGAATAATAGTTTAGTATTTATGTGTATTTATTGTTGTATTTATTTTGATGGCTGTAAGAGTAGAGATTTTATTGATAAACCTAACTTTTATTACTCTGTCCCAGCAACATTTTAAATTGTTTTTGAAAATGTAGCTATGGCTTTCCTGGAAAATTAGGCGTAACCCTTAAGTCATGTATAGAGCCCGGATTTTTAGGTCAAATAGTGATAAAAGGTTCCTAAATTAGGTGATATTTTTAATAAAATAGGTATTTTAGGTACCTATATTTTATGTATTTTATAAGTACATAAAATATAGGTACCTAAAATACCTATTTTATTAAAAATATCACCTAATTTAGGAACCTTTTATCACTTTTTGACCTAAAATCCGGGCCTTAGTCATGTAGATGTGTCGGTGCAAAAATCGAAGTAAAAGTGAGAACGCGTTAACGTAACGCAGAGGTATATGTATTCGTGGAGTAAAAATTAGTGGATGTGCATAAGTAAGAGAGATATAGAAATAAATCAATCCAATATGGCGACCGTCGTGAGATGGATTGCCTATTTCTTTACTATCTCCTTGATATGGGCCAACAGCACTTTTTGTTTTAACTTGAAGGATCACGTAACGAAGAAACACAGCGCAAAGGCTTGCGAGAACTGCGATTTGATTTTCTACGACAAAAAATCCATGGAGAACCACAAGAAAAGCCACTTGGGCGAAGTCAATAGCAAGGAAGACTTGCTTTGCACGATTTGCAATAAGCAGTTCGAGTTTCCGAGGTATCTGAAGGCGCACTTGAAGCGACACGAAGAATCGTACAAAAAATTCAAATGCGTCTTATACGAGAAAGGGTTCTCCTCCAAAAGAGACCTGACGGATCATGTCATCGTGCACAAGAACATCAAAAACTTCAAGTGTCCGATTTGCGATAAAGCTTTCCGTACAAAGCAGAACGTGGCCAAACACCTGCCGATTCACTCCGAGAAAAGGCCGTACAAGTGCACGATCTGCGACAAATCCTGCAAGATGTGCGCGAGCACCTTCGACAGTCTCTCACACCTCTACGAACACAGTTGCCGCTCCAACAGAACTGTGATACTTGAAGGACTAAATAATAGTTTGAACTTACCTTCTAAAAGTGTGTTTTAAAAATCTAGGATTGAAATAAGAACGCAATAATTTATTAATTGTTTATTCTTTAAACAGTACCAAATTACAGTGGATTTTTCGAGGACAATACGGCAAAATAAAATGCTCTAATCACAGTTAATCCTATACCTACGAAAAAACAAATTATTGCCTCATTCAGAAATATTCTTTTTAAAACCAAGTGAGAGAAAATCAAGCTGTGATATACCGCTATATTGCAACTGCTTATCAGGTAATACTAAGATCAGATCAGAGTCCAATAATACCGCGGACTTATGTGTATTATATGGGAGAGTATGGCACCTAAGTGCATAAATTTAAGTTTTGTATGGCCGCTACCGAGTCGAAGTGGGCTGGGATGGTCTTGAAGACGTCCTCCTTCGTTCTGCTCTCCGAACAATTCGTGGGTTTAGCTCTGTTCGTGTCCACGCAATCGATGGGCATCTTAACCGTCTCCATGTTGTAGTTGAAGCCTTGCAGGGTGATTTTGATGATGGTGTGCAAGGGTACATGTACGTACGGTATCTCATCCGGCGGCGTTTCGAGGAAGTAGCCCAGGATGCAACGCAGCACCGCCTGGTGGGATACCGTAAGTACGTTTGTTTCGCATTCAAGTTGCGTTAGTACCGGAGTAAGACGCTGGGTGACGTCTATGTAGCTCTCGCCTCGAGGGTAGCGGTATTTTAGCTTTTCCTTGTCTCTAAGGGCGAGTTCTTTGGGAAAGTGCTCCTGCAGGTCTTCATAGGTGAAGCCCTCGCAATCACCCTTTAATTAAAAAAGGTCAACTATTTGTATTCATTTGGCACTCTATTAATAAAATTGGCGAAAAAAAGTAAACAATATTTGTATGCAAGCTTCTCATACATAAAGTGTCAAAACATATGCTGGTAGGGTAATTATTTTTAAGGTGTTTAGCAACCTTTTTATTAAAGGAACAAATATAATAATAATAATAATAATAATAATAATAATTTATTTCCAACAGGAATACACCCAATTACAGGAAATGTTATTAACAGTACAGTAAAATAAACAATGAACAACATTTCAGATAAATTAAAATCTGCCAAAAAAACATTCAATAATATATAAATATTAAAGTGTCTAAAAAAAACGATTTTTTTTTCAAAGAACATTGAAAAATCGTCAGAGTATCTCTAGAAAACGTCCCTGTGAAAATATGAGCTCTTAATTTTAATATTTAGAGGTGGCGTTTTGTAATTTTCTATTTCCCATTTAAATAACATGGGAATTTTTTTTTCAAACTTTATTAAATTTAATGCTCTACAAAAAAGGTCGGATTGACAATTTGCGTAAGTCAAGCCGTTTCAAAGATATCGAGCCTCAAATTTCAGACAGTTTAAAATTATTCTTTTTTTCTTAAGTACAAAAAAATCAATTTATATGTATTAAAAACCCAAAATTATTAACTTGAGAATAAATATATGCATATTTTTGATGGAATGCATATCCAAAATTCTTAATAATCTGACAAATTATAGGGTAGAATAGCCAGTTTTGGCCACTTAGCCAGTTTTGGCCATTATAACCGAATTTCCGAACAAAATAAGATTGTGTGCATATACACTAGGGTGGGCCGAAAATCCGCTTTTTTAGAATTTCGTTTAGTAATAGCAAAAATTTTGTTCATTATGTTGTAAAAAAATTTTGTGTAAAAGATTAAAATTTTCGATCAACATCCTAGGCTCGCCCAACGCAATTAAAGATCAAAATGTTCAAAAAAATTTTGATACTAAAATCGGGTTTATTTCTAAAACTATCCATCTGAAGTAATTTAGTGTAAGGACCTTTTTTGTAGAGCATAAAATTTCCGATCGAATTAAGTTAGGAAAATTTTTTTTTGAACATTTTGATCTTTAATTGCGCTGGGCGAGCTTAGGATGAGGATCGAAAATTTTAATCTTTTACACAAATTTTTTTTACAACATAATGAACAAATTTCTGAAACTATCCATCTGAAATAATTTTGTGTAGAGCATAAAATTTCCGATCGAAATAAATTAAGAAAAATTTTTTTTGAACATTTTGATCTTTAATTGCGTTGGGCGAGCCTAGGATGTTGATCGAAAATTTTAATCTTTTACACAAAATTTTTTTACAACATAATGAACAAAATTTTTGCTATTACTAAACGAAATTCTAAAAAAGCGGATTTTCGGCCCACCCTAATATACACCTCTTAAACGTTATTATCCGCGTGAACAGTTAACTGTTTCTGACCATCTTCAACAAAGTGGATGTAGATGTCACTACTGTAGAAAAAATGGCGGTGAGTTAAAGATGTGTTGTTAGCACGGTGTTCGATTCATTAGGGAAACTGTTAAGGAATCTGAGTAAGTTATTGTCTTTGTATATTTTTTATCGCAATCAATAGAAACTTGGGATATGTTTTACTGTTTTCGTACTCACTGAAGGTTTTATAATCAATACATCTTTTAGAGTTTATATTGGCTGTTTTTATTTAAATAAAGGTGGCCAAAACTGGACAGTAGAAATTGTACATTTTCCAGTTGTGGTCACTTAAGTGGCCACAACTAGGTTGTCGAATTTCCAGTTTTGGCCATTGCCAAAAAGCGGTACGAGCGAGGGTCTAATTTGCAAAATTTTGTTTTTATAGGTACCTGCGTAAAATATGTCCAAAAACCGAAATAAAAAGCGCGGAAACCGAAGAAATTTGACAAACAAAGCTCGCAAATTTTTTTGTTATGATCCGCAACAATTACAAAAGGCATTACAAGCCATAAAAAGCGGAATGCCAGTATCAAAATATTTTTTAAATATTTCACCAATGTTTTTTATCCATGGCTTCTTGAAAAAAAAGTTGCGCTTCCAGTAGTGGTATTCCTTGACGGTCATTCGTCGCATCTGAGTATTCAATTAAGTAGGTTTTGTATTGAGCACCAAATAATTGTTGTGTGTCTCTATCCCAACACAACACATATTTTACAACCCCTCGATGTTTCCGTGTTTTATCCAATGAAAAGTGAATGGAAAAAGTTTCTGCGAAACTGGAAGTTTGCGAATGACGGCCAAGAAATTAAGAAATATCAAATTCCTTCACTTCTAAATGATATTTTAGAGCATAAGTCATTTGTCGAATCAATTAAAAAGGGATTTAAAGTATGCGGTCTATTTCCATTTACCGCGGATAATGTGGACTATACAAAATGCACAAAACAAGTGGACAACCATAATAATGACACAGAAATTTTTCAGGAAGAAATAGTAAATGACGGGAGAGAAGGATTCTTGCCAGTGCTGGAGTCAAAAATAGGTGCCGAGATGTTGAGGGATTTTAGAGAGTGTAAAAGGCAAAATAAGCAGCCGGATAATGAAAGTGCTGGAATGCTATATAATGTTTGGCTTCAGTTTAATCGGAGCGAGAACACCACAAATATTATTGATACACATCAGGCTGTTACAGACATTTTTGACTTTCCCTTTCCAGAATGGAATGAAGTGCTCGAAAACGTTTCAGTAGAGGACCATCGCGATGAAGCCCCACTGGTCCCATCATTTACAAACGACGTACTTTACAATATGGACATTAATGAAATTTTAGCTTACAAGACAGACCTTACAACAAATAGCCAAGGCTTAGATGAAATTATACATGCAGAAATTTCCAATACTACTACTTCGAATTTCAATCAAGGTCATGGGGAAATAACTGAAGGGCTTCGAGGTACAAACACCGAATTGCAAGATAAGTTAAATGGATCCGCAGGCGAGATAAAACATACCAACGATCAGGTTATGACGAAATTAATTTCAGAAAATGAAGATTCAAATAAAAAGCAGCATAGGACAGAACTCGTAATTGAGGGCAGAAATAACGACTTGCCTAGAAGTTCCAATATTGTGTCAGGCACAAAAAACACCCATCAAATTAATATTTTATCCAACATTTTAGTATATCCTTCAACCAGCAACATTTCGGCGAAGAAGAAGAGGAAAGTGGATGCTATGCCTAGTGTCCTGACATCAACCCAGTGGGTTACCTTGGCTGAGAAAAAAGAACAAGAAAAGTTAGAGGCACAAAACCTTAAGGAAGAGCGAAAAAGAAAACGAGAAGAGAGCAAGATACTTCTGGCAAAAAAGAAAAAAAATACTAAACGAATGAAAAAACAACAGTCGGAAATAAAGGACAACCAAGAGAATTATGAAAATGAAAAACTTCAAGTGGATTTAAGTCATACAGATAATGTAGATGATTCTGTAGAATTAACCGATGACTACGTTCTTAAAAAAGGTGCTAAAGATTTCCAAACACATTTAAAAAAAAATACTTATGTGATAGTGAATTACGATACTGGATTTTATCCCGGAAAAATTCTTAAGGTAAAACCTGATGGTTATTTCATTGCTGCTATGGAAAAGAGTGGTGTCCAACATTGGAAATGGCCGGACAAAAAGGATCAGCTTCTTTACCAGTTATGTGATATACACCAAATAATTAACAAACCAAAAAAAATAAACAATAGGGGTGCATTTATGATAAAGGAAATGGAGGAGTACAATAAGACTACTTATGAATAGGTACTAAACTATATATATATTTACTATATAGGTACCTAGTTTTAACTATAGTTACTATAATATAATATATTCTTTTACCTAGTCAGTTTGAGTTGCGAAGTAGGTAAGAATTAAGTTAATAAAAAATAGGCTAGAGAAAATGTTTTTAAGTGTTTATGTTTATTTATTTTTATTAAAATATCTTAAAAAAAATTAAACATTTTTTTTCTCAACCCTGGCCAAAACTGGACAATTAAGTGGCGAAAGCTGGTTCAATAGTGGCCACAACTGGTTAAACTCGTAGTTAGCTTCATATTTTATTTGTCCACAAAGATCGTATAGGGTATCCTTTTTTAATGCATGATATTCATAAACCTAACATATAACCGAGTGAGATTGGAGCGTCTTACTTTAAGGACGTTCAGAAGGCAAATTTTTGTAATGATGTGAAGCCGAAAATTTCCTTAACGTGGCCAAAACTAGCTATTCTACCCTAATTTTTATTGATTTTTAGCGAAAAATATTTACTTAGGTACCTAAAAAATATGGTAGAATTTTATTATAAATTTATTTATATTATGTATTAATAATTTTGGGTTTTTTATACATATATATTGATTTTTTTGTATTTAAGAGAAAAAAAAGCATAGCGATTTTTCAATGCAAAAAAAATATAGTCGGTTTTTTTGAGACACTAATAAATATTTTTGTTTATAATGGAAAATAATCAAATTTGCAAAAATGTTAAGAAAAAAAATAAGGTAATCGTCATTTTTTTAATGGTAATGTAGTTTGAATACATTAAAAAAAAATTGTAATTGTACATTACTCATTAAAAAATAAAAAATGGGTAATAAGAGACCATACATTAAAAAAAAATACCTATTACATTAGTGAAAAATGATGAGGGGTAGGGTTGATGGGGTGATTTTTTATATGGGTCTGACAGTTTAAAAAATGTTAATTTTCGATTTATTTTATTAAGTACCCATTAAAAATCCCTTTCTGATAAAGTTTTGATATTTTTTTGATTACTCGTTCAAAAAAAATGGCGTTTTTTGTTTTTTGCTGCTAATTTCTTTAAAAATAGTCCGAATTGAAATTTTTATTTCTTAAAATTTTCGTGTATCAAAATTATCCAAAGCATATTTGCATGCGAATTTTGAGTATTAAAATTTTAATTTTTAAATTGTTTGGATTCTTTGATTTCCTTGCAATTTTTTACGTTAAACTTTACTCTACCCACTTAAGAAATTTTAAATTTTAGTGGGATTATGATCATTAGTTATGAACGAATTTTGAACATCTGTTACCTACTGGTAAAAAAACAATTCAAAACAAAAATTGAAAAAATGTGTCATGAAATAAAAATATCTTCCTTGCTCACTTAAAAGAGTAATTCGATAATCATTCCTTTTTCATTAAAAATTAAAGTGATGTAAAGTGAGTACATAACTCATTAACATAAAAAATTGTAATTGAAAATTTTCAAACTCATTACAAATTAAAAATGAGTAGTGTAAAAAAGAATACATTACTCATTGGAAAAAATGTAATGAGTAATTAACTTAATTTTCATTAAAAAAAAGAAAATTAAACAAATTACTCATTATTTTACTAATGTGTATTGAAACTTTAATGCATTATTTGCAACTAATACGTATGTGTACCTTTTGGATGGAAAATAAGTTGTTAATTATAATAAATTATGGAAAAATTTGGTTGTTTTTATAAAGTTCTGCTTACCGAAAAAATCTCGTCCAGCTCGTGCAAATGTTGCTGCGGCGCTTGTATATTCGCACTTGTGGCTCTAGTTCTTTGCAGTGTGGAGGTCCAAACTTGCAGTGACGGTATTTTAAGTGCGTGAATATGTTTTGCCAGGCATTGCGAGTAGAGGCGCCCTCTGGGGGACAAAGGCGCGTCTCCGCCAATTTTTCCAACCACGTTGAACTCGCTTTCTCCGTGCTGAAAGAAAAGGCGTTGCAAAATGGGTATTGACTTTCTAGAATGTGCTTTTGCCATTCTCAAATAAATTTGGCATTCTCAAATACCTTCTATTTACATAATAATCTAAACCTTCTAAAATATATTCTTAACATTCTATAATGTGTTGTTAAGATTCTCAAATTTGTTTTTGACATTATGAAATACGTTTTGACCCCCTCTAATAAGTTTCACATTCTAAAGTTTGATTTAATGGAATTTTGAAATGAGTGTTTGACATTATAAATTGTTTTTTTCGACATTCTTTAATTAGTTTTGCAATTCTCAAGTATTTTTGTCATTCTAAAGGGTGATTTTACATAATACTCTTAACACTATAAATGTCTATATTGTGTTGTTGACATTCTAAAATTTGTTTTTAACATTAAGAATCCCATGATCCCATTTAATACGTTTTGACCCCCTCTAATAAGTTTTCACATTCTAAAGTATGTTTTATTGCCATTTTTAAATAAATGTTTGACATTATAATTGTGTTTTTTACATTCTTTAATTAGTTTTGCCATTCTCAATTATTTGTGTCTTTCTAAAAGGCGTTTTTTACAAAATACTCTAAAATGTATGCTTAACATTCTTTATTGTTTTGTTGACATTCACAAATTTGTTTTTACATTATGAAATATGTGAATGACACCCTCTATTAATTTTCACATTCTTATGTTATATTGGGATTTTCAAATAAGTGTTTGACATTATAAATTATTTTTTCGACATTCTTTAATTGGTTTTGCCATTCTCAAGTAAATTTGATATTTTAAAATGTGCTATTTACATAATATTCCAAACATTCTAAAATGTATGTGTAACATTCTATATTGTGCTGTGGACATTCTTGTTTGATTTATTGGCATTTTCAAATATGTATTTGACATTATAAATTGTTTTTCGACATTCTTTGGTTGGTTTTGCCATTCTCAAATATTTTTGTAATTCTAAATGTTTTTTTTTACATAATACTCTTAACATTATAAATGTATGCTTAACATTCTTTATGGTTTAGTTGACATTCTCAAATTTGTTTTCAACATTATGAAATATGTTTTTGACACCCTCTATTAATTTTATATTGGCATTTTCAAATAAGTGTTTGACATTAAAAATTGTGTTTTCGACATTCTTTAATTAGTTTTGCCATTCTCAAGTTAATTTGTCATTCTAAAATATGTTTTTTACATAATAGCTTAAACATTATAAGATGTATTCTTAATATTCTATAATGTGTTGTTGACATTCTCAAACTTGGTTTTGATATTATGAAATATTTTTTGACGTCTTTAAATTAGTTTTCAAATTCTAAAATTTGTTTTATTGGCATTGTCATTATAAATTGTTTTTTTGACATTCTTTAATTAGTTTTGCCATTCTCAATTAAATATGTCATTTTAAAATGTTTTTTACATAATATTGTAAACATTCTAAAATATATTCTTAACATTCTAATTATAATATGTTGTTGACATTCTCAAATTTGACTTTGACATTTTGAAATACACTCTTAAGTTTGGTTTATTGGCATTTTCAAATGAGTTTTTGCCATTCTTAAATATGTCTCCTTATTTTTAAGTAAGATTGGCGTGGTTTTGTTTTGTTTTTAACATTTTAAAATAGGCTTTGACGTTTTGGCATTCTTAAATGTTTTACACATTCTAAAATGTAGTTTTAAAAATAATAATTTATTTTGGTCAGAAATAATTTTTGTTCTTGTTTTGAAAGTTTACATATATTTTAAAATGTGTTTCCTGACATACTAGATTGTGTTTTTAAGAATTTAAGAATGTTGAGAATCCCAATATAAGTTTATATTCCTGAAAATGCAAGATTTCTTAAAAATAATTTTCATTACTTACCCTGCTGAAGTAAAGGGTCTGCTGCCAAGGCCTAGGCGTACTTATATAAGCCAAAATCTTTGATTCTTTAGTACCAGTGACCCCGTGGGCTATTACCCCACCGTCCCCTCCGTCCAGTAGTTTAACCATGGGGCATGGGAGACCCCATATGGAGCCCAAAGTGGGGGATTCGTATTGGGCCTTGTAGTGCGCCATTTTGTTTGTGAGATCTTTGAGGGCCTCCTCGGTTGCCATGTCTCTGTAGTCGGCGCTGTATTGCAAAATTTCCTAATAAAAAATGTATAAATTTGCAATTCTCGAGTAAGTTTAAATGGTTTACTTTGAAGTTCCTCTCCAACATGACGGGGTCCTCGCAAACGCACTCGATGAACATGACCCTGTACCCGAGCTGGCCGTAGACCAGGTCGTAGATCTCCTGCCTCTGGGACCTTGAGACGTTGGGTCCGTCCAAGATGGCGATCTGGCTGTCGGGACGTTTCAGCCAATCGGCCGCGTCCTCGAGGGCCTCTCGGAAACTCTGCTGCCTGATGCGCCAAGCTGGGAGGTTGTCTGCGCGGAACATGTCGTGCGTCGTGTACTTCTTCATGTGCTTCCTCCTGTACTCGCTGATGTCATAAACTGCGAGAAGTCCATTTATTTAACGGACGGAGCAAATATTAAATGCAATCGCGCACTGTGCACGCGATTGTCGAAAACTTAGCTGATGTTTAAGGTAATTCGGTAAAATATTGGCACTTTTTAATCGTAAATGTTTTAAATGTAAAAAAAAATTGAAGTAGGTTTTTAAAATTATGGAATATATAATTTTATTATAATTTTAGTTATGTTTGATAATAATAATAATAATTAAATAAAATTATGCCAAGCATATATTTAATTCATATTTAATAGAAACATAAGAAAAATAGCCAATTATTATTGTCTAGGCATTTTTATGTAACATTTAAATAATATTTTAACCGACGAATATTTTTAAACATTTTACATACTATTATGTTTGTCGTTCTAAAAGGTGTTTTTTACATAATACTCTAAACATTCTCAAATTTGCTTTTGAAATTATGAAATATGTTTTGACCTCTTTTAAGTATTTGACATTATTAAAATATAATTGCTTTTTCGACATTATTTAATTAGTTTTGCCATTCTTAAATATTTTTGTCATTCTAAAGGGTGCTTTTTACATAATACTCTAAACATTCTAAAATGTGTGCTCAACATTCTATATTGTGTTGTTGACATTCTCAAATTTGTTGATGACATTATGAAATTGACCTCTTTTAATTACTTTTCAAATTTTAAAGTTTGTTTTGATGGTATTTTCAAATAAGTATTTTACATTATAAATTGTTTTTTCGACATTCTTTAATTAGTTTTGCCATTCTCAATTATTTGTGTCATTCTAAAGGAAGTTTTTTACATAATAATCTAAACATTCTAAAATGTATCCTTAAGATTCTATATTGTGTTGTTGACATTCTCAAATTTGTTGTTGACATTATGAAATATGTTTTACCCCCTCTAATAGGTTTTACATTCTAAACTTTGTTATATTGGCATTTTCAAATAATTAATTGTTTTTTCGACATTCTTTAATTAGTTTTGCCATTCTCAAGTATTTTTGTCATTCTAAAGGGACTTTTTTTTACATAATACTATAAACATTCAAAATGTATGCTTAACATTCTATATTGTGTTGTTGACATTGTGAAATATGTTTCGACCTCTTTTAATTAGTTTTCAAATTCTAAAGTTTGTTTTATTGGCATTTTTAAATAAGTACTTGACATTATAAATTGTTTTATCGACATTCTTTAATTAATTTTTCCATTCTCAAGTATTTTTGTCATTCTAGGGGTGTTTTTTACATAATAATCTAAACATTCCAAAATGTATGCTTAACATTCTAAAATTTGTTAAGACCTTCTTTTATTAAGTTTTCACATTCTCAATTAAATTTGTCATTTAAAAGGTGTTTTTTACATAATATTCTAAACATTCTAAAATGTATCCTTAAGATTCTATATTGTGTTGTTGACATTCTCAAATTTGCTGTTTTTATTTATTTTCATTTAAATTTGGTCCATTTTTATTTCGTATGAGGTTTTTTTTTTTTACTTTAAATTTTATAAATTAATTAATTATAAATTTTAAAATTTATATTGGAAACATTGTTGAACAATTTTTTTTTGAAACAATATTTTTTAACTATTTTATTTTATTCTATTATTTTTAAAGTTGCAATTTCTTATTTATAACACGGCAATCATTTTTATTTTACAATTAATTTAATAATAATTAATAATTTGGCGCTTTGGGAATGCGGAGGAAGTGACAACTGCAGTAGTTCAAATAAATATTAGGTAATGCGTAATTTATCTACGTCAATTTGGCGCCAATATGTCAGTTCGATTTTGTCTTTCATCTCTGGGACATCGCTCGATGAAAAAGTGTGAAACATAGCTGACTTTTACCCAGGAGGGACAAAATTGATTTCCGAGTATAGAAATATACCTTTATTTTTGGACAATATCGCAAGCTTTGACCTCTAGCGAGGTATTTTGTGATTTGTACAATACATTGAGTGTATGATCCAAGATTTGGAAAATTCACGTGTCTATGGGTGGATGGCTTCGTGAAGCGCATGGACATTAAAACTTGTTGTTGGTCAAAATGGTACATTGAAACCGAGACCATTAAGGCCTTTGGCCACCAAGGAAGAAGAAGAAGCCAATATGCGGAGAGATTCTGGTTTTGTTCTTCGGGGGTTTTGTATGTTTGAAGCGTACACATCGCTTTGCATATAATTATATATATATATATATATATATCACCAAACTAGAAGGTTCTAGTTTTGTGATATAATTATATGACCATTTGAACTTCTGCAGTTGCCACTTTTGGCCGCACTTTCACAGCGCCAAATTAATTTTATGTGTAAAATTAATTATATAATTTTAACTACACATACAATTAATTCAAATTTTTTTATTATACAGTAATAATTTTATTTGCAAAATAAAAATTTAGTGCATTAATTTATGTGCACGCGTTTTACTTTAATTGTATAAGAAATACCTATTAAGATTAATAATAATGTGCACACAGAAAAATTATATTAAATAAATAATTCAAAATTTTATATAAACATATTTAAAAAAAGAATAACTTCTTTGACATGAATAATTCTACTTAATGTATTATTTTCCAGTGCATTATTTTTTAAAGTACCTATAAATATTTAACATATTATTTCTTATCCGATTAAAAAGTGAGTAATATAATAGTACTTCATCAGATCAATTTAAAAAAAATGTAAATAATAAAAAGAAACACAGTGTTTTTATTTTTTTAATTGTTTCAAAATGTATCTATAAACATTAAAAAAACCAACAATAATTATTAATGATGCATAAATAAATTAAGCAATTTGTATGTGCGTCAATAAATTAAAATTTTTTGTTGATTTCATTGCAATAACATTTATAGTAAAATAAAGTATATTTTTTACAGGCAATTTTTATCAAGCACTTAAAAATAGATCCGCTACTTGAATAATAAATATTACATATAAAATTCATGTCAGGGTTAAATGGCAATCACTTGTTATTGTTAAAAAGTTAAAATTGTTCAAAAATAAAACATTTGCTTACCTTTTGTGATGTCGCCAGTGTAGTTTAGATATCTTGAAAGTCTTTTTGCCAAGAGACTTTTGCCCCTTCCTGGCAAGCCTACCATGGCCACCATCAAGGGGGCAAACTGTCTTAGCGATGATTTTTTTAGGGCCTGAGCACCTAAAAAAATTATTAAAAAGTTCAAAACACATGTTATCATCTAAAAAGCCACTTGTAATTTTTGGGGTTCCGCAAGGGTCCTATCCGAGACCACAGTTGTTTAAAGAGCTCATTACTGACACCTTTAACTTTAGAGTTACAAGGTAAGCTTATTTTAATCTAAAAAATATGTGGTATATTTTTGTAATTACACGTTTACAGACACCCCGTGTATTTTTAAGGTTCCACAAGGATTCAACCTGAGACCACCTTGTTTGTTTTATTGTTTGCAAAAGGTACATCAAAATTTTAATAATTTTAATTGGACAAACTCTTTGAAAATTGTTTAGGAGGCGTTTTAAGATCTAAAATGCATTTGTAATTTTTGGGGTGCCACAAGGCACGTTTGATTAAAGGGGGCATTAATAACATCCTAAAGGTTATAGTTATTTGACACTATATGTTTTGATTCGTATTGAAGTAAAGATTTAATAAAACATGCATACATTATAATGTGTATTTTATGTCACTATCATCTGATAGTTCAATAAAGATTATCAGTGTTTAGTTAATACTGTTAAGAAATACACACAGTTATTTTGATAACATTTTTAGCAAATATTCTATGTAACCAAACCAAACCAAACATATAAATATAAATATTGACGTTTTGGTAGCATACCTTCTTTATTATAGTAAAAGCCTTTAACCTCCATTGTATCACGAAATAATTTGTTAACGTTTAAAAACTCAAAACAAAAACACCTAAACTAAATTACAGACTAGCGCGCGCTGAAGCTACCTCATTATTACTAACTTTGACTTTGTTGCAATCATTTATTTATATATAATCCTGTATGTATATTGATTACACTCGCTTATCGCAACAAACTTAATAAATTTAAATGTTAAATCATCACCCAAATTTAAAATTAAACTGCTGCGATTATATAGAGGTAGATGTGGTTCGTCACAGGTGTGCCTCAAGGGTCCCACACGGCACCGCTGTGTCTGAGAGGTACAATTAACGACAAGTGATGTTAATAAGTAGGTTAATTTTATAAGGTAAATGCTGTTTTCTGACCCCTGAAATGTATACATAGAATACGTAACAAAGGAATGGCCTATATTGATTTTACTATTTTAGTCTAAGCTATGTAAGTTTGGCATAGGTAATTGGGTTTGTACTAAAAATAATCATTTAACATAACAACAATAATAAAACAATATAAACTTATTTTAATTCAGGACGAGCAAAGCTAGCGAGCGAGTGTTTAATAAAAGTGTGTGTCTAAAGAGGTTTATAAACCAGTTGCATACTATATAAACTTTTTCTACTGCAAATATTATTATAAAAATATTGTATTACCAATTAATTTAAATATTTGTATAAAGTGACATCTATAAAAAAATAGAGTAACCAAATTGGTGTTAGGAATCTGTTTTACCGGCTTTCAAAGTGTCAGTTTGTCGAATTTTCCTGAATTTAATAATGCTTTTTGTATTGCGAAAATTAAATAATACTAAAATTTTTACAAGGGACTTTATTATGACGATTGTATGACATTTGACTTGTGTCATGAAAACATGAACGGTGGAAGGTAGAAACAAATATATTCTTTTTTTATCGTATAAATGTTATTTGTCGTGATAAGATAGGTAATATTTAAACAATGTTTTAATAAAAAGTAGATTGTGTTTCTTACAAATAAACCTTGATATGTTTAAATTGCAAATAAAATCCATTCACCTACAAAAATATTGTTGTTTTTTTTTAAGTTTTACAAATATTTTAAAATACACGTTATAAATTTATGAAATCGCGCCCATAAAATTTATTAAGCAAGCAAACTTTTAAAACGTAAAATTGTAGCCAGATGAAATTTATTTCTGGAGTGAATTTTATTTTTGGAAACTACAAAAATATTACTCAGAAATCGTTAGTATGTGCTAAATTTGTTTGGCAAAAAAATAATGGGATTTCTGATCAAATTTATGAAAATATTTAACATTAAATGTTATTGATTTATAAATATTTTACATATCATTTTTTTTTCTCCCGAGCAAGTTAATAAGAGACATATTTTTATAGGAAATTTGCCGTATCGTCTTTGTGGAACGGTTTAATATGAATATTTTTTTATATTTTTTTTTAATAATTTTTTTAGGTCATAAACTAAAAATTTAGGGGGACGAACAAAAAAACCAAGTTGATAAATAACGGACATCCTAATGTACATATATATGCATTGATAAAATTAAAATAGTATACTACATAAAATTATTTCGAAATGTAATTATCGTTATTTTTTGTTTTTATCAATACTGACGAAAAATATTAATTATTTCGTCAAACTTTTGGCATGGACTAGGTATATAATCCAAGCCAAAAGTTTTATCTTGCTTCAGAACAAGTTGGATAAGTTCTAGAAAAATAATTATAATTTTTGGCAGGTTAATTTTGAAAAAAATGCCCTTCCAACAGGTTAGTGGGTAAAATATTTGGCAACAAATTAATTGTGGCTTAGCAAAACTGGTTTTAGGCAGTCTTTTCAAAATTAGTTTTTAATTTACTAGGTGAAAGAATGTGTTTTCCAGGTAGGTACAGTGGCCGACACGGAATTTTGAACGGCTTTTGTCCAGTTAATATTAAAATCTTAACTTCCTTTATGGCCAACTAACCTTACTTCCGGTTATCACTATAGTGTCAAAACGACAAGACTATAGTCTTGTCGTTTTGACAGCGAAAGCAAAAATGGGCAATATTGTTTCTTTGCTATTTACAAATTTATACATGGACAACCAAATTATAACGTTCAAAATTCTGTATCCGCCACTGTACTTAATTAGGTAATATCCATAATAAGTATGTACAATCGTATGCAAATAAAAAGAGTACAGCCTTAGAATGAGAGGTACTGCACTTGTCAAATATGGCGAGTTAGGTTATAAAAAAGACAGTGCCGTAGATGTAAACCAGCCGTCAGTTTGACAGCTAATTAAATAAGGCCTCGTCAGTTATCTGAATTTGAAAAAACTCGTATAATTACAAATGAAGTACCTTTCATTTTAATACGTGTACGCTTTTTATTTGCATACGACTGTACATAATATATAATACCTATATATTATATACATTATAATTATTAATATTAATAACACTAATTTCTAATATTAATAAAGTAAATTAAATCGTGGCATGTGTCTGGCAGATATACAATGATGAAGTTAAATTGTATGCTTGGTGCCAGAGGGTTCAAAGTCCAAAAGTGGATTCGCCAATTCATTCTAAAATTAAACTGCATGAAGACCCGCCCACTATTCTAATATTTTAACTTAATAACAGTTTTTTAATAGAAGTCTGAAAATCTATAAACCCATCACAGGGTGAATCAAACGTCATATAATCGTTAAAATTATTTTATTATCTCAATACTAAAATACAAAATTATTAAATACCTAGTTTCTTGACGTTAATCTTTGCTCTATACATGTGTTTAAATTAAATAGTAATACACTATTTTTTATAATTATCCTAAACGATATAAAATTCTTAATCAAATAAAATCAAATTTGATATAGATTAGGGACAAATTTGTAGACACTGTACTGGATAATTTAATGACCAGTTATTCTTGACATTAAGCTGGTTAGAAAGTGGAGATTCCTATGTTGAACTTTGTGCTCAAATAATTTTTTTTTTATGAAATTCCCACTATCTTTATAAGTACCTATTACTTAATAAAATGTTTGTCTTTTAAGTGTTACTAAGCAATGTAATGGTAATTTATTACCATGTTTATTATCAATAAAAATCTATTACTAGGTATTTTTGTAGTTTAGTAGAATTATGTCGAAAAATAAATAAAATACTTAAAGATAAATTATATTGTTTTGTCCAAAATTAGATACATAGGTATCAAAAAATATAAACATAGTAGATGGTGTCAAAAAGCAGGGATTTTTTTATTTCAGACTGTTGGCAACCCTTTTAATTTTCATGCCAACGGTGTGTCTTTCTGGTTTTGTTTATCAAAATTATGTTATGAAATGTGAATAAAATCATTAAAAATAACTGTGTCTAGCTCTTAGAAGCATCGAAATAGACAAAATAAAATTTGACATTTTATTTTGATCGACATTAAATATGTAATTTTGACATTTCGCTTCACGTCAATTGTGCCAACCTAGTAACACGTATTAAACTACTTGTTTATTCTACTATATTACTGATCTTTTGACATTTATATAATCTAATCATTCTTATTTATAGATTTTTTAGTTATCTTTTAAGGCAGTGATAAGGTTTTTATTATAACAAACTTTATTAATTTGAATTTATCTAAATAGGTATCTAAAAAACCATTACATCAGGTTTTCGAGAAATAACCCAAAAGTGAAATCGCGGATTTTTTAATGCACATTTCAGCTCATTAATTGGTTCTTAGACATTATCTTTGTTATAAGTATTATCTTAAAGTTCAAGGTTTTAACTGGCTTACCTACAAAGATATTTTTCGAAAAATATGATAAAAAATCAAACTTGTTTAAGATGAAGTTTATATTTATACCTACGTTGCACACAAAGAAATGTATTTATAGCTAAATACCAATACAAAGATGTCGGTTCAAAAAACTGTATAAAATTCAAGCAATTCTTTTTAACTTCTAACTCAAAAACAGGTTTAGATAGAAAGTTGAAATTTGGTGTGATTATCTAAAAGGTTAAACAACTTTTGACAGTCTGACAGATTAGATGCGATTTTTAACAATTGGGGTTAACTTATGGCGTTTTAAGTGGTTGTCATTGTTACCCAAGTGGCTTGCTAGATAATGAATTAATGAAGGGAAAGTGATCTTTTAAAGCAGGTAGTCGATCCCAAAAGCACTGAAATGTGTCTACTAACCTCTGCATTCTTCCTTGTCCATGTTTCTGGTGTTTGGTTGGTTAAAAAACACTGAATGAAAACAAATAAAAGTTCAAAAATTATCGGGGTAGCTAAAAGCCTTCTGGTAGCTCTGAAAAGTGGTCGGAAGATGTGTGGATGATGAGTTTCTTCAAAACAAGTCGCATTCCAATTCTGTATCTGATTTCAGTCGCCAGATTTGCTTCTTTTATGAACTCGATATACGGAAAATTTGTTTGGTTGTTTCCTTTTTACATTACCGCAGTCAATGTAAAGGTTTGAAACCACTCTATGTTTGAAACGCTCAACAATTTTGTCACCGAAACACTTCACCTGTAGACTGTGTGCTGTCGACTGAATTTGTAAACATCGGCCTCGCCGCTTTTGTGGGATCGATCTGGGCGAAACCAAGGTGCTAAACGAATAGGTCCAGTCGTATGCAAAAGAGAACTTCAATGGGATATAATTTATACCTCTTGTGTATTATATTGTAATACGATTTATAAATATACATTTTGTAACTTATTTATTTTCTTCGTAATTATAAAATTAAAAAAAATAAGAGTTTAAGTTCAAAACTTGACAACGCTGTGAAACATTAAAAAATGGTTGTTATGGGAACATATTCTTCTTCTTCTTCTATACTTTTTATTCTCTCTTTCGAGAGAATTGGACTTGAGCCGATTAGGCTCTTACTGCCCAGTTACTAGTTTTAACGTCCAATGATTTCCGAAGAACCAAAAACCATTGGACAACGCATGGAGCCTACATAGGCTCCATGGGACAACGATTGACTAACGAACACGTGGACACAAATAGGTTAAGTAACCTTTAAATTTCAATGTTTATATAAATTCCTCTATTCCTTTAAAAAAGGACAAAACGAGGAATATTATCTAGGACTGGAATCCGATTTTGTCCTCCCTGAGTCAAAGTCAACTATATTTCACACTTTTCATGGAGCAATGCACGAGCGATGCGCTTCTCACCGAGGATAAAATCGAACTCCGGAACCTATTAAACAACAGGGAATCTGAAATTAACAGGGTTGACAGATGTGTAATAGTATATTACACTACAAGGGCAGAAAGTGTGAGATTCCTGCGCGCAGTTCAGGGCTCTCACACTTTCTGCCCGTGTAGTGCATACTATTTTTCTTACTACCTCGGCCGAAAATACGGGAAAAAATTAAATGTGTATATCGAAACATATTGATGCCTGCCCGACATTTGCGGCACGAGCGAAGCCTTCGTAGCCCTTGTAGTGTAATATACTCGAAAATACGTTGTTTCGTCCCCGATTCCAATGCATCAAACGTAAATTTGACCAATTTGACTTTCTGCCGTGGAATCGGGGACGAAACAACGTATTTTCGGCCGAGGTAGTAAGAAAAAAATTTTTACAATTTTTACGTAAATCATTAATAAAATTTATATTTACTGAAAATGTACGCAATTTTATTTTATTTTATTGGAAAACTTAACCCAGGATTTACTTTCGAAAAACACCCAACAACACAGCAAATCGTTCCACGTATCTTTTTCTCGATATTTTAAACATTTTCCGGCCTTTTTCCTAAAAATACTCTTGTAAGTTACAAATTGTAACACGCGTTTGACAGCTTATTATTAAAAGTTGTAGTTTTGTTACGTGGTGGCGCCACTGACAATGCTTCTTTATCGTATATCTACATAATTTAAAATTGTTTAGGAACTTACCTGTCTATAATTTTCTTAGTAACTTTAAACATAAAAAACCATTAAAATTGCATTCTATAATATTTATACAACAGTCAGTTAATTAGCTACAAAAAACCACAAACCGTCATTTTTTCAAAATTTTCTATAAAAACGCAATTCGTGTAATCCCATAGTAGCACATGTGCTCATTCTCTAAATATGTGACTACAAGACTTGTAGTCACATATTTAGAGTACAAGTCGACCTATTCGCCTATGCACCTTGGCTTTTCCAGTTTCGGGGTTTGTTTACCATTTCGCTTGCCCCAATTATTAATAGATGTTTCTAGAGAAATTTCAAACGCATTTCACCCAAACAAAGAATTATTGTGAGTTTTGGAATATTTCATATAAAAAATTAACCTTGCAAAAATTAATATTAATTAGGTATGTATACCTATAGGTATATGCTTGTAGCATTATCCAAACCTTGAGATAAGAGAAAAAACCACTTCCTTCCTAAATAAATAGTAAACATTTAGAAACCTAATTAATAATAAATTAATATTCTTGTAGTTCCTTATTAAATTTAAATATTATATAAAAAAAGAATGGTAATGGTAACAACAATTAATAATATTTAATCCAACCGTTTAATGAAACCTTAAACATTCCATTTATTTATTTATTTATCAATTTAATTTAATGAGAATTTCGTTAAATCCACAGTCTGGTGAAATCCAAAAAACCATCTCCACGCTATATTTATATAAGCGTGCTCACAATCAGTGTTGCCAATGGTGTTGACATAATTTACACACAGATTCTGTCAAAATTCCACAATTTTGCCAACTATTCCACACATTTGGGATTTTGGTTTTGTTAGGTTTCTTTGGTGATTACCGCAGAAAGAGTTTGTGAGGTGAATAGACCTATCTCATAAAACGGACTTTTGGATAGCGCGTGCGTGAAAAGCACGTCGTCTTTTTTTAATTATATAAAAGAGAAAGAGATACCACTCTTCTTCAGGCACGCGCTATCCAAAAGTCTGTTTTATGGGATAGGTCTATCACCACAAATACTCTTTCTGCGGTAATTACTTAAAGACGTTTTCAAAAACTTACTAGATTACTTACTTTGTCGAAAAGTCTATTGCTATAACCGGTTTTAAGTTACTCGATAACTTACGCTTGCAAGTTTCCAAAAACACCAGGTTTTTATTAATTTGCTGTATATATAGAAATCTGCACAGAAATTCGTCCATATACCTAAATAACTAAAATGCGCATTTGCAAATATATCTATTTAAATGCTTGTTATAAGCATTGTTAATTTAAAGATAAAGTTTACACGCAAATTCCACACATTTATGTATTACACACAAATTACACACAACTAAATAAATTCCACACAATGCGTGGATTTCCACGTACATTGGCAACACTGCTCACAATCCACATGGATTGTGAGCGTGCTCATCTCTAATCATTACAGCAGTGTTGCCAACCATAGCGGAATTCCGCTCCGCACAGCGGGATTTAAGTCGGGTCTATAATTGTCATTTTTTTTTAAATGCGTATTAGTAAAACATCTAATTATATAATATTTATTCTAAAAGCTAGCGAAAGTCTCGTTACCAAAGAAAACGTTTTTGAATCTAACTAAGCTTCATTAATAGATTCCCTTCCGTCCGGAAATCTATAAACAGCACAACAGTTTTTGTATTGTTAATCTTTTACGTGAGGAAGGGAGTAAGGAAGAAATGCAATCTAGGCTTTAGAATATTTTTGTTTTGTTTTTAAGATTCTTTGTTTATAAATTAATTTCCTTGTTATACCTATGTTATAATCCCTGTAGTGATTTTTTTGTTTTCTTTTTTTTAATATTTATTACTTGAATAAAGTATTTTGCCTAACATTTCTTCAATTGCATTAAAAAAATTGTATCCAAAGTTTAGATTCCAAACTTTAAGCCAAATTAGAGCGGGTGTAGCGGAATTAGGATAGTTTCGGCTGTAGCGCAGCGTAGCGGAATTTTGATATTGTAGCGTTATTTGTTAAGTTGGCAATACTGCATTACAGATATCTACCTTACCGACCGTTTTGACTTTAAGAATGAGCTGCTGTCAGTTTGACTGTTTACGTTATTTATTTACATTTTTCGTGTACCTATATTTCCAAAATGCAGTGCACCAAAGAAGAAATTGAAGAAAAAAAGCGCATAGCTAAAGAAAGATTGGCGAGAAAAATGCAATGCAGCCCAGTTAAGGCGAGTTTACAGAGTTTTGCAAACAGCACAAGTCCAAGATTCAAGTTTAACAGAGATAACTCCAATCAAAAAGCACCGACGACGAGTTTTTTCAATAGAAATGCCAAACCGTACGATAAACCGGGCGTGAGTGCAATAAACCAAACGAAATTTTACGGGAAGGATAAAATTTTTAATGTTAAAATGTGTTTGATGAGTGAACAGAGATTTGTGGTTGAAATGGAGTTCTTTCAGCCTGTCATAGAGATTTTTAAGACTATACCTACTAGAAATTATAGTTAGTATATATATTTAATAGTTAAAACAAAAATCTATTGCAGAGAATAATTTTAGATTCAAGTACTAGAAAATGGGATTTTCACATAAAAGATTACGAGATGCTTATATCTAAACTACAGGTGCTTAGGGCAAATTTAAATATTGATACTTTGCCAAGTTTTGTGTTAAATTGTCTTAAGAGAAAATCAACATCAACAATAGGTGATATGAGTAAAATTGATAGTGAATTACTCACTTCTTTGATGCCTTTTCAAATTGAGGGAGTAAAGTAAGTTTTTATATGTATTTGTGTCTTATGATAGCTATTTTAGCACTATTCTTCAGATATTTCTTGACCTTTTTTTTTAGTTTTGGTATTGATAAAAATGGAAGGTGTTTAATAGCTGATGACATGGGTCTAGGAAAAACATTTCAAGCATTGGCATTGGCCAACTATTACAAAACAGATTGGCCTTTGCTAATTGTAACTACAGCATCAATGACGTAAGTAAATCACTAAATAAAATAAGTAAAGTAACCAAACAGTTTTTTTATTCTAAATTTATTTGAAACATACTTAGGAATGTTTAGAACTATTTAACAAAAATCACGTTTTAAATCATACTTTCAAAAGCCTAAATCACATTTAATAATGACAAAAAAATTTAATTCAAAACTTATTTTTCTAATTATTTTGTCCTTTCTTAAATACCTTTTTAACATTCTTAAATGTTTTAGGCTTTTTAAGAATGTTTAAAACTATTTAACCAAAATCACGTTTTAAATCATACTTTTAAAAGCCTAAAAACATTTCAGAATTTAAGAATGTTATAAAAGTATTTGAGAACGTAAAATTACTTTTAAAACTATTGGAACTATTTAAACAAAATCACGTTTTAAATCATACTTTCAAAAGCTTAAGACACATTTAAGAATGTTAAAAAGTATTTAAGAACGTCAAAATACTTTAAGTAATACTTTCAAAAGCCTAAAACACATTTAAGAATCTTAGAAAAAGTATTTAAAAATGACAAAATACTTATCAAAACTTTTTTTAAATTCAAAACTTATTTAGAACATAGGCACTTAAAAATGTTTAGAACTATTTAAACAAAGTCACTTTTTAAATCATACAAAAGCTTGGACACATTTAAGAATGTTAAAAAGTATTTAAGAACGTCAAAATACTTTTAAAAACTTTTTTAAATTCAAAACTTATTTAAAACATACTTAAAAACTATATACTTAGAACTATTTAAACAAAATTTAAACTAAATCACATTTTAAATCATACTTTCAAAAGCTTAAGACATATTTAAGAATGTTAAAAAAGTATTTAAAAATTACAAAACACTTTTGAATTTTTTTTTTAATTGAAAACCTATTTTAAACAGAATGTTAGCACTTTTTAACCAAAATCACATTTTAAATCATACTTTCAAAAGATTAAAACACATTTAGGAATTTTAAAAAAGTATTAAAGAATGACAAAATACTTCAACTTTTTTTAATTTTTTTTTTAATTCAAAACTTATTTAAAACATACTTAAGAATGTTTGGAAGTATTTAAACAAAATCACGTTTTAAATTCAAAATTAATTTAAAACATACTTAAGAATGTTTAGAAGTATTAAACCAAAATCATACTTTTAAAAGCTTAAAACGCATTTAAGAATGTTAAAATAGTATTTAAGAATGACAAAATACTTAATTTTTTTTAATTTAAAACTTATTTAAAACATACTTGTTTAGAACTATTTAAACAAAATCACGTTTTTTATCATACTTTCCAAAGCTGAAGATACATTTATGTTAAAAAAGTATTTGAGAATGACTAAATACTTTTGAAAACTTTTTTTAATTCTAAACCTTTTTTAAATAGAATGTTAGCACTATTTATTTAAGAATGACAAAATACTTTAAATTTTTTTTAATTCATAACTTATTTAGGAAATAATTACTTATTACTTTCAAGCTTTAAAACATTTAAACATTTGTTTAAGAACGTCAAAGCTTTAATAAAAAACATCTTGAAAGTATATAACTATAAACTACTATAGTAGAGTATTTTTAAAAATTTAGGAGCGTCTGGGAAGAAACCATACACCGTTACCTCCCCTCTGTATCCATTTTGAGCACGCAGTACATGGTGACCGGTAAAGATTATATAGGGGAAGCAAAAATTCTCATCGTCAGTCACGACATGATGTCCAGGGCTCTCGACAGACTATTGGACAGAAATTTCGGCGTGATCATCATAGACGAATCGCACGTGTTAAAGAACTTTAAAGCCAAGTGCTCCAAATCGGCCGCGCAGCTGGCCAAAAAAGCGAAACGCGTCGTTTTATTGAGCGGAACGCCTGCTCTGTCGCGCCCGTGCGAGCTGTTCACGCAGCTGGCGCTGCTGGACGAGAAATTCTTCGGTAATTTTTTCGCGTACAGCAAGAGGTACTGCGACGGCAAAACGACCAACTTCGGCTGGGACGCCAGCGGCAAATCGAACCTGCAAGAGCTGGAAATCGTGCTGCAAAAAGTATTTATGATCAGGAGAACCAAGGAGGACGTATTGAGGTCTCTGCCGAACAAAATACAGGAAGTCGTCATGCTGGATGTGAACTTAAAGCAGTTCTCGGAGCAAGACAGGCGCTGCTTGAATTATTTGGCGGAAAAGTACAACAACATGACCTCCAAAAGGGACAAACACGCCTTGTTGCTGACGTTCTTCTCGGAAAGTGCCAAAATTAAAATACCGTCAGTTTGGTGAGTCCTCTTTGAAAATACTCTGGTGTGTTTTGAAAGTGTCAGGGCTCCCACACCTCCTAAAGTTCTCCTAAAATTGCCACCAATCCCCTAAAACTCCTAAAAACTAAATATAAATAGGCATTAAGGTAGTAAAATAATTCTATTTTAAAAATTAATTTAAAAATATATATTTTTAGGAACTACTTTATTAAATTCTTTTAAAATGGTATAATATCACAACCAAAATTTTTCTTAAAAAACAACAAAATATACCTAAAAAACAAAATTCAAGTAATACCTCCTAGACTTCTAAACAATTGTCATTTTTAGCCATATTTCGTTTGTTTTAGACAAAAATATACCGTGTTATATATCAAACAGAAGGATTTTTAAGTTTTTTTTTAAATGACAGCTAAAATAGTAAACAATCTAAAAAATGTTTTGCTGTATTTTGCGAACTTTTTTGCGAAGATTTTTGAGTAATAACTACGGTTTCGCAAAAGCATCAAACGGTCGATTTGCAGTACTTTAAAAAAAAAAAATCTCGTCCATTGACAATTTTATTTTTATTTTTTTCTTCACTGTGTTAAAAATGAAGAAATTCCATTTTTTTAACGATGTGGCTCCCGTCCCGAGGCGGGACTTAACTTCGATCCCGACAGACGACACACACTGTAAATCCGTTTTTATTCCGCGAACTTTTATAATTGGTGTCAAGCTGGATGGCTTAGATGGTAGGGCGCTCGCTTGGCATGCGAGAGGTACCGGGTTCGATTCTACTAGAAGTTCTCAAACTTTTTTTATTTTTTTTATTTTATAAATTTGTTGTTTCTTTGTTAAAAAGTGTTTTATTTTTATCGTAACATAAATTTGCCCATTTTAGTTGGGTTTTTTGCTCAATGGGGCGGGGGGGGGGGGCCCAATGGGGCGGGGAAGGTTGGGTTGTGTTGTTGAGTTTGGGTTGGTTTGGTTTTATGACGTAACTAACGTGCCCTTAACGTGTATACAGGTACAATTTATTATTATTATTATTATTTTATTATAACATAACAAATCTTAAAATTATGACGTCAATCGGGACTGAACTTAAGTCCCGCCTCGGGACGGGAGCCACAGCGTTTTTTTAATAACTTTTTTATTTCAAAACGTATAGATTTGAAATTTGGACAAAATGTAGATCTTACTAATGACAGGGGGTTTAAAGGGTAAATAATCGAAGAAGCAACTTTGTTTTATAAATTTCAGTATAACACGTTAAAGTATTGATATTTGACTTTATATATTAACTTTTTTATGCAAATGATTTTTCTGTGGCCAGGATCAGTTTTGAATTAGCAGTAGCAGTATTTATAAATGTTTAATTTAGTACATTTTGTCATTTTTATACAAATATTGTCGTATTTTTTATTAATAATTAAGTATAGCAAAACACATAAATGACGTTTAATATCAGGGTGTTTCACGTACGTAGTCCATTAGAAGTTTCTAGGGAATTGCGAGACATCGATTTAAAATTTTAATAGCGTAAATTATTCGATTTAGACTTTTTTCCTAAATTATTTTGAACAAAATAATACTTCCTGTTTTACCGAAAATGTCTTTAACTTTGTTATTTTAAACAGGACACCTCATATATTTTTACATTTTTGAATTCTACATAAAATTCTGAGTAAAATGGCTATACCTATAGGTATAGAGTTATTCATTTTTCAATCAAATATTTTAATTAATTTTAAACAATGACAGATTAAGTGGTAACCATGGATACTGTCACATTAAGCCAAATGTAGAATTTCACAGGTTTGTTGTTACAAAATAGTATTGAAAATATTAGAAATTCCTAAATGCCTCTGAAATTTTAACTTTAGGAAACAGTTATTATAATAGGTACCACTCGAAAGATTCTTTAATTTTCTATTTGATTATGTTAAAAGTTTTAACTTGAAACATACAGGGTTTTACTATTATAAAAAAACGTTATTATTGTTTGAAGTTTGCCTAATTTCAAGTGGATTTTCCTAAGGTATTAGTTAAAAAACCTTTAAAAACAAAGTTTTAATATTCCAAAAATTCCCACCCCATGTCAGCAAACATAATAACGAAAAAATTAGAGACTATTTATTATTAACGTGCATTTAGCAAAATTTCAACGAAAAAAATTAATATCTCGAAAACTATTGACTTTGGGTATAGTCTAAATCAAATTGTAAATGCTATTAAAATTTCAAATCCATATTGTTTATCCGGAAACACCCTGTATAGCATTATATTAAATATAAAAAAATGCAAAATAACTAATTACAAAAAATATAAAAAATATACATATAGGATCTAAATAGCCGATCGCAACATAAAAAATAAAGTCTTTATTCTAATTTATTTATTGGGTAAATATTACTTTCCTCAGTTTGGAATTAAAATTGAAGCTTGCTTATCAAGTAAAAAATAAATTGAAGCTTGGTTGTGGAGCAAAAAATAAATAAAGTAGGTTCGAATTTCTAACTTGCTGACACTGTCTATAATTATTATTTAGTTTATTAATTTTAATAAATTAATGTTTTGAGTTTATAGTACGAGCCCTAACCACATAATGTTCGGACACTTCATAATTTATACAGAAATTTTTTTTCGTGAATACTATCTCAAAATTATTAGAAGTTATGAAAAATTCAGCTTATTTTGGCATATACCCCTCGAAGCGATTTTTATTTTTAAAAAGTTTACCTTTTATTTTTAGCTTTTAAAAAAAGGCTAACTTTTTAACTTTTTTTTGCATGAGTAAAAAAAGTTATAAATGGGCCCATTAAAAAGAACATAAAATATTATACAAACCCTGAAAATTTGGTAAAAATTGTATAAATAATAAGAAAGTTATAGCGATATATATATCTGCAAAATCTCCCGTTTCCTAAGAAAATTGCAAAAACTCTTTAAAAATAGCATTTTTAAATTACTTATACTTTTTTATAACTTATTTATTTTTTACCAAATTTTCAGGGTTTGTATAATATTTTATGCTCTTTTTAATGGGCCCATTTATAACTTTTTTTACTCATGCAAAAAAAAGTTAAAAAGTTACCTAGCCTTTTTTTAAAAGCTAAAAATAAAAGGTAAACTTTTTAAAAATAAAAATCGCTTCGAGGGGTATATGCCAAAATAAGCTGAATTTTTCATAACTTCTAATAATTTTGAGATAGTATTTACGAAAAAAATTTCTGTATAAATTATGAAGTGTCCGAACATTATGTGGTTAGGGCTCGTACACTTATAAATTGAAACGCAATCAGTCATTTGCAACTTATAAACTGAACTGTCAAATTATCTTTCATGTTTCCAATGGTAGGTTACCATAGAGAAGTCTATGATGCCTACTATGATCAAAATTAGTAAACTTGAAAAAAATTTAAATTTATAAATAAAATAATTTTAGCTTCATCTATGGCGATTTTTTTAAATAAATATGTAAGAATTGTATGTTATATATAATATATTATTTGTAATATATAATGTATAATATGTAATATATAATACATTATCTGATAAAAGTAGGTAAAAGAATATATACTTTATAAATGATGTCTCTCGTAGAAACATAATTTGCATGTAGAAGTTTATATATCAAATAATAGTTAATTATCAGTGATATACTCAAAATTATAAAACAACGTTGGTTCTTCGACTTTTTAACCCTTAAAGAATGATAAAATTTTAAATTAAATTTTCCCCAGCGCCTGTATATTAAAATTAAAAAAAAAATTACGTGGATTTATTGCCATTGCCATTAATTTTAAATCGATAAGTTTTTAAATAAAAATGTTGTTACAAAATATCGAAATTTATCCATTTTTAACACAGTAGAGTGACTTAAGGCCTGAAAACCACAGTGGTCAATGGATGCAATTTTTTTTAAATTGCACAATTTAGATGTAAAATCAATGTTAAAAAATATATTTAATTCTGGCATCACTTGCAAACAAATGTCCAAAATTTGTTCGATTTTTACGCGAAACCATGGTTAAGATCCAAAATACAATTATTATTAGTTATTAACTAAACGGATAACATATTTTTCTTAAAAAATAAATATAACATCATTTGATTTTGGTCTATTTTTTTAGCCAAATCCATCGACGCGTTTTTTTAATTGAAATTAAAAGTGTGGTGAAATTTCTACTATACTATTTAGGGTGTGCCGATTTTACCATTTTTCAATTATCAAATTTTGCAATGGTGGAAAATTTGTGCATTTATAAGGCCAGAAAAATATTATATGAGTTTTGTTTTAATTTTAATTTCTTAAACTGCCACAAGGCCTTGAAAGTTCTTAATGTAATTTAGTACCGTTATAAATTCGAAAAAAAATATCTGGGAGAAAATAGTTTTGAATGATAATTATTTATGAGAGGACAAGAAAACAAAAATGACTTTATCATCAACACAAATTTTGTTTAATTTATAATCCTGTTTTGAACCAAATAGGCATAATTTTGCGTGATTTCAATTGAAGCTGTCACAATATTATAATTTATATAAACAGTGAAGCCAACTGTCATACGTCAAACACTTAAATATTTATTTTCCATTTTACGCCCTCTTTTCAATAATTGCATGATTTAAAATTTAGTTTTTTAACTTCATGCAGTTCAAAACATTAAAAAAGAAAAAAAAACATGAAAGGAAAATAGTTTACTTTCCTGTTTCACAAACTTTTCCGCTAATGCAGAATTTTTTTTAATTACTTTTAAATTTTAGAGGCGTTGTGGCAGTTTAAAACAGAAATATATCAAAAAAAATATTTTGCAAACATTTTTTATTTTTCTATTTCACAACTTTTTGTTAAACGCAGAATTTTTAAATTTCAGAAATTACATGTAAAATCGGGCCCTAGTATATACACTTTGTGACCCATTTGTTTGCGACTCACCCCTGTAAAATCTTTATTTATTGAGCGATTTTAACCGGATTTGTTTTAAAGTGTAAATCTTGATAAACTGTATTTTTTGATCAAAAAACGCCATATTTTTACAAAATACAAGGCCTACTATGTCAGTTTTTAAGATTTAAGATTTTTAAGAATTCCTATTAGCAATTTTTTTAAACAAAATCTCAGCACTGCACTGGATTCACCACCCCTCAAAACGACCCTATACTAAATTTTATTGAAAAATTTTAAGTAGAAAATTGCACAATAATAAGTACATTCATTTATTATGTCAACTTATCCATGAAAAAACATTGAAATAAAATTAAACTTATAATAATAGTACCATGTTCCTATTAGTTTTTAGAATTTTATTTCAATGTTTTTTTCATAGATAACTTGACAGAATAAATGTTTGTAGTTATTATTGTGCCGTGCTTAGATTTTGTTTAAAAAAATCGCTATAATGAATTCTTAAAAATTTACTCTTAAAAACTGACATAGCCTTGTAGTTTGTAAAAATATGGTGTTTTTTGCTAATAAATAAAGATTTTACAGGGATGAGTTGTAAACAAATGGGTCACACTGTAGGTATATGTACCTTAGATATATACAAAAGTAGTAATTTTACCACACTTTTAATTTTATTTAAAAAACTTGTCGAGTGATTTGGCTTAAAAACTAGTCAATGTAACCTATTTGTACAAAAGAAGTTATATTTATTTATATTTTTGTTAAAAAGAATTATTTATTTTTATCTTATTTTTTAAGTAGTGTTTATGTCTCCTAAAATTTTACATAAAACCTCCTAATCCTAAATAAAATTTGTAATTTAGCTGTGGGAGCCCTGAAGTATCCACGATACACAAAAACCGGTATTATACTGATAGTATAATACTGATGCGCATGTTATAGCTATCTCACTCCCACCGTGTGACGTCATGTGCGATCCAAAAGCTGGCGGGTAACTGGGTTGGAATGTTATTTGCAATGCAAAATCACGTTATATTCGAAAATTTATAAATATAGGGACGGCCTTCATTCCTTCCAATTATCTCAAAACTGCTTTTTTTCTTGTGACACTTTTAAAGCGGATTTCCGATACAATTAAAACTTAAAAAACCCTGTAAAAACTCAAAAGAAATCGTAGTAAAACACCCGTGCATAGCGTATGCCTATGCAAAAATGTTTGTAAGGTTTGAATCTGGTTCGCACGTGACGTCACATGCTCGTAGTCGAAGAGTTTTCGTTTATCGTGAAAGTATCCCCTTTCAGTTCCTACATCCTTCAAGTTCTGGAAACGAAAGCCAAGTTTCTGGTTTTCGCCCATCACCAAGTGATGATGAACGCGATCGTGGATATTCTGCGTAAAAAGGACGTGAAGTACATCAGGATAGACGGCAACACTACCTCGGACCAGAGGAAGAATTTCGTCAACAAGTTTCAGCTGGACGATAGCGTTGTTTGCGCGGTGCTCTCGATTACCGCGGCCAATGCCGGCATCACTTTGACTGCCGCGCAGTTGGTTTTGTTCGCAGAGCTGCACTGGAACCCCAGTGTAAGTAAAAATAGCTTAATTTTCATGTATGTTTGTCCGTCATCCGTATGTCAGTTTTTCAATAAAATTGTCCGATAAGAAATGTTCTAATTTTCATGCATACGTTTTTTAATGACGTTTAACGGATTGATTTTGCGACAAATAGAAATTAAGTGTCAGTATATTCACTTACTAAATTTACCTAATGCTTAGTTGTCATAGTTACAATAATTAATATAAATAATAATTATTATGTCAACAATTGTAACTTTAACAGTTAGCTGTCTAATAAATTTAAAGGTAGGTAAATATACCTTATAAAAAGAATATACTAGCCCTAATATACATTAAAATGTATAGTTTTAAAAAAGCAGGTCCTTTTAGTTCTAGTTTTAATTTTTGTTTGTTTGTCCTTTCTTTTTTTCCGTTATTCTTATTAAATAAAAACTTAACAGTAAAACATTATTCACATAACGAACGTAATATTTTCGTTTTACAATCTTATTGAAAAAATATAAAAATATTTGAAAATAAATTATCTTAAAATAACGTTAGGCGTCAAAAACAGATTTGTAGTGACGGCTGAGTTAAAATTATTTAACCTTTCTTTGTCAGACGGACCGATAAAATGTCATAATTTTCGAATTACCAATAAGAGCGCTCCCGGATGAACGGACTGACGGACAAACGGATACATGAAAATTAAGCTTAAAACGTATTTCAGGGTGTAACCATTTCTTGTAGATTTTGAGCCAGGCTGAGAGCAGAGCACACCGCATAGGGCAAGAGAATCACGTGATAGTGCGGTACTTGTTGGGAAAAGGCACCGCAGACGACTCGATGTGGTACCTCCTGCAGCAAAAGCAAAAGATCCTCAGCGAGATCGGTTTGTCGAAGGACTCGTTCCGAGACGTCGCCGTCACAAACCAGGCAACATCCGATGAAAAACTGACGGAGAACCTGAACTTAACGTGCGCCGCCACCCCCGCCAACACTTTGGACATCTCCTCGTATTTCAACAGGAATATCACCATCGCGAGTGATGATAGTTTTAACGATAATGAGGATAACAATGATGAGTTCAATGATAGCGCCATTTTGGATGATGGAATGGACGATCTTTTTTGTGATATAAACTTGGATATAAACTTGTAGTAAAATTTTAATATTTTTTCGTTTTTTAAACTCAAACTTTACCTGAATAAACTTTATTTTGTTATTGTAATGTATTCCACCACACCCCACCATACCCCCACTACAGTTCGAGACCAACGGCAGCTCAGTTGCATACCGACCGCTGAACTATAAAGAGACAACACGTTTATCGTAGAATAATTCATTGCAATCATTGTGTAAAGTTAAAGGAATGTTAAAAATACAGTGCAGTAGAAACCATCGTGTCTTTCATTAAACTGCAATATATGAAATATAACAGTTATAAACACTGTTTTTTATTTAAAGGTAGGTATACTGCGGGCGTAAAAATAAACTCATTTTGCTTAAAAAATGTATTGTGCAACAATGGTTGATATAAGTACAAAAGTTCCTAAACCTACTATTTGGGCAAGTATCATGTTCCTATTTTTACATAAATATCACTTCAACGGTAAAAATGGCACTTTAATCTTAAAGGCACACATGTTTATCTAGTCTAAAACAAACTGAGTGAAACTAGTTATTCAATGCGTTGGACTAGAATAGAAACTAAACAAAGTCATTATTATAAGAAATAAATAAAAAGTTATTAAATGCCATTAAATAATACTTAATGTAAAATAAACTTAACCAAAAATATATAAACGATATTTAGTTAATGACAACGTCGCTGTCCGAATCTAAAGCTAGCCCCATGGTTTCTTGTATCGTGTGTATTCTGTCCACGAATTGCGCTAGAAGTTGAGGTGCTTTAAGCGGTTGGAGGTCTTCTTGCTTTAAAAGATGGTTTCTGTAAGAGGTGTAAAAAAACCATCAAAACTGTAGTGCTGACTTTAAAAGAGACAGCGCACAGTGGGAGGAATTTCAAAAATCGGGGACAAAATTAGGGACACATTATTTTAAGCCATTTTAAGGTTTATGCGGTGATAAATTTATGCTAAAATATTAATATTAATAAAATGTTTTAATTATGTACACAAATTCACAAATTTTTTTTGGAAAAGTTCGGTATTGTCGATCCTCCATTTTTCAAAATCATAAATTAATAAACAAATATATTACGCAATATTACCTAAGCTAAAAATAGAAAAAAAAACAAAAAAAAAAAACAATAACAATTAAGGAATATTCGAGCAAAATCACTTATATACATTTTTTTCGATACATCTTTTCTTTGTAAATTTCGCATCTTTTGCTTTATTTATATCGACTACTAAAGTGACTTGGTCCAAAAAACCCTATATCGATGTTAAAATAACATTTAAAAGTTGACTTTAAAGCAAAACCGGTTAAATCCACGTTTTTTACCTACTCTCTAAAAATGACTAATTTAATAGTTATTATCGGCTGCTTTTTTACCATGGAATATAATGGTATCCCAAAATTTAACATTTAATTCTTATGTAAAATTGTCCCCTGAATCCGAAAATGCCATAAAAAATTATGAAAGTGGAGCAGTTTTTGAAATATAGTCAATTCCATATTAAATGAAAAAATGACTAGGTATATCTCAAAAACTGTTTTACTTTTTTAACTTTTGACGATATTTTCGGATTCAGGGGACAATATAAGATTTATCAATAATATCCAGGTTTTCGGTTAGATACTTTAAAAGTTTGTTGTGTTTTTCTTTGTTACTAACATTTTTAATAAGTTCATACAACTTCTTATTAGTCGTTGATGGCATTTCTACATAAAAAAAACAAGTTATTCAAATAAACATGTAATATTTATATTAATATTAATATTATAACTTACCAAATATTATTATAAAGCGTTATTAAACACAAAAACACGATGAGATTGTATGTATGATTGACTTTTACTGGAAACTGACATTTTAGAACTAGCAAAAGGCAACTAGGATAACTTATAAATATTCGACTAATATGATAAATTCATGGACATATTTCATATTCTGCTGACCAAACAGGCAAAAAAAGGCAGCTTATTTCTTTTGACTTTAAAAAAAGAAAATTTGATGAACGTTCTGGTACCAAATACTTTGCCTCATACCAAGGCACACCTAACGAAATATCTTGTGGTTTGTAAAAGATTTATCTACTTAAAGGCGATGGTAAAAGGTTCATAAAAACCGTAATTATGGTAAAATTTGCAATTTTAGACTTTTATATGTATGAAAGAACAAGGACATGTGGTAAAATATACCATCATTTCCTTTCATTAATTAGGCAAAACAAAAATGGGCTTAAAAAACTTACGTTCAATTTGCTCTAAAAAACCGACACGAACAATGTGACTTTTTAAGCAAGTTTAAGCGGGCATTTTATCATAAAAAATATATTTCTTTTAAAATCATAATCTCTGTGCTTTCTTTTTTTATAATTCGTAATTTAAAATTTACTATGTTGATTTTTACAAAATAGGGTTTTCTCCGCGATTTTTGAAATTCCTCCCAGTGTGCAGCGCGAGGAAAACGAGAAAAGTTCACAAATACACCACCTATAAACTGAAATATTGTTACAAAAAATGGTACTCACCCTATCCTCATGGCAGCAGCCCTCCTCTCCTTCTGCGGCGGGGTGTTCCCCGACCACGACACGTTGGACTTGGCGCTTTCCGGTTCCGGCTTCGCCTCCTTGGAGGTTCCGGGATAGGCCGTGCCCGCAGAAAATCTCGAATTAGAGACTGGCTGGCCGACGTGGAAGTCGAGCGGCTCGGCGAGGGACGCGCGCGCAGTGGTTTCCGGGCGCCCGCCCGTGCCGCTGGAGTAGCGCGAGTTCAGTGCGCAGGTGGCGCGGATGCCGCTGCGCCAACGGCGCACCATGTATCGCATGCGGAAGATCGTTATGACGGCGGTCACGACGGATCTGAAGCATGAAAGTTTGTTTTTTATGTCCACCGCAAATGCTAAAATCCCCCACTTTTTCATGATTTTCCCACAAAGTGTCCACCCTGTTTATTGACATTGTTAATTAACTTGTTATCACTTGTCATTATTATTTTAGGTTGTGGTCATTTATTTATTTTAGTTGGTGGTTATTTAGCTGTCTTCATTTTAGATGGTGGTCATTTAGCTTATCGCTTTAGGTAATTTTATTTTGTTGGTATTTTAACTGGTCATTTTAGTTGGAGGTTATTTAGCTTATTGTCATTTTAGCTAGTTTTCATATCAACTTGCAGTAATTTAGCTTGTCGTCAAATATTAGCATGTCGTCATTTTATCTTGTGTTTATTTAGATTGTCATTTCATGTTAGCTTAGTTTTATTTTAGCTTCTCTTCATTTTTCTTGTGGGTATTTTTATTTAGCTTGTCTTCATTTTAGCTTTTGTGGTCATTTAACCTGTTTTTATTTTAGCTTTTGGTTATTTTAGTTTGTTGTTATTTTAGCTTTTAATCATTTTACCTTGTGGTAAAATTTTAGCTTGTAGTCATTTAGCTTTTCATCATTTTAGCTTGTTGTCATTTAACTTGTCATTTTAGCTTGTCAGTTTTTAATTATTTTGGTTTGTTGTAATTTTAGCTTGTGGTAAAATTTTAGCTCGTCATCATTTTAGCTTTTGATCGTTTTGGTTTTGTCATTTTAGCTCATTTTTATTTAAGCTTGTCATTTTAGCTTCTGGTCATTTTGATTTGTTATTATTTAAGCTTGTGGTTAAATTTTAGGTTGTAGTCATTTAGTTTGCCATTTTAGCTTGAAGTCGTTTAGCTTTTAGATTTTAATCATTTTGGTTTATGGAAACTTTAACTTGTCGTCATTTCAGCTTGTGGTCAAATTTTAGCTTTTTGTCATTTTAGCTTATTCTTATTTTAAGTTTGTCATTTTAGCATTTGGTTATTTTGGTTTGTTGTTATTTAAGCTTGTCGTACTTTTTACTTGTTGTCATTTAGCTTGTGGTCGATTGGCTTGTTCTCATTTTAGCTTGTGGTAAAATTTTAGCTTGTCATCATAGCTTTTGGTCATTTTGGTTTTTTGTTACTTAAGATTGTGGTCAAGTTTTAGTTTGAGGCTTGTTGTCATTTAAGATTTTAATCATTTTGGTTTGTTGTTATTTTAGCTTGTCACCATTTTAGCTTTTGTTCATTTTGGTTTTGTCATTTTAGCTCATTTTTATTTTAGCTTCTGGTCATTTTGGTTTGTTATTATTTAAGCATTGAGGTTAAATTTTAGGTTGTAGTCATTGAGGTTGCCATTTTAGCTTGAGGTCGTTTAGCTTGTCGTCATTTTAGATTTTAATCATTTTGGTTTGTGGTAATTTTAACTTATCGTCATTTCAGCTTGTGGTCAAATTTAAGCTTTTGGTTATTTTGGTTTTTTGTTATTTTACCTTATTGCTATTTTAGCTTTTGTGGTCATTTAGCCTGTCCTTATTTTAGCTTTTGGTTATTTTAGTTTGTTGTTATTTTAGCTTGTTATTTTATCTTTTAATCATTATGGTTTGTTCTTATTTTAACTGTGGTCATTTAGCTTGCTGTCATTTAACTTGTCATTTTAGCTTGTGGTCATTTAGCTTATCATTTTAGTTTATGATCAGTTTGGTTTGATGGTATTTTAGCTTGTAATCATTTTAGATTTCGTTCATTTTGGTTTTGTCATTTTAGCTCGTGGTCGTTTTAGCTCATTTTTATTCAAGCTTGTCATTTTAGCTCATTTTCATTTAAGCTTGTCATTTTAGCTTCTGGTCATTTTGGTTTGTTATTAGTTAAGCTTGTGGTTAAATTTAAGGTTGTAGTAATTTAGTTTGCCATTTTAATTTGAGATCGTTCAGCTTGTTGTCATTTTAGATTTTAATCATTTTGGTTTGTGGTAAGTTTAACTTACATTCATTTCAGCTTGTGGTCAAATTTTAGCTTATTTTCATTTTAAGTTTCTGTGGGTAAAAGGCATAAGGGGATAAGTCAAAAAAAGCAATTTTTCAGTAGAGCCTTAAACTTATTCGCATTAATTCAGGAAATATATTTATGGTTAGCAGGTATACCCTTTTGTTAGCACATATCATATGCTAACAAAAGCGTAAACCCGCTAATCATATATATATATATATATTTCCTGAATTAATGCGAACACGTTAAAGGCTCTATTGAAAATTTGCTTTTTTTGACTTATCCCTTATGCCTTTTACCCACAGGTTTGTCATTTTAGCATTTGGTCATTTTGGTTTGTTGTTATTTAAGCTGATCGTAATTTTTACTTGTAGTCATTTAGCTTGTGGTCGATTAGTTTGTCCTCCTTTTAGCTTGTGGTAAAATTTTTCCTTGTCATCATTATAGCTTCTGGCCATTTTGGTTTGTTGTTATTTAAGATTGCCGTCAAATTTTAGTTTGAGGTTAATTAGCTTGTTGTCATTTAAGATTTTAATCATCTTGTTTTGTTGGTGTTTTAGCTTGTCATCATTTTAGCTTTTGTTTATTTCGGTTTTGTCATTTTAGCTCGTGGTCATTTTAGCTTATTTTCATTTAAGCTTGTCATTTTAGCTTCTGGTCATTTTGGTTTGTTATTATTTAAGCTTGTGTTTAATTTTAGGTTGTAGTCATTTAGCTTGTCTTTATTTTAACTTGACGTCATTTTAGCTTATCCTATAGTAGATCATAAAAAAAATATCTTAGCTTGATCAATGTTTACTAGTATTTTCGCTTAAAGATTTTTATTGCAAAATAGTAAAAGCGCAAACATGGAAAATACAAAAAAAATTGCAAACAAATAAAAAAAAGATTTTTAGTGTTAGGATCCAAAAGATTAATTTTTTTCAAAATTATTATTACTTACATAAATACAAACTAAAAAACACGTTGTTGATTTTATTAGCTAAAAATATCAAAAAATTACTCACCTAAACTTAAGTTTCGGCCTTCCAACAGTTGGTTTTGTACCTTTCACAGTTCCCAAAAGCAAAACCTTACACCGAACCTCGTGATGGTTAATAACGTTCATCAAATACCTCTTCTGATAAAGCAAAGCCTTTTTATTGCTGTTCAACTTCAAATTCTTGGCGAACAGGAAATCGCACTGCAAAATACAAAAAGTTGCGTCAAAAATTATCACTCCTCGGCCATTTTTTCCGTCGTTCTCACCCTATTTTTGAGATCGGAGTTTTCGGCCAAGTTCGGATTCCTGCTCTTAAAGTTGATCAATTCTCTCTCCACCTGGGCTTTCTCGTTTCTCAACTTGTTGATCAGGTCCACCATGGCCTTGTCGTCCAGCAGCAAGCCGTTGATTTCCCGGATCTTGTTCATAACGATTTCGTGGACTGGTTCCTCCAAAAATGGGTTCGTCGAGTTTAATACCGCGTTGTTCTTCTCCTTTTGCAGTTCAGACACGTTTCCTTTGAGTCTCTCAATCTCCCACAATTTCTGCTCCAACTGCAGTTTGCTCTTTCTCGCGGTCTCCTTCAACTCCCTATCAGATTCCACCAAACACTTTAATCTCTCCTCCATGGAGTGGGTGCGTTCCCTTTCCAAATCCAGCATCTTCTTCACGCAATTCAAATTATTTTCCACCTCCTTTCTGCTCGCCTCCGATTGCTTGAAAGCTCTCTTCGCCTTCTCGTACTTTTCCCTTTCCAGTTTGAGCTCGTTGCGGTACTTATCCTCGTTACTCGGAAGGTTTTTGTATTGCGTCGACTCGGTTTTGGAGTTGCTCTGCTTGAATTTCAGGTGTTCCAGCTCAACTTCCAGATTCTTTCGCACGACCTTTTCTTCGTCTATAATCCTCCCGAATTCCTCCTCGTTGCCCATGGCTGTATCCAGTCTTAACCGCATTTGCTCTATCAATCTGGCATCTTCAAACTGGACTTTTTGAAGGTTGTACTTCATTATATCCAGCTGGGACTCCAAAGAGAGCTTCGCGTTCTCGGAGACTTCCAGTTTGGTTTCCGAGTCGCGCAAATCTTTCTCCAGCAGTTTTTTCTTCCGACATAGCTCGCTATTTTTCGCCCTCACTTTATTTAATTCTTCCTTTAATTTCTCTAAATCGTGGGTATCGGAAATGGACGTCAAACTTTGATCGGACACCGCGGTAATTATATTGCAATCCAGCTCCGCACTCAAGTCCAACTCCCGTTTAACTTTACTGGCAATATCCTCGACGTCGTTAATATTTCTCTTTGATTCAACGTTGATCATTTGCGCTTTCAACGTGTGCAGTTCGTTTAGTAGATTTACGTTCTTCTTTTGCTCCTCCTTTAGTTTGTGGCGTGTTTCGATTAAACCTCCCCCTTCGCGAAATTTGTTCTGTATCGTCACCAAGTTGGCGTTGACTTTTTTGTGATCATCGGATATTTTATCGATGATTTTGTCCTTGTTGCCAACAAGATCCTGCAGATGTAACAACTCGTTGTTCAACTCCTCGTTTTTCTTCATCACGTTGAGAATGATTTGCTCTTTTTCATCGACGACTTTCTGCAACTTCTCCATCGATTGCAGGCCGTTTTGATCCTCATACTCGTTGCACTTTGTTTGGTAGTGTTTCAAATCCTCGTTCAGTATTTCGATTTCGCAGTTTTTATCCAGCAACAGGTTGGAATAATTCTTGTTTTCGTCTTTGAGCGTTTTTATTTCACCCTCGTGGGTCTTGCACGTTTTCTCCAGATCGTGCAGTTTTTCCCTTTTCTTGGCGATTTTCGATTTCAGGTTGTCGAACTCGGTTTTGTACTCGTTCACGATGCGGTTGTGATTCGCAATCTCCTTCTCCAACTTGGCGGTTTTCTCGGTTTCTTCCTCGTATTTTTTCTTTAACGTGAGGACGTTATCCAAGTTAACGCGGTTTTCCTGCAAGGCACTGTTCAATTTGGCTATTTCGTTCCTTAAATTAACCACATTCTCTGCATTTTCTTTTTCTCTTTGCTGAAGTTCGTAAATTTCCTCGTTTTTCTCGTTTATTACTCGATCAACAGTCTGATAGTTTTCGTGCTTTATATGAGTTAATTCTTTTTCTAAGTCTTTCTTCTCCCTCGATAAATCCAGAAGCATTTGGTCCTTTCTGTTGGAGTCCTTTTCGAGCAGGGAAACCTCCTTTTCTCTCTCTGAGAGTTTCATTTTCTTCTCCGCCAATTCTAAGCGGAGATTCTGCTCTCTTTCGTGGCCCTCCTTCTGCTCTGTTTCGAACGTTTCCTGCGCCTTGTTCAGGGCTTCTTCTGTTGATTCCAGAGCGGTTTGTAATTTTTCTATTTTTTGTTCTAGATCTTCAAAGTGTGAGAGCCGTTGCTCGCACTCTTTGATGACCTCTTCCTTGACTTTAATCTCCCCTTGCAACTTCTCCAACATGTCGTCTTCGAAGTGCACTCGCTTCTCCATGGATTTATACAACTCCGTCGAGTTTGATTTTAAGAGCGGTACGGGTTGCAGCCTTTCAATTCTAGAGATTTCCGGTTCGCAGGATAAAAAGACGGTTTCGTTTTTGTTGCGTTTAAAATCCGGCGCGGGCGAATCGTTTTTGCTTTCGTACAGGTAACGCATCTGATCCGGTTGCGAGGTGTCTATCAGGGACAAAATCTCCGTTAGAGAGTTCCCTGACTGTTTCAGGTGGGATAACGTTTGCAACTCTTTTAAATCCAGGTTGAGGGATGTGTAGTCTTGCAGTTTCCTCTGCGTGTCGGCTAGTTTGTCGTTCAGCTTGTCTATGTCGGTGTTCTTGTCGGATATGATGTTTTCGACCAAGTTCGGCAGCATTTGCGCGTCCTTCGACATCTTGTTTTTCAGTTGAAGGTTCTCCACTCTAACTCGCTCCAACTCCTTCTGCATCGAGGCGATCATTTCGTCGTCCTGGTGGTTTAACAGTTCCTGCTCCTGACTTTTAAGGAGCCTTTTGGTTTCCTCGACGATCCCACTCAAGTGGTTTATATTCTTGTCCTTCTTCTGCAACAACTCGTTCAAGTTAGCGATCTCGCTCTGTAGGTCGTAAATTTTGACCTCGAGCGAGTTGTTGATCTGCTTCTCGTTGTGCTCCGCTCGTATCCGCTGCTCGTCCAGGCGGATCTGCAGGTCGGATATCAGCACCAAGTGTTCCTGTATTTGACGTTTTAGTGTCTCTTTTTCGCCGCAGTTCTCCTCGACGTCGCTTTTGAGGTTGAACACCTGCATTTCGAGGTCGCGGATTTTTTTTATGGCCGCGTCTTCGGCGCGCGAGTGGCGGACCAGTTTTTCCTTGAGGCGCGCCAGCTGCGCCAGCGGCACTTCGCAGTCGTCGAAGACCATGCTGTTTGGGGTGTGGGGACGCAGCTTAAGGAAATAATAATGATTAGATTCCTATTTGTTTGAAAAACATTAGGGAAATAAGTTATGTAGCAGGTAATATTTCATTCCATAAGCAAAAATAAAATTTCGCCGTAAAAGCAAGATTTTTATAAACCATATTACACAATGTATGCAACAAACAAAATTTTAATATTGCAAACGCATATAGAAAAAATAATTTGCTCAACATTTTTAAACATATTTATAAATGTTCAGAACCTCATGGCACATTTTTTTAATGTAAAAACATTTTTCAGAATGCAGAAAAACTATAAGAATTTCAAAAACATATTTTATATTGTCAAAACATTTTTCAGAATGAAGAAAAAACATAAGAACGTAGAAACACATTTAATAATGCGAAAACACATTTTATAATGTCAAAACACATTTTAGTATGCCAAAAACAAGATAAATATTAGTACCTACATATGTCAAAAATATTTTGTTAAAATATTTTTCAAAGAAATCTGTAAGAATGTCAAAACATTTTGGAATGCAGAAAAACCGTAAGAACGTAAAAAAACACTTTTATAATGTCAAAACACATTTCAGAATGGAGAAAAACGTTTTCTTTAAAAAAATATAATGCAGAAAAACTATAAGAATGTCAAAAACATATTTTATAATGTCAAAACACATTTTGGAAAGCAGAAAAACCGTAAGAACACTTTTATAGTGTCAAAACACATTTAAGAATGCAGAAAAACAAATTACTAAAAAATACAAAAAAACACAAGATGAATATCAAAACTAATGTTATAAACACATTTTATAATGTCGAAATATATTTCAGAATGCAAAAAGAAACATAATAACGTAAAGAACACAGTTTATAATGTCAAAACACAATTCAGGAGGCCAGAAAAATAAAATAAATATCAAAAGTTATGCCAAAAACACATTTTATAATATCAAAAAGTTTTTTAAAATGCAGAAATCTATAAGAATGTCAAAACAAATTTTAGAATGCAGAAAAACTATAAGAATGTCAAAACCACATTTCAGAACGCAGAAACACAATAAAATGTCAAACTTACTAAAAAGATGTAATCTATTAGAATGTCAAAACACATTTTGAAATTCGGAAAAACAAAAGAACGTAAAAAACACATTTTATATTGGCAAAACACGTTTTAGAATTCAGAAAAACAATGGAATTTCAAACTTACTAAACAAATGTAACCTAATATATTAGAATGTTAAAACACATTTTGGAATTCAGAAAAACCATAAGAACGTAAAAAAAGCATTTTATTACGCCAAAACACGTTACACAATTCAGAAAAACAATAGAATATCAAACTTACTAAAAAATGTCAAAAAACACATTTTATAAGTCAAAACACATTTTAGGATTAAGAAAAACCATAAGAAAGTAAAAATCACATTTTAGAATGCCAAAACCCATTTTAGGATTCAAAAAAACATAAGAACGTAAAAAATACATTTTAGAATGCCAAAAAACATAATATGAATATAATGCCAAAACAATTTTTAGAATGCATAAATCTATAAGAAAGTTAAAACTCATTTTTGAATGCAGTAAACCATAATAATGTCAAAACACTTTTTATAATGTCAAAAACATTTTTCAGGATGCAGAAAAACTATAAGAAGGCCAAAACTCATTTTGGAATGCAAGAAAACCATAAGAATGTTAAAATACATTTCAGAATGCAAAAAAACTATAAGAATATCAAAAACACATTGTATAATGTCAAAAAACATTTTAGGATTCAGATAACCATAAGAACTTAAAAACACATTTTATAATGTCAAAAACATTTTTTAGAATTCAGAAAAACTATAAGAAGGTCAAAACTCATTCTGGAATGCAAGAAAACCAAAACAATGTTAAAACACATTTTAGAATGCAGCTAAAACTGCGTTTCACAATTCAGAAAAACAATAGAATGTCAAACTTACTAAAAAAATGTCAAAAACACATTTTATAATATCATAACAATTGTCAGAATGCAAAAAGTATGTCAAAACACATTCTATAATGTCAAAACACATTTTAGGATTCAGAAAAAGCATAAGAACTTAAAAACACATTCAACAATTTTCAGAAAGCACAAAACCTATAAAGTCAAAACATATTATGGAATGCAAGAAAACCATGTTAAAACACATTTCAGAATGCAGAAAAATTATAAGAATGTTAAAAACACATTTTATAATGTAAAAACATTTGGCAGAATGCAGATAGTATGTCAAAACACATTTTATAATGTCAAACCACATTTTAGGATTCAGAAAAACCATAAGAACACATTTTATAATGTCAGAAAACATTTCAGAATGTCACACCAATAAAAAATGTAATCTTTTAGAATGTCAAACTTACTAAAAAATGTCAAAACACAATATAGGATGTCAAAATAATTTTTAGAATGTATAAATCTATAACAAAGTCAAAACTCATTTTTGAATGCAAAAGTAAACCCCAATAATGAAAAAACACATTTTATAACGTAAAATTATAATGTAAAAAACATTTGTCAGAATGCAGAAAGTATGTCAAAACACCTTTTATATATAGAATGTCAACTTAATAAAAAAATTTAATTTATTAGAATGTCAAAACACATTTTGAAATGCAAGAAAACCATAAGAATATTCAAACACATTTTAGAATGCAGAAAGTATGTCAAAACAAATTTCAGAATGCTGAAATCTATAAGAATCTTAAAACACATTTTAGAACGAAAAAAATACTTTTAAAGATGTAGACTTCAAAATATCAGAAACACATTTAAAATGTCAATAAAACCTTAAAAATATAATATGTTATAAAAGTAGAAAAACTTACCAAATCCCTCACCGACAAATCCTCACTGGGCGAGCTACAACTGTTGTTCGTTCCGCAATACAACCCCTCCAAGGACTTCGTCTTCCTCTCCAACGCCACCTCCAACTCTTGCAGCTGCAACCTCACCTTGCTGGCCGCGCCCTCGCTCCCCGCCAACTCCGAACTGACCCGCAGCTGCTGCAGCTCCCCCTCCAAGCCGTCAACGTGCCTCCTCAGCTCCTGCACATCTGAAAACCCGAACAGTGAGTGCGTCGCTTGCGTGTCCTCCAAGGACCTGTTCTGCGACTCTATCATACATCGCAGCTTCTCGATCGTCTCCAAGTTGCTCTTCAGCTCCGTCTGGCAGCTCTCCGTCTGCGCTTCCAGCTCGCGAATTATCTCGCGGAGCACCTTGATCTTTTCCACCGCCTCGTCGCGCTCCGACTCCGACTCCTTGAGCTTCCGCACCTCTTCGGATAGCGCGCTGTTGAGGTCTTGTATTTGGGATTCTAGGTGCTCAACCTAAAGACAATTGTTATATCTAAACTCATCACTGTTGACTTTATGATAGAGTCAAGTTAGATTTAACTGCTTTGAGAAAGTCGTTTGTAGTTTACTTCCCGAAATGGGATCACAACATTTTCCCCAAAAAGCATACCTAGGAACTTCTTCTACTTAAACCGCCACAAATCACTCACAATTTACTCCAATTAAAGCAAGATTTTAAACTTGGACTTGTTTGTAAATAAACACGCCTCCCTGTGGAGTTCTTGCGTAAATTTGAAACACAAGGTATGAGGAGAGAGAGTTGTGAGAATGTTTTAGTGTTTTAGCGTATAGTACCAAAATAAATCCGACGGAAATAAACTTTGAGAGATGCTGCGGTTTGAGTTAAAAAGATTTCCTGTGTCTAAAAATAAAATCGACTTTTATTTGTACACAAAGAAGTAAATTTAGAAACGCAACAACAGGTAAAAAATCGCTTAGTAATGGAGGTGATGGGTTAGTACTTGAAAAAGGACAACTTTGGTGATATGTTAAACAAATATTAGAAATATTCCCCAACACCAAAACAGAGCCAACAGAGCCCGCAAAAGTCAAGTTTATGACTATTCCTGAACTTCAAAATTGCTTTTAGTTCAAGCAGTAACACTTCAGACCCTTTCAGGCAACTCCAAAGATAAATAAATAAACTGTCAAGATGTGACATGAAATATGTTGGACAAACTAAACGATTCATCCAAGTAAGGTTCTAAGCTTTGGGTTGTTTTCTAGAGATTTTTCAATTTCTTTAAAAAAAATATTAGTTTTTTTTAGACACTCTAATGCGCATGTTATAGCTATCTATCTCGCACCGTGTGACGTCATGTGCGAACCAAAAGCTGGCGGTAACTGGGTTGGAATGTTATTTGCAAATTTACGTTATATTCGAAAATTTATAAATATAGGGACGGCCTGAGTGCAATTATTAAGTGTAACAAATGTTAAGAGAAAGTTAAATTGGCAGCAAGCGCTTTTAATACTAATGTAACATATTTTAAGCAACAATTAATTTCCCACCTTCCTATTAGTATTTTTCAAAATATTTTTTATTTAATTGAATTAACTAAACTTATGCTGGACCGAATTTTACATTTTTTTAATGTGAAAGGTAAACATGCATTTATACATGTAATAATAATGCACGCACGCTTTAAGATTAATTTTCATGTATCCGTTTGTCCGTCATCCGTATGTCAGTTTTTCAATAAAATCGTCCGATAAGAAATGTTCTAATTTTCATGCATACGTTTTTTAATGACGTTTATCGGATTGATTTTGCGACAAATAGAAATTAAGTGTCAGTATATTCACTTACTAAATTTACCTAATGCTTAATTGTCATAGTTACAATTATGTCAACAATTGTAACTTTAACAGTTAGCTGTCTAATAAATTTAAAGGTAGGTAAATATACCTTATAATAGTTATTTACGTGTCAAGCTTTGTAAAATTTAATGAATCTTTACAGGCGAGCTGGAAGTTTATGGGGTGAGCGACGCAGGAGCGAACCCCATAATCCAGTGAGCCTAGTATAGATTAATTGCAAAGCGTGACACGTACAAACTTTTATTTTCACCTTTAGATAACGATTTTCAAATTTAAAATTTTAATTAATATGTCAAATGTGACATTTCATTTCATAAATTGCTTTTCTACAAGCCTGTAAAACTTTACAGGTCTTTTATACAAGCCCGTAAAGTATTACAGGTCTGTTCCCATAATGTATCGTTTACTTGGATACAAAAACAACACAATTAACCTATAAAATGTCATTTACTAAGAAGGTGGAAATAAAAAGAATATACTAGTCCTAATACACATTAAAATGTATAGTTTTAAAAAAGCAGGTCCTTTTAGTTCTAGTTTTAATTTTTTTTTGTTTGTCCTTTCTTTTTTTCTGTTATTCTTATTAAATAAAAACTTAACAGTAAAACATTATTCACATAACGAACGTAATATTTCCGTTTTACAATCTTATTGAAAAAAATATAAAAATATTTGAAAATAAATTATCTTAAAATAACGTTAGGCGTCAAAAACAGATGTGTAGTGACGGATGAGTTAAAATTATTTAACCTTTCTCTGTCAGACGTACGAAGTTGAAACTTGACGGACCGATGAAATGTCATAATTTTCGAATTATAATTGGACCAATAAGAGCGCTCCCGGATGAACGGACTGACGGACAAACGGATACATGCAAATTAAGCTTTAGGTGTCAAAAAAAAACAAAAAAAATCTCAAAACTGCTTTTTTTACTTGTGACACTTTTGAAGGTACAAGATACAATTGTGTTTTAATTTTTATTATTAGCAATAACTAATGCAAGCTGTAAAAAATATGTGCTTAGGGTGAAAAGTTACTATAAGAACCTAACAGAAAATTGGGTATACAAAAATTGCCTTTACTTATTATTTTTATTTTCATTTTATCCTTTCTCTTGCATGAATTGCCCGGCATATTTTAAATAATTATTAAGTCCAACAAATATATACCTTGTAAATAGTTAAGAACCCGTGCATAGCGTATACCTATGCAAAACTGTTTGTAACATTTGAATCTGGTTCGCACGCGACGTTACATGCGCAGTTGACGAGTTTTCGTTGGGGAATATTTTTAATATACGGGTTAGTAGTTAAAAAAGTCGGGTGCATCACTTACAGTGTTTTTAGATTGGCTACATTCGGTGCACTGCGGATTAGTTTCCTGAAAAAATCCAAAACCCGTGCGGTGAGAAAGAAAGCTCGGAAAAGGTGATGTTAGTGAGAAGAAAAGCGGAGGAAAAATCCGCGCGAAAACGTCCACTCACCTCGGAAGTGTATCTTTGACAGCTGGTCCGGTCCCTGTCCCGCTCGCGGAGCCGCTCCTGCAGCATGTCGATTTTTTTTTGCGCCTCGTCGCGTTCCGCCTCGCGCTCGTTCGCCTGCTCGTCCAGGAATTGCCTCGTTTGACGGTACTTTTTGTCGGCCGCCTCGATCTAGACACAACGGTCGGTTGTTAAGCTGCGTACGCACTTGGCGAACTTCGAAGCTACTACTCGAAGAACGATTTAAAGAGCCAAATGACCGAACATTTCATGTAGTTTTGATCAATTTTAGACGGTCAAAAGAAAGTATGTTAAAAATTTTAAGCTCTCAATTTATGAAACAAGAGGTAACGATTAAATTTTTTCCTTCAAAAAAAAAATTTATTGTTGAAATTTGGGTTCAAAAGGTTTATTGCTATAAAATACCCACGACAAATACAACAATACATATATTGCCAGATGTACAGTTACGGAAAGAAGTAATGTCCATTTGAATGCTCCATTGTAATTGTTCGGAGGCGTTCGGAAATAGTCAACATCTGCCTCTTAAAATTTATTTAAAAATATGTCTATAGTTAGAATTTACTGCCTGCTCGTATTGAATTAATTATTTTGGGTATATTACATATTTAACTGTATTTTTATTAAATCGTTAATTTTTTGATATATTTTTGTATGGTTTTATAAACATTTATTCTATGAAAAAACTTTTAATAACAAATTTTTACGCCATAAATAATATTATCAAGTCGTAGTTTTTTAAAACTTTCTTTACATTTTTCAGAACTAGCAATGATTCAATACACTATTCTACATCAAAGGAGTAAAAACACATTTTATTATTTGTTGCACTTTTATGTGTTAAAATTAAAAAGATATATTTAAAATTTTTATATTTGGTATATGTTTAAATTAAATATACTACGATTTATTAAAAAACGTTTAATGTAATTATAATGTAAAAGTTAACATACCTATAAAACTATAATATACCGTACCTTCATTTGCAAGTTATACATAGGGAAAATACAGTGTAGGTGGACCAGACAAGTCGAAGTCGGCGCGGTCAGCGCGAAACGAAAATGTCCCCAGAAATTATTTTGACGAGTGGATGAGTAGACTAACATGCGACGTAACAAGTGACCTTGTTTACTGGCGATTAAAATTTTATTACGTCCAAATAATTTCTGAGAACTTTTTCGCTTTGCGCTGACTTCAACTTGTCTGGTCCACCTACAATGTATTTTCCCTATGTATAGCTTGCAAATGAAGGTACGGTACATATAAAAACTATAAAACATATAAACATAAATAGGTATAAAATATATATTATATAAATATATAAATATTATAAAACTATAAAATATATATTATATATGTCTTCATATTTATTTATTACTCTTTTATTATGTGTAGATTAATGTGTATTTTTATTTGTGTTTATTTTTATTAAAATATTATTTAATTATTGGACTTATACAAAAAAATCGAATATTTATTTTTAAAGTACCTCAAAAATATTGTTCAGAATCTCAAAAAAAATGGTCCTGTTAAAATGTAAGCTCTTAATATTACATTTACAGGTCCCTCATCGGGAATATTTATTTTTAAAGTACCTCAAAAATATTGTTCAGAATCTCAAAAAAAATGGTCCTGTTAAAATGTAAGCTCTTAATATTACATTTACAGGTCCCTCATCGGGAATTTTTATTTCCCATTAAAATAATATGAGATTTTTTAAAATACTTTAAAAACTCGTTAACGGATTAGTGGAAAAATAAAACTAAAACAAATTTTGGTAGGGCTTTTTTAAAAGGTATTCAAGGTAAAAGTTGAATTTATAGAAATTTTCAAGATTTTTAAACTTTTTCAGCAAAACAAAATTTATGGTAAAATTTAGTAGGACCCTTTTTTAGGAAAATAGTATCCAAAACCATGAGCAAAGAAAGCGGCCTTTTTATTTAAAAAGAAATGGTAAATAATTACATTAATAATTATAGTTAAAGCATGGTATTCCCAAAGGGTTTGGACCCAATTTGGTCAAATATTAAATTATCGTTTAAAAATAGTCTGTGTCATGCAAAACGACTAAAAAAAATATTCTTCATATTAATTTTGTATTTTAAAGATGGATGGATTTTCATTGATTTCTCACAATTTTGTGTAATACTATGTTTTTTTCTACTCCAATTAAGTAATTTTCATTTACAATAAAATTTATTATAACCTCACTTTTCTACGATTTTACAATTAAATTAAATTTTATAGTCGCCCCTCGTATATTTAAATATATCTGACATCTGTCAACCTTACTTTTTTCTAATTTAAAACCCGATTTGTTCAAACAACAGTGAATATTGTAATAAGCCAATCACTGATGCCTAAAAATGTGAATAATGAGTTTATTATTCACGTTGATAGGCCGGGCGGGTAAATTGGTTATCATTATTAAAAAAAACAAAAAATGTCAATAATAAGCACAAAATGCATTTTAGTTTAAAATTTTAATGTCTTTAATTTATAGTAAGAATAAATATTTTAATTTAAATTGCCCAGGTAACAAAAAATCACATAAACAGGTAAATACATTAAAGAGGGTTATTAACAATTTTATTTGCAAAATTATGCAAAAGTTTATAATTATTTTAGTATTAAATGTCTATATTTCATTTAAGTATATTATTTTATTAATAACAACTTATTAAATAATATATAGTTTATTTAATAAGTTATAGAACATATATTATATTTAAATTATTTCCGAATCAATGTTATTCCTTAAATATTTAATTATTGCATAAAAGCTTAAAAGTCAAATGAAATGTGCGTAGAAAGAATGTTAAATAGCAGGTAGGTAGAATTATTGAGTTTAAAAATAGATATGTTAATTTTATTAGCAAAACCCGAATGTCTCCGAACAATTACAATGGAGCATTCAATTGGACATTACTTTTTTCCGTAACTGTACATATATCATGGCAATTTTTCAAAATTCAAAACATGCAAAAGAAATATTTAAGTTTGTTTTCGATTTAATTAAACAACTTTACAGCGCCCTCTAAAGCTCACATTATTTTTTTTAGAAAATGTAATTCTTCCGTCCTAAAAAACCGCCGAATATCAAATTTTGTGCAAAAAGTTTGGTTTTTCCAAAGTTATTAAATAAAATCATAAAACGAACTTTCAACTTTGACACTGTACCTTTGTTAATATCAACTTTTGTATCTACTTATAGGGGTAAATTTAGTTAATGGAATTTTCGTAGTTTTTTGGCATTTTGAATTTTAATCAATTTTAGACGGTCAAAATACAAAAATTTGAAGCTTTCAATTTAGGAAACAAGATATAACGATTCAATTTTTTCTTTTAAAAAAGAAATTTGTTGTTGAAATTTGGGTTTAAAATGTTTATTGAAAGAAAAATACCCACAACGAATACAACAATACAGGTATTGCAAATTCAAAACACGCAAAAGATATATTTATGTTCGATTTCGATTTATTTAAACAACTTAAACTTAATTTTTCTGTCCTGAAAAACCGCCGAATATCATATTTGTGCAAAACGTTTGTTTTTCCAAAGTTATTTAATAAAATCAAAAAACGACCTTTCAACTTTCTTATTATAAACTTTTGTATCTATAGGGGTAAATTTAGTAAATGAAACTTTCGTAGAATTATTATTTAATAAACTATAACTTTACCTGGTTAAATTTTAAACAATCCATTTTTAAAACAAGTTAACTAAATTGCACCTAAAACTAGTCAACAAAATAAAAACTTATCCACAAAATATAAATATAAAAATATTGTGAGAACAAATAATAACCTCCATTATTTAATTATAAATTAGCTACTACCAAGGAGCATGTGTTTGGACAAAAAAACTGTAAACAATTAAAAAACATCAAACAATTAAAAAAACGCAAAGATATGATTTCCTAACAAATCAATTCACGAACATTTGTTCATATTTTTTGACATATAATATAAGATAATAACGATTTTTTAAATCATAAAGATTCCCATTTTTTTAGATTTTTAGCAAAAATTACTAAATTCCCGTTTTATCACTTTTTTATTCCAAATATCGATTAAAGAGATATTAATCTTACCCTGCTTCTGTACCCCTGATACATATTCACAAAATTGTCCACTTTTCCTTCGTTAAATAAAAACCAAAGCAAATGTACAGCAGGATGAAAATTACTAAGCACAGTTTGTAACACCAACACCAACAACAAAGTTTAGCACAAGAATAATTAAGAATAATTTGTGTAGTTTAAGCCCAATACCTAAATTTGTGAAATATTTCAAAAATAAACAACCATAAAATTAATGGTTGTTTTGAAAATTAATAAACGAGATGGAAAGTTCTTTTTAATAGTTTTATTATACATGATTACTTCTAGATCTTTTATCTTTGAAATTAATTTTTTGATCATAAATATTTTTAAGATATACTTTACAAATATACACAGTGCGCCTCTGTAAAGTTTAAGTTTTTTGAAAAGACCACCCAAATTTTTTTGTTGTTGATTATAGTGGACCATCCCCTCATTACATACCACTAATCACCTAAATCGCAGCTGATCCTTCTTGAAAGATTTTTAGCTCTTTAGATTTTTTTATATTTTTTTAAGTATTTTTATAAAATTTAATTAAATGGAGACAAAATCGGTTTATTGTATATATATGTATCAGTTTATACTTGTAGATTATAATAAGAAAATTAAAAAATATATCAAATACACTGCACTATACTTGACAGTCATTAACAAAATCAAAATACCAAATTTATTACACTCAAATAATACAAAAATTAATTAAACTTTAAAACAATTTCAAACAAGAGCAAAAACTCTTTATAACACTACTGTCCGTATCGCAGGTCATTTATATCATTGATTTTGTATTTCTTCTAAATTAACAAAAATTCACCAGCTTGTTTCGACCACAGACCCAACCCAGTTTTCAAAAACTGAACCGTTTCTACAAGATGCTCCAAAGGGTCTGCGAGACTCCTGTGCCCTTTAAAACTGCTTTCAAAAGTGACACGTCAGCCTTCAGTTCACTTAAGGTACAAAGCTTGTGTGTGTTAAAAGCCACAACAAATGGTATAACATAAACTTCTTCCAGGTTGACTAATATTTCTTTTGACTTTAAATCTTCTGCATTTTTCAACAACTTTCTGCAGGCATTCCCTTCAAAAAGTTCTCCTTGATAATTTTTCGTGACTAAGTGTAGCTTTTTAGGGCATTTTAATGCGTTTTCTTTGCCTAGCAGTGGTACAAGTCCTTTAAAAAATAAATGATTAACAAATCTTTGCAAAAGATGAAGTTCCGGAATAATACATTTCTTGATAATTTTAACGTCACTTCTTCTTTGAAAATGGCTTTATTGATAGTACTAAAAGATTCATTTCCACGTTTTAAGTTTTTTTCAAAAATTAAGTCAAATTTATTAAAATGTAGTGTATTATCTCCATAGGAGGTCAACTCTTTGTGATATTCACTGTATGATCGAAGTTCTTTTAACGAAATGTAGCAATAAGGATATGGGTAGGACGATGTTGCTGTCTGTAAGCCATTAACCATTAGAATTATTTTAAAGTCAGAAAGAAATTTAAAGGATATCTTTTTTATTTTTACCATGTCAAAAAGTAAGTTAAGATTTTCGTATGTTTCTTTGATGTCAGGAACCATACAGAGGATGATCAGTCTCTTAACACCTATAAGTTTTCCTTTTTTGCAGCGTTACCTCCATCAGAATTCCTCGAACACAATGAAATTTCATTCTCTTTATTTTCTGGATCTTCTGAAAATATGGACAGACATATTTAAAAAAAAATGTTGGCATCCATCGCACAAAACCTTGACATTTGGTGTGCCAAACTCATGTTTCCTTTCTAAAATTTCGTTTACTAGGTCACTTGCATCTGCATAAGTAACTGTCCGTGGGAGTTTTCCCTCTGAGGTTTCCAAAATTAAAGAACTTCTTTATAGTATTTAAACAAAATACGAGATCGACTTCTTCGCGAGGTTCTTTCTATATTGACTGGGTATTGAATTTTTTCCTGCCGATGTTCTGATAACATTTGTAATTTTATCCATCTGCCTGCCAGAAAAGCCAGCAGTTGTTTGGAAATTAATTGAATTTTATAAAAATACCTACTTAAAAGAATAAAAAAAATCTAAAGAGCTAAAAATCTTTCAAAAAGGATCAGCTGCGATTTAGGTGACTAGTGGTATGTAATGAGAGGATGGTCCACTATAATCAACAAGAAAAAAATTTGGGTGGTCTTTTCAAAAAACTTAAACTTTACAGAGGCGCACTGTGTATATTAGTTAAGAAAAGCATTTTGGCGACACTCTCCATCTAATATAAGAATAAAAAATAAATAACTGTAACATGCACAAAAAAACAAAATATATTTATAGATTCGAAAAAGAAAAACAAAAAACTAAAAATGTACCCACTAACCCAAGAGTAGAAATGAGAGAAAAAAATACAGTGACATCTATGTACAGTTTGTTTTTTTTATTCGGAATTTGACGTAAAAAATTTGGGGGTATAGTTGGCAAATTCTAGGAACCCAAAATTTATAGTAGGCAAGTTAATTATTTCATCAAAATGCAGTTTTGTTTTTAAAATTTCGTTTAAAATTTTCTGTTGTCTTTGGCATTGTAAAATTATAATTTCAACATTTATGTAAATAAGTAAAATTAAGGTATTAAACAGAAGTAGCAATTTAAAATATTAAAAATACACTATCAAATGTGTCAAATTCCGAATTAATAAAACTTTATGTAGCGTGTGATTTAATTACCTTTTCACTACTGTGGGTAGTACCAACACAAACCTAAATAATAAAAATAAAACTGTTACCAAAAAACACTACAAACTAGTTACTAAGAGCAAATATACAAAAATTAACAAGCAAAACTAAGAAGGGGACATAAAAAAAGATGGGTTTAACATCTGATTTTATTTTTGTGCCATCTTCTCATCCCTATCAAAAACATATTTTAGAGAATTTGCAAAACATGTCAAAGTTTCTAATAAAAAATAAAATAAAAATGACAATCGTCGTTTTTTTCCGAAAATTAAAAAAAACGTTGAATAATTTTTTTATATATTTTTTTTGAAAACCACAAATGAAAAATAATTTTATATAAAACAGCTATAAACACAAAAAATAAAATTATTTAATAAATTATGTTTATTAAGTAATTAAACAAAAAAAAACGAATGTTTGTCCAATAATGAACCAAATAACATATTTTTTTATTTTATTTGCTTTTAAATGTAATTTTTAAAATAAAATATAAAAAAATATTCAGAAACTTACTTTTTCGAAAAACATTGTAATTTTTTTCCATGATTACCTCTTTCAATTTTTAACTTTGATGTTTTCTTTATATCCTCAAAAATCCTCAGATTGGTATTATGAGAAATAAGCTGAGAAAAAAAAAATAAGAAACGAAAAAAACGCCGCTCTGAAAATTTCAGAGAATTTGCAGAAAATTTCAGTTTCGAATAAAAAAAATAAAAATGAAAATCGTCGTTTTTTCCCAAAAATTAAAAAAAAACCTTGATCGGTCTTAATATTTTTTAAATCTACATTTAAAAACAAAGAAAATGAAAAATAATTTTAAACAGCTATAAATACAATAAAAAAATTATTTAATAAACTATGTGTTGATAATAAACATGAAACGAATTCCATAAAAAATTAACCACCTACAATTTTTTAAAAACCCTTTGTCCAATAATGAATCAAAAAACTTTTACTTTTAAATTTTCTTTGCTTTTAAGTGAAATTTTTAACAAAAAATATAAAAAAATTATTCAGAACAATCTTCTATTTTTTTTTTCAAACTTCAAACTACATCCTCAAAAATTGTATGAGTATGAGAAATAAGCTGATAAAAAAAATATAAATAAAGCCACTGAAAATTTCAGAGAATTTGGAAAAATAAAAAAATAAAAATGAAAATTATCGTTTTTCCGAAAATTTAAAAAAAATCTTTATTTTTCGGAAAAGTACAAAAAAAAATTAATTAAAACCTTTCGATAAGTCAACATTTGAAAAAGTTAGATTATATAGAAAAAAAAGAAAACGAAAAGATGTCAGTTTCTAATAAAAAAAAATAAAAAAGACAATCGTCGTTTTTCTCAAAAAATTTAAAAAAAAGATCGGTCTGAATAATTTTGTTAATTTTTTGTTTGGAAACTACATTTAAAAACAAAGAAAATTAAAAAAAAAAATTTATACACAACAGCTATAAATTCAATAAATAAAAATATTTAATACACTATGTTTATAAATTAACATTTTTCCTGTTGTTTGTGCAATAATGAACCGAAAAACATTATTTTTTTAATTTTCTTTACTTTAATTGTAATTTTCAACAAAAATTATAAAAAAATGACAATTGGGTAAAAAAATTTGAAAAAAATCTGAAAAATGTTTTTGATAGGGTAGAAAAAGGAGTTTTAGCCAAAACAAAAGGAAATTCTTCAATGTCAACACCAAAATCTATTTCTGAATCCAAAAATAGATCTCAAACCCCTAGCACCGTTTTTTACATCCCCCTGCGTTACAAATAAAAAAAACACTTACTTGCTGGAGCAAGTCGACTTTTTCCTTCCTGTGTTCTTCCTTGACAACCTCGCACACCCTGCACAGATCTTCGATCAAGTTCAGCAGCACCGGATCGGCGCTTGCCACGGATTTGGCCAAAACATTTCTGGCCTTTTCCTGAAGATCCAGCAAATTCTGCATCGCATCCCCCAAGTCCTTTTGCTCGCCGCCCCCGTAACCCACCGAAACGATTTCCTTGTGCCCGTTTTCAATCAACTCTGCTATCTTGTCTTTGGCTTTGAGTAAATCGGATTCGAGCAGATTGTCTTTGAGGATTATGGTTTCCAGCTCGTTTTCCAGCTGGTATTTTTCCTTTTCCATCGAGGCGATGACGCTGGTTGCGTCTTCGAGTTCCTGTTTCAGTTTCTCTTTGGTTTGAGTCTCGCTGATCAGTTGGCGCGTCAGGGAGGTGACTTTTTCGTCCAGGGATTTTCTCGGCGAGTCTAAGGTAAAAACAATATTTATATTGTTGATACTCTAGTTGAAAAATGTTACCCATTAGGTCCGCTCTGGGTATGTTGTTAGTAAGCGCTAAAATGGCGTTGGCATCCTGTTTGAGCTTGAACAGGCAGTGACCAAGTTCGTTTTTAAAATCTGTAGAGGCGTCCAGAGAAAACTCGTCTGCCTCGCTATTAACCTGTTTCTCAATTAAACCAATCAAATCGCTGAAATTTGGCGCGAGGTGAACCCTTTTAACGTAACTACTGGTGTCGGTTTTGCTCGACGTGGTGGCGCTTGAATCGTTTAGGTCTTCGAGTTGGGTCAGGTTCTTCTCAAATCCTAATTTGTAAAAAACGATTTTTTTGCTAAATTTTTTAACCTTCTTAAAAATGTTTCAAACCTTAATCCATTTTAAATCGACCAGTCAAAAAGGGGCAAAACTTTTTTTTACAGTTTCTCTACTGAAATCGATGAGACCCGTATTTTTTCTCTTTGCTTAAATTTGTTTTGTTCACCCGTAGGAATTTTTTTTAATATGGACAGAAACATCGATTTTTACTGTTTATACGAGTGACATTTTTTCTTGAAAATGCGATAACTTGTCCAAAAATGTTTCGATCGTTACAATTTTTTTTTTAATTGTAGGTATTGTAAAGTGAATAGGTACTCATTTTTTTTTAATGTTTTTTCTATAAAAGGCAAAAAATAAGGTCAAAATTTTAACATTGCCAAATTTTCTTTTACTTCATATTTTTTCGTTTGAAGTTGATAATAATATAAAAAAACTCCCAAGTTGGCAAAATTTGTCGTTTCGGAATTATTACTTTTTTAATAAAAATGCCATTTTCTAGTAAATTCGTGGTTCATCGCAAACATTTGATATTTTATCTAGGGTCATATAACATATTTTTGTCACTTCTCACCGAAAATGCTTTTTGGTAAGCAAATTAAATTATTAAAGATTTTAGAGTAAAATATTAATATTTTTGCATGTGTTATTTTTAAAAGATGTAAAAAGTATACGTAAGTTAAGTTTGGTTAAAATAATAAAAAGTAAAGTATTACATACCTAAAAGTAATTAATCGAATGCAGAAGAAACTTATAAAAACGCGATTTCAAAGAAATGTAGAACAATTCCGGTCGGTTAACATTTATGAGTGAGGCAGTCGCAATACTCTTTTTGACTAAGGCTCTATTAGGAAGGAAAATTAATATTAGGCCTAAGAGGTCCAGAAACTAATGCGCAGGTTAATTATGTTTAGAAATAACACATTTTTATTTGATTTCGTTTTTTATTTATTGGCCACACTATAGGGCGGTTATATATAACTTTTTATAATCGTTCCAACTTATTTAAATGATTTTATTTAGTAGTTTTCAAACCAAAAAATGTTGAGCAATTATTTTGATTCTAACCACTTTAATTATTATTTTTATTTTATTTTATAAAAAGTTTTAGGGCATGTTTTCATAGAAAAATAAAATGATTATATTCACTTCACCAGAAAAACAAACTAACGAACTGTCAAATCTGATACTTCTTTTAAACACAAAGGTTTTAAAGCCTTCTTAATTTATTTAGTTCTGTACATACTTTAAAACCTAATAAACATTTAAATTTAATTAAGGGCCAGTTTTTCAATAGGCTAGTTAAATCCAGAGTTGAATAACTCTGGCTTATCTCTGACTTAAGTCAACTCCGAGTTTAGGTCGCGTTTGGGGTTTTCAATTACAATAATAGTGAGGATTTATCAACTCTAGGTTTGTATAAAATTTGTAAGGTTGGTAATGCGTTGTTATGGTAACGGCTGCATGCCAACGTCATTTTTGACTCTGTTTTGCGGTTTTAACAAAAAAAAAGAATGTCCGAAGGTAGTGTGCTCATTATTATAAAATTATTAAATTTATTGATTACAATTTTAAAATTACGGTTAGTTTATTTTTTGCTTTAGTGGAAAATGTGCTGCAATTTATATTGAAGGCAGTGATTTATATTGAAGGCAGTGATGTCCTGTAATAAAACTGCTATATGTGATTGTAAACCGCTCAAAAAAGGCTCGATCTACAACTTTTTTTTCGGCTAAACATAAAGTAAAATGCATACAAAATTAGGAAATCGCCGTTGACGGGGCGTAAACCTGTCCGGCTAAACGAACAGCTAATTCAAGACAAAATTGGTTTTGTTAAACTGCAGAAAGAAAATTGTTTTAAAAATGAAAGTGTTGCGGCTTGATTATAAAATTTTAACCCGTGGCGTAAAACCGTAGGGTAAGCAACAATTGGTCATTTAAAGCGTCATTTCTTCTTCTTCATAAGCTAAGAGCCGTCTTGGATAACTTTTTGCTAAATAAACTTTTTACCTGTTTGTAGGGTTGGGTTGCATTACATCAACAATTTCTTCTAAAATATTTTCTACCTTTCTTGGAGACAACCGAAATCTGGTTAGAAAATCAATATTGTCCCACATTTCAAAATGATTTATTCTTGGACAAATAACTTTTGGTCTCTAAAGTTCTTTTCATCATTAATATAGGCATTTACATCACAGTCTGGACTTCTGGAGAGACTGACGGCCCAAGGGCTGTATGCACAAGCATATGCAGATGATGGTACAGTCCTAATCAGAGGAGGCATTCTAGGTGTAGTCTGCGACAGAATGCAGACAGCATGCAGAATAATAGAAAATTGGTGCAAAGAAAACGGTCTGTCGGTTAACCCAACAAAAACTGACATGATTCTTTTTACCAAACGAAGGAAGATACAGGACTTCAGGGCACCAGCCATGTATGGAAGACCTCTTGAGATTACTGAAGAGGTCAAGTACCTAGGTGTTACCCTAGATAGGAAGTTAAGTTGGAAATCACACGTCGACAGAGTTGTTGACAAATCGATTGCAACTTTCTGGCAGCTGCGCCGGGTGGTGGGAAAACGCTGGGGAGTAAATCCCAAAGTCCTTCACTGGATTTATACTGCTGTCATCAGACCGCGGATACATTATGGATCAGTGGTCTGGTGGCGCAGTGTGAGCAAAACCACCATCGCTCAAAAATTGAGCAAGATACAGAGACTGGCATGTCTCGGTATCACAGGCGCAATGAGGACTACTCCAACGACGGCATTAGAGGCCTTGCTGAGCTTGCCTAGTCTTTCCCTCTGGATAAAGAGAGAAGCAATGGCGAGCCATTTAAGGATGAGGGATGCCAACAATTGGTTAGGAAAAGGAATAACTTATGGTCATGAGGGCATCGCGGATATGGCTGAGAGGGAGGTCCCAATTAGCTGTATTAGAACGATGCCAGCAAAAGACCGCCTAAGTTTAAAAAAGAAGTTTTCCCTCACGATACCAACAAGAGAGCAGTGGGAGAAAAAGGATGTACACTTTGCACAAAATGCACTAGTGTGCTACACTGATGGCTCTCGTATGGCGAGTACACTGTCTTCAGGGGCAGGTTTCTGCGTGGAGGACAGGGATATCCAAAGGAGCTACCCGCTCGGAGGATATACCACTGTCTTTCAAGCGGAAGTGTTTGCCATACTTGAGGTTGCAAACTGTGAGGATATAAGAACAGGGAGTGAGACAGATATATACATCTGCTCAGATAGCCAAGCAGCTCTGAAAGCGCTTTGGGCAGCGAGAACCACATCGAAGTTGGTTCAAGAGTGTGAGGAAGCGCTGGAAAAGCTAGCAAGTACAAAAAGAGTGCATCTCGTATGGGTACCAGGTCATAGTGGGGTTGAGGGTAACGAACGGGCTGATGAGTTGGCCAGATTGGGATCTGAAACCCCCTGTGTAGGACCCGAACCAATTTTTGGAATTACGAGAAAGCAGGTCAAATCAGCCCTAAATAATTGGGCTGATAAAAGGGCGAACGAAAGCTGGAGAAGAAGCGGTGGCTGTAGGCAGACCAGGGATTTTCTGGTCACCCTAAGCAAACCCAAATCCATCTGGCTTCTAGGTAGGAGCCGAATCTCCTTGGGCCCACTTGTGAATATACTCACGGGTCATGGCCTAAGGAAACACCTCACGAGAATAGGGGCTGAAACCAGCCCCTCCTGTACCCAGTGCGGAAGGGAGGATGAAACCTCCTTTCACTTCCTGGGACAATGTGAGGCCCTCGGCAGACTAAGGTATAAAATCTTTGGAGTGATGACACTCCAAAGGGAAGAGTTGGCCTCTCTTGCCTGGCAGGATATCCTGACCTTTATAAGAAGGTCTGGAAGATTCGAAAGGGCTGGTATGGGCGAAGAGGAAGATGAGGAGTAGTCTGGTTGGTTTAGGAGGGGCAGATAAAAAGGACCATGGAGTCTAATTGTCAGGCTTCGAGCCTACCCAACCGTACTACTACTACTACTACTACTACATCACAGTCCCACATAATCACTTTACACAACACTCACAACAGAATGATATATAGGTAACCCTAACCTCTTTTTATTTTAATTCTTACTTAACTCATACCCTTTCTGGGAATTAAAGTAACTCTGAGTTTAATATAAACTCGGGGATCAAAATGAATTAAAAAACGCGAATTAAGTTAACTCCAAATTTAACTCGGGGTTTGAAGTTAAACCTCGGATTAAATCCCATTGAAAAACTGGCCCTAAGAGTTTGAAAGTGATATTATTAAAAAATGCATTAATATTTGGTAGATATCAAATGTAAAAAAGTGGATTTCTTTTATAACCAACGAACCTCCCTCTTTTATTAAAAAAAATAGTTTTGGCATAAAGTATGGTTTTTGAATTTTAAAATTGTTTTTTTTCCAGACCACTTGGCCCAACATGAAGCAGAAAAGCCAATTCAAGGCACCTAGATATAGAAATAAAATTTAATCAAAAAATGATTTGACCTGTCAAAAATAACATATTTATGTATTTAGAATTTTATTTTGAATCGAAATATGTTAAAATGGATAGGGTGTTCCATAAAAAATTAAAAAGTTTAGACCGGTTTAGACCATTTCCGTTGAAACCGGAAGTGACAAAAATATGTTAAATATGTCAAAAAGTTCTAAATCACACTTTATAAAGATCAAACCAGTTTCATGACCCTAGATAAAATACCAAAATTTTGCGATGAACCACGAATTTAATAGAAAATGGCATATTCATAAAAAAAATAATTCCGAAACGACGAATTTATCCAACTCGGGACTTTTGGTTTTTCATTAAACGAAAAAAATATTAAGTAAAAAAATATATGGCAATGTCAAAATTTTGACCTGAATTTTTTTTTCAATTTTTAGAAAAAACAATTAAAAAAATTGAGTAAATTCACTTATTTTTTTTTTTGTATGTAGTAAACATTTACCTACAATTAAAAAAAAAGGATCGAAACATTTTTAGTCAAGTTATCGCAATTTCAAGAAAAAATGTCACTCGGAAAGAGAAAAATCGATATTTCTGTCCATTTTTTTAAATATTACTACGGGTGAACAAAACAAATTTAAGCAAAAAGAAAAAATACTGGTCTCATCGATTTCGGTAGAAAAACTGTAAAAAAAATTCGTTAAAAAATAACGACCTACCCCTTTTTGCCTGCTCGATTTGAGATGGAAAGGCCCACCTAAAATAAAAACGCACTTACCTTGCTTCAAAAGTTCATCCACCAAAGTGTTATTCAGCTCGTCTTCACACTGCGTGAAATATTTCAACAACTCGCCCAACAAGTTCCTCAAAGAAACCGTTTGTTTCCTCAAGGAATCCCTAACGACAAAACGTCTGAGTAAAAAAAGCATTTCCGCCGACGAAAACTCACCTTTCTTTTAACAACTCCATCTCGCCCTTGTTGAGGCTGTCGCTGTCCCTCAAGCTCCTCCTTCTGGCCCTCTCCAGCGCGCCGTTCAGAGCCTTGAGGTGCTCCTCTTTGAGCGCTGCCATTTCCTCTTCGTGCCGCAAGCGCGTCTCGAGGATTTGCCGCTCGTATTTGTCGGCGAAGCGGTCGCGGAGTTGCAGAAGCTCCGACGGCCACTCGTCGTCGTCCGATTCGTCGGCCACCAGCCGCTAAGAGAGTTTCAAAGTAAAGCTTTCGCGCGTCTTAAACGGTGATCCCTATTTTGACTGAACGAGATGTATTCATCGTGCACCAAAACAAGGATCATCCAGCCAGATGTCCAAAATTACAAGTAATGCAGTTATAACAATTGTACCTGTATCTGATTTTCAAGGGCCGCTATGATGTCGATTTTAGCGAGGGTTACTTGTTCCTGCAAACGACGCTCGTAACTTTCGACAACCTCGTTTAGCTCGTAATCTCCAGAGCTTGCCTAGTAGGTGTTAGAACATTAAATCATGCAGTTAATACTGACATAAATATTATAAAACATTTAGGTAATTAATAGCATGCTTTCATACATCACTTTACGCAAAATATTTATTAAACCTTTTATTTTTTGGACCACCCAAATGTACGAAAGCGTACTGGGGTCAAAATATTATAATAATAGTACGTTATAGACCAGGCGGTAGATTGTGTACGAGGCAACTGTTCCATGGTACAAGAAAACAAGGTATGTTCTTGCGCATCAGTTTCCACCACTCCCAGTGGCGTAGCGACAGTACCGCGAACGCCCGCCAAGCGGGGGGCCCTAACCTCGTAGGGGGCCCGGCCGATACTTGCCCCAAAACATTAAAATACTTATTTCCATCTTACTTATACTAAAAATTGAATATTAATGAATGATTAATTAAAAATATCATAATTTACTAAAATGTAGGTAGGTACTTGATATTATTGGCCTACCATCACAACATAAATGTAAAACATCTAACGGAACCTTTTGATGAATTTTAAAAATCGCGCTTATTTAACAGTTAACAGCGGGTTTACGCAGGAACGATTCAGAACTTGGAAACATGCGCCTAAATCTAAACAGATATGCGCATTTAGTTATGCGTATTATTCTGACAGTTCTGAAGCGTTCTCTTTGCGAACCCCTAAAATTTTGACGATTGTGATTCACAAGTTGTTAGTTTGTTTTTGTTTTATATTCGTATTGGTTCAAGTAGGTTCTTATTTGTGACTGCTTCTGATTATTTTATTTTTCCACTGTTTTACATGCGTTTCTCGCCGGTCAGCTGTGGTGAGCACAAAGTGGTCTAGTATTTACATGTAAGTATTTCTTTTATTATAGGTTAGTTTAATATTATAGAGAGTTTAATATATAGAGTTACTGAGTAAATATTATTAACTAAATATACCTATTAGTTGATACGATTTTAGTTAAATTTTAAAATAAGATACTAGTTACTAGGGTGGGCCGAAAATCCGCTTTTTTAGAATTTCGTTTAGTAATAGCAAAAATTTTGTTCATTATGTTGTAAAAAAATTTTGTGTAAAAGATTAAAATTTTCGATCAACATCCTAGGCTCGCCCAACGCAATTAAAGATCAAAATGTTCAAAAAAAATTTTTCTTAATTTATTTCGATCGGAAATTTTATGCTCTACACAAAATTATTTCAGATGGATAGTTTCAGAAATTTGTTCATTATGTTGTAAAAAAAAATTGTGTAAAAGATTAAAATTTTCGATCCTCATCCTAGGCTCGCCCAGCGCAATTAAAGATCAAAATGTTCAAAAAAAAAATTTCCTAACTTAATTCGATCGGAAATTTTATGCTCTACAAAAAAGGTCCTTACACTAAATTACTTCAGATGGATAGTTTTAGAAATAAACCCGATTTTGGTATCAAAATTTTTTTGAACATTTTGATCTTTAATTGCGTTGGGCGAGCCTAGGATGTTGATCGAAAATTTTAATCTTTTACACAAATTTTTTTTACAACATAATGAACAAAATTTTTGCTATTACTAAACGAAATTCTAAAAAAGCGGATTTTCGGCCCACCCTACTAGTTACGTTTTGATATAATTATAGTGGATATATATTAAACTATAGTGAACATCCATGGGTATATTGGTTACTTTTTTATGTTAAAAAAATATGTTATAACTTATAAGTAAAATAATAGAAAATAATATATTATTTTCTATTATTTTACTTATAATTTATAAGTAGGTACAATGGAGAACCTTATTTTTTTTTTAATTATTTTTTCGTTACTTTTTACTTTTCGTTTATAAATAATTTAAAAAATCATGTCACCGGATGTATTATTTTTTATTTACAATATAAAACCATGTAAAAAATACCTGAAATCAGGGGACCCAGTAAGGATTTTCGCGGGGGGGCCCGAAATTTGTCGCTACGCCACTGACCACTCCATCAAATTGGCGAAGAGGTGGGAGCACCCAGTCGCCACCATATTGACTATGTATTTACATTTTGATGTGAGTTGTTTTTTAAGCTATTTTAAAGTTTTGTAAGTGTAAAAAATGTCTACCTGCCAAGTGAAAATCTGTAACACTAATGCCAAAAGAAAACAAAATGGAAATCCAATACATTTTCTTAGTATGTGCTTGAAGAAATTGATGTTAAGGATAGTAAGTATATTTATTTTAAAAACAATTAAATAACAGCAGTTTGTTTAAAGGTACTTTACTTTTGTATACACAGATTATCTGTGACAGATATATAAATAAAAAATAATTTAGGTTAATATTTTTGTTTGTTTTGTAGTTTGTATTTGTTCCATATACTTTAAAGATAGTTGCTATTAGAAGGAAAATTGGAAACAAAAACATACAAATTACAGTCTTTAAAAGTGGATACGGTTCCAACTTTACACTTAAAAGCTGATCTATCAAAAGAAAAATCAAGTACTTTGTAAGAAATTAAAATAAAATTGCAAAAAACAATATAAATCAAAGTTTTTTTTACAGTGTACAAGACATTGGACAAAACCAGGAAGCATAATATGATCTTTGAAGACCGAAACTCAAATCAAGTACTGCAGTGTAAGAAATTTAAATAAAATTTGAAAAACAAAAGTAATCAAAATTAAATATTTCTTTTTGCATTGTGTAGGAAATGTGCTAAAACAAGGAAGCTAATGATCTTCAAGGACAGTCCATAAAAAAATTCAAACTGCAGCATGCTGCTGATAATGAAATGGCCCGGGATTGAAACATCCCAAAAGCATTAGAAAACCAGCTTGTATACAGGGTGTTTCATAATATATGCGCAGGACTTCAGGATGTGATAACTCATCCAAAAAGATGAAAAAAGTCGCTATTAACTTACGCTCTAAAATGCACAATTTTCGAGATACAGGGTGTTGAAATTTTAGAAAAAAATTCGTTTTTTTCGAATATCTCCGGAACCGTTTATCGTACAAAAAACAGCTTTTGTAAGCATTTTCTACTCAAAATAAGCTATGTTTTGTGCCAGAAAAAAAATTTTTTTCCTCATAATTGGTGGAGATTTTGAAGGCGTAGCGGGTGTTTTTCTCCTCAACTTCTAGGCCCTTGAAAAATGTACGGTTTTGAGAGGCCTATTCGAACCGCCACACAGCGGGCCAGAAATAACATTTTATATTGAATAAGTCAAAAATATTTTTATTAATATAACTGATAATTTAATACTTACATAAACTTAGTAGGCTTTGATTCATATGAAAACAAAAAAATATTTCGATTGATTGTCATGGAGACGTCAATACTGCGTCAGTTTGCAGCAAGTTTGTATTTCGCATTTAACTAACGGTTTGTGAATTGAAAAAGGTTAAATTTATTAATTTTTTCGGTGGGATATATTAAGATATATAATATCTGTGATGGATGAAGCTAAAAGAGGTAAGTTTAGTCTACTTTATCATATTTTTTTGTTAGTAAATTTTCCACCAAAAGACACCTTAAATGAAAACTTTCTATTTGATAAAAATATCTATTGAATCAAAAGGTTCAAATTTGCCACAGGCTTTTTTTTTAAATGTCAAACTATCATATTTTTCTTACTTATATTTTTGGAATATATAATAGTTATACTTTATTTTGATAAAAAAAAATTCTGCCCCAATCTGCCCCTCAATGAAGAATGAGCGTTTTTATTTGCGATGCAATCCCCGTAAAGGTCAATTAATACAGTCCCACAAAAAAAATGTTTTCTGGGCACCAGACTAGACTATCATATTTTTACGTTTTTGAGGTCGCTAAATCCGAATCCGGGGTCCGTTTGACCCGAACAGGTCAGGGAAAGGTCATTTCAAGGTCAAAATGAGAAAAAACACTTAAGCGGAGACAACTATTATCACTATACGTTTTTCGGGTCACCGAGTACGAATCTGGGGTCTGTTTGACCCCATCATGTCAGGGTCAAGGTCTTTTAAGGTCAACATGAGAAGAAAATTTATTTTATTGCTTATCCGGTAGCTAAAGGTCTATTTTGTCGGTTTTGGTCTCTTCCCTAAAAAAAATTGTGAGTTAGGCCATTTTCATCTTAAGTCGACGATTTGATGCATTTATTAGTTTATAATAAAGTGTATTTTGTTTCCTTTAAATTTGTAATTAAATCTTTTGCTACAAAATCTCTCGAAGTAACATTTGTTAAAAGGTTAGTTTGTTTACTTAAAAAAAATAGTCTTAAATTTTTGGTAAATAACTTTGAAAGTGCATACATTTTCAGTAAAAATGAGCAGTATTAAATAATCTACATTCTTTTATAATAGTTTAATTTTACATAACAAAAATAATTAATTTAATGCCACTATAGTATACTAAATATGCTCATTTTCTAAAACACCCTTTATAATTAAGTTTCTACTCATCCAATTTATTTATTTTATATATTTTAATCAAAATTAGCTTTTTTAACTTATTTATACCAATTTCTACAAGAAAAATAATTTTTCAATAAAATAAGGGTACGCTGGCCCACTGTGCGCCAATGTTTTCTACACAAAAAAGGTACTCTTGGTCATAAGCTCTAAAGTTGACCGTTTTCGAGAAAAACCAACTTTTATGTTTAAAAACATGGTCAATTTAAAAAAAAATAATTTTTTTTTACTAATTTAACAAAATTTATTTTAACGTTAGAACAAGTAACAAAACCAAACCATAATTGCAAAATAAAAAATGATTCAAAAGTTGTCTTTGCTAAATTCTCCAAACCGTAAAGGTAACGCATTTCAAACATTTCAGCATTTGTGTAAAAAATCATTTTTTATTTTTTTTTTAATTTTGCAATTATCGTTTGGTTTTGTTACTTTTTCTAACGTTAAAATAAATTTTGTTTAATTAGTAATAATTTTTTTTTTTTAAATTGAACATGTTTTTAAACATAAAAGTTGATTTTTCTCGAAAACGGTCAACTTTAGAGCTTATGACCAAGAGTACCTTTTTTGTGGAGAAAACATTGGCGGTTCGAATGGGCCTCTCAAAACCGTACTTTTTTCAGGGGCGTTAAAGTTGAGGAGAAAAACACCCGCTACCCCTTCAAAATCTCCACCAATTATGAGTAAAAAAAATTTTTTTCTGGCACAAAACACAGCTTATTATGAGTAGAAAATGCTTACAAAAGCTGTTTTTTGCACGACAAACGGTTCCAGAGATAATCTAAAAAAACGATTTTTTTTCTAAAATTTCAACACCCTGTATCTCGAAAATTGTGCATTTTAGAGGGTAAGTTAATAGCGACTTTTTTCATCTTTTTGGATGAGCTATCACATCCTGAAGTCCTGCGCATATATTATGAAACACTCTGTATAATATAATATAATATTTTTCACCAGTTTAGTTTGTTTTATTCAATGTTGGCTACATGGTGGCCAATTTAGGGTTTTTATTTGGCAACTAAACCCAAATTGCAATTATTTGTAAATACAATTTTATGATAAATAAATTTAGAAAAAATATGTTGTTTACAATTATTTTGCAATGTTAATGTTTTAACTTGACACTTTTCATTTAATTATTTATATTTGCTTTAAAACAGGATATTTTATTTTATTGAAAAGATTTGACTTATATGGCATTAAAACAAGATATGTTATTTGAAAACCCATTATTTAAAACATTTTTATTGGCACTTTTTTAACATATTTTATTTGGTAATTAGTAAATATTTACTTTAAAACAATATGTTTTATTTGATTGAAAAACCATATAAAATAGTTTTTTCATTAATAATCTTTTCTTAAAATGTTAATATTGTGACGTTTTTTACGTGTGATCTTCAAATTATTCGACAATTTAATCTAAAAACCGAATAATTTTATGAAATTTGAATGAATTTCATAAGAGAATAATATTTAAATTAAAAATATCATTTAAATTTAAAGGCGGGAATGAACTAAAATGGCGGTAACTGGGTGGTGCGTGTTTTCTTGTACCATGGTCTGTTCTATCTCGTTTCGCGCTTACTAAAAATCACTGGTTGCCCTTACCACTTTAAGACCTTTTTTAACCCGTAACCGGTACTGTGGTGTCTGGGAGACACTCATCAACGAACAAAGCGCTGTCACACCCTCGCCTTTTGTTTTAAAAATCTGTCGCTTCCAATACTTTTAAGTTGAGCAGTTATCAATATGCTCTCAGACTTTGAACAAGTTGGATTGTCAAACGGACAAATTATTACGAGTCAAAGTGTTGAGGTGTCTAGTAGACCACTGAGTACCATTTACGTAATTTTTATAAAACAATTAATTCCTTATGGATTCGCAACAAGGGCTTTCTAAAAGTGTCCAAAGTGATAAGAAAGGCTTCAAGGAAACTGTAATGTAGTGGTTTTATAAAATCGACAGCGATATAATAGATGACTGAAGTATACTACATAACCATTATAGTGATTATAATCACATAAATGTCGTTGAAGATAATCACAGCAGCGATTCAGGACTTGTCTGTGAAGAGTCTATAGAAAATAATTTTATAGGGTCAGATAAAGAAGAATTTGAAATTTTTTAAGAATTTGAAAAAAAAAACAAAAAAGTTACTATGGAAAAAATAGTTGTAAAAATCAGCTATAGTTTGAAGCAGTTATTTTTGCTGTTAAAAAAAGATATATTTGAATTTTTTTTGTTTATGTTATTTTTTAAGGTATATTCTTCGAAATAAAGATCGTTTTATTTTATTTGGTTTAATATTTTTTATAGTTTAATCACAAAGTTTGCACTACTGCACTTTATGTGCATGTTTTGATTAAAACCTATTTGTTTAAATTTTTCTTTTATGTAGGTATTATTTTTGGTGATATTCTAACTTTATATATAATTCCTTGTATCTCCAAAGCCTCAGATAAAAAAAAATAATATAAATTATAATTTTAAAAGGCAGGTGTCTCTCAGACCCCTTAGTACCGTTTATGTCCTGAAAGTCGTACCGTACCGGTTACGGGTTAAGGCTTTATTAGATTAGATTAGATTTGATTAGATTATTAAACTGTATAAACAGCACAAACCGGAAGCACACGAATTGTTCACAAGATAAAAATGGCCGCCGTTAAAGTCTGTGCAATTTTTAGAAAGCGCGAAACGAGATAGAACAGAACTACAATAATTATTAATACTGTTAAAAACAGTAGATGTCAGTACAAATTGAAAATCAGCCCCGCTAGTGGTGAAAAAAAGAAAACCCCATTACGCTTTCGTACTAATGTACACAAAAATGCAAAAATAAAAAAAATAAAAATCATGTTTAATTTATTATTATCAAAACCAACATTTAAATGAGAAAAGTACTTACCACTTCTTGTATTGAGGATGAAACATTATAAACCTGAACTTGCGACTTTAAATTCCTAATTTCGTCTTCATATTTATCTTCTAAATCCTTTAACTTCCTCTCGAACTCCACCTTCATAACGTCGGCCTTATTCTCATTCTCCTCGCTCAAAATTATTAACTCAGCATTATATTTATTGCGCAGATCCTTTGCGCAACTCACATCATACTTCAAGATTTCACTGATGGAACATTTGCTCAAATCGTCTCTCAGCAAATTTAAATCTTCCTCCTTCAAGTCGCAATTTTCGATGGTCTTCAGTATGCTTCGAAGGTCTTCCCTGAGCTTGTGGACGTCCTTTTCGGCAAGGGGTTTTCGGTCGGGGGGCGCGTCCCCCCCAGGGCCCGGCACTGCCCCAAAAAACACGTCCGAGCTCAGTTCGTTCTCCGAGCAGGAGCTACCCGACATTTTTCGGCTGTGTTGGGAGAATACTTCCTCGGAATAACTGGAAGAAATGTTAATAATGATTTTGATAATATGAAAACCTTTTTTACCAGTTAAACAAATATGGATAATAATGATCTTACCAAATAGGTTTTTCCTTATTAGATAAAGACCTGTTAATTGAAAAATTACATCAAATATAATAATAATTTTTAAACTTAGCGCCTTATGCAGAAACGTTGATTTATTTATATCAACTGATTTACGCATATCCACTGATTTAAGTTTAAACCAATTTGGCAACATAGCAAATTTTAAATGACAGTAAAGATTTGTAGGTTATCTTACATATACTATATATATATTATATATTATACACATAAATACATTTATAACTGACTAAACCTTATTATTGACAAAAAGGAGGATTGCGGCAATATAAAACAAACACAATTGGATTATGTTCGGAGTTTGCAATGTGTTCTGGATAAGTAAATTTCCATTAGAAGGAATGAAAAACGAAAATTCCGGCTTAAAGCCTCTGAAAAGAACAAAGAAATTTTGTTGAAGTTGGTGGAATTTTTATTTAAGTGTTGCTTGTAAAAGATTAATTAATTATATTATAATCATAATAATTATATTATAAGAGTAGTTATAGGAATACTAGACCTGTTTCTAAAAGGCAATGCTCTTTTACCTATTCTTACAGGTATAACCAATAACACCTTTTTAGGCATTTAGGCCAATGTTTTGAAAAATAAATGTAATGATGCCAAAGACATCGAAAGGAAAAAAAAGACATTTAAAATTTGTGACAAGAATATAAAAAAATTAAGAAACAAACTCTAGAGAATAACATATGTTAGTTAGCGCTTGATATACATAAATTATGGCTTCAGAATAAACTTTTTTAATAAATAGGAGGAAGCTATACTCAAAAATAGCATGTCCGAAAAAATTGTGCTAGAAAATGGGTGGGAGGTGGAGCCTGCCCCCCTGAACAAAATCCTGGCTAAACCCTTGCTAGAAATGGGGCAAGAATCCCTGCTTTTCTAAAAGGTTAAATTAAACCCAATGAAAAAAATTCGGCATACCTTATACACTTTGTTTTTTAAATATGTTATATTGAAAAATAAAGGTAGGTACACAAATTTTAAAAATTATTACTTTTATAAAGCAAATTTTAAAATTTAATTGTTGCAGTTCTAGTCCAGATTTTTTTACCCTGTGAATTTTATTTTAAAAATAAAAATATTGTTTCAGAGCATATTTTTAATTTTTTGTCAAATAAATATTACAAATGATACAAACAATTTGAACCAAAAATATAAAAGCATAGTTTCATACACTGTGCCTGTTTTTGCTTTGTAGCAAAAACATTTGCTTTTACCTACAGGGTGTATTTTTTATTTTCCTATAAAATGCCTTAAACTTGTATTACTGACAAAAACTGTTAATAATTGTATATGTATATTTAATTTGAAATAACCATATTGCCCCTTTGTCCCTCCATTTCATTTTATTTTATGTTTAATAGTATATTTCTGGGCCCAAAAATAAATAGAGCGTAAATTTCCTCTCAGAAAAAAAGTCCCCTCTACCTTGTTGAGCCCTTTACCCAAAACCTACTGTTTCTTTTTCTAAGAACAAGCACATAATGTAAAAATTTAAAAGCAGAAAATAAGTTGAACATGGTATAAAATTTAAAATTCTTCAAGGGTATTTAAATATGACAAATATTTTTTAAACACAATTTTGCTTTTATTTTATAATCTTTATTATTTATTAAATAATACTTTTTTTTAATTATCAAGGTATTATATTAAAAAGTAAATTTAAAAAAAAATCAATAAATATTTTCAACGTTAGGGGTAATTATTTTACAATGAAACTAAAGAAAGTTATAAATCAATTGATTTAAAGTATTCAGCTTTTCAATCAGACAAAAAAAACACCAAAGATATTTGATATAATTAACATGGTAGTAATTTTATCTTTAAAAAAATGTTATTTTTTAATTATATCTTTGTTATAGGTATGATTACCTTCAGAATTTATTTTTTCCTATATATTTACAAACAAAAATACTGTCTATTTTGATTCATATTTTAAATCAGTCGTTAACGACTGATATAAATTATATCAACCGATTTACATTTTGGATGATTTCATTGGCCAAACAACAAATCTAGTAAACCATGAGTTATATTAGCGAAATTATTTTCTATAGTTAAAAGCAAATGTCAAATAAATCTTGATGAAATTTTAATTGTTTTATGCCTAATTTAAAATGTAAATGAATAGAAATCGACTTTTTTAGGGAAAATAAAAACGTTGAAAGATAATTACCCAATTTATTTTTATAAATCAACAGTTTTAAAAAAAATACTGCGTTGCCATGTCGTGCAACAACCTATATCCACTGATATGCTAAATCAGTTGATATAAATAAATCAAAGTTTCTGCATACGGCCCTATGTTAAATTTAAAGGTAAAAAAATATTATGTAGAATAAAATAAAAATCATACTTTTATCGTTAATTTAGGAACACTTTTAAATTGTAAAAACCTTATAAACTTTGCACTTTAAACTTGTATTGTAAATTATTTAAAACTTTTGTTGGCACTAACAAAACAATATTTTGGAGAAAGATATATGTGACAATTAAGAAATTAGGTCAAAAATTTGCCAAACTAATAACTTAAAATAAATCCTGAAAATAAATGAATATACGAGGTGTCCATACCAAATGATACCAAAGTTCGTTTTCGATTTTATTAAATAACTTTGGAAACAACAAATGTTTTTGTACAAAATTTGGTATTAGGGGGTTTTCAGGGCGGAAAATTAATAAAAAGAATATTGTAGGGTAGCTTGAAGAGGGTATGCGACAATTTGCTTAGGTGGAAATGGATATATCTTTTCTGTGCTTTTACGTTTTTGATAAAAAATTTAATAAATAATTATACTAATAAACCAAATTTAAAATTCATTATACTCACAGAATAAAAAACAACATAAATATTATCACAACTTTATAGCGTTATTTTTATTACCCATTTAAAATGTTTTTCTTTATATAATAAGTGGAATGATTTAAAAAATGAGATCCGACTTATTATATTAAACGTTTAAAGCGTTTATTTGTGTTCAGCGGAGTGTAGGTATTTTATAATAATTATTGTACAAAAATTGCAATTTAAGTAAGAAGTAACCCAAGCAGCATTTTAAGTTTAAATTACTATAATTTTTACGCTTAACCAAAACGGTTTTATAACGGTATATATACGAAAAATTACCAAATTTTGGGAATGGTTTATTTCGTTATTTTACTTACATAATAACCTTTTTGATCTACTAAGAGAATAACGTAATAAAAACAATATAAATACCAAAAATTTACGTAAAAATAACGCTATAATTACTAACTGTTTGCTGACATTCGTAATTTCTTTGTTCTTTTAATTTATATTTTACAAAATGGTACTTAGGAAGTAATAAAGGCCACCTAGAGTATAATTAAAAAATATAACTTAAATTGTCAAAACTAATAATATTTTGCATTAAAACTCAAATGCACATTATTTTATTGATAAAAATAGGCATGATACCTACATCTTAACAATTATATGCCCTCTAAATATTTTACGGCTTTAAGAAAAATTATTGCTTGGGTAAAAATTCAACAAAACTTAAAACCTACTAAATTTTATAAAATCTTTTAAAAATCATTTAGTTTTAATCATTATTTAATAACTAAAACTCTCCTTATTATATTTTAGTAAAAAACTTATGAAAACATATATAAATGTTTAGTTAAGTAATGGATGCCATCTTAAAAAACTCATTATGGCGACCTGAAAAAAATTATTCTTAAAGTTTATTTTTCCTTGTTTAGTCAATATTAATAGCATTTATTACCACTAATAACCCTAAAAAATACCAGGCAAATAGGAATTATTTATGGTTATAAATTGGTCTTAATATCATAAAAATTCTGTTAAATTTTCCTTTAGGTGAAATAATAATACTTTAAGTATTGAAACCTAAGGGTTATTAAAATAAAATAGGTAAAAATAAGATAAATAAAACTTTAAAAAAAGTTTTACTTCAAAGAAAATTTTTAATGTTAATTTAACAAAATTTTTACTTAAATTAAGTAATATTGCCTCAAAGCTCTACAATTTTACTTAAAATGCTGCTTGGAACACTGTTAACAAAATATGTTTTGTTTATTTATTTTTTCTTATATTAATAAGCAAAAAATTGTACTTACTTTTTTTCTAAATCACAGCATTTTTTCTCAAAGTACGTTCTCAATTCCTCCACTTCCTTGGAGTATTTAGCCTCTAGTTCATTCCTTAATTCCATTATTTCAGTGGAACCGCATTTAATGTTTGCCAACATATCTCTTAACCTTTTTATTTCACTTTCATATTCTTCCTTTTCTGATAACATTGCCGACTAAAAAATGCAAACATTTTATAAAGTAATAAAAATGTACTGTAAATCAAATATATTTACTTTTATATTTTCGATTTCCTTCTCATTGGCGATTTTTTTCTCTTCTAATTGTTGTTCAATGAATTTGTCAACATTGCATTTAATATCTTTAAATAAACTTAGCTGCTCATTGTTTAAGCTGCTTTCAATACTTTTGTAGTTTATGGAACTAAAGGGTTGAGCAATTTGCTGTAATAATAATATATACAAAATACTAACAAAGGAAGTCGTTAAAAAATACTTACTTTTTGACTAGAATCGGCATCGTCCTCGTTAATTTCAGTCTTTTTGTTATTGCTACATTGGTGACTTTTGACCATTTCGGTGGTCACCTCAAGCTGACCTTGCAATTGAGCAATTTCATCCTTAAAACTATCGATTTGAGCTAGCAGTAACTTTCTCTCTAATACTGATTGATCCAGAGACTCACTGAGCTGCTGAATCAGGTCGTTTTTGTACAAAATTGCGTCGTTGTATTCGAGGAGCTGGAACCACACGATTTTTTAATTTTTTGAGAACGGCTATTTCTTTACAATTTTTAAATGCCATTTTAATAGACTTGTAATTACGCGACTTTTGTCTTATTTAACCGACATTGTGGGTCTTTAAATAAAACAGATATTACATCAGAAATTCTAATTTCTAAAACAATTTCTTTTTTATACAGACTTTACTGAGAAAATACTTGATTTTTTTATCAACAGTATTTTTTAATGTTTTTTTTTTACTAAAATATGTATAGAATTAAAAAAAAAACATAAAACCCACAAAAGCTCAGTGGGTTGGATTTTATATAAGAAACCTGTTTTTTTCCACCCTGGTTTAAAATCAAGCAAAAACTTTTATTAAGAACGAAATTACTATATAAAATATTTGTTCCTCTTTGTAACACCATTATATGATGTTATGTATTATATTTTGTAGAAATTTTTTTAACTTTATTTTTTAAGAATTTGTCATTATATGTTTTTTTCAGCGTATAACAATTTTTATATCATAGCACTCACAATCTCACTAACAGTCAGATTATTATACACCGCCATACAATAATGAAAGTACATTGAAATTACATAAAAAATAGTAGTTCCATCTATCGCATTTACCACAAAATCAGTGCAGGTAACTGTAAAATTGCAGGTCACTGTAGAATAAATTCAAGCACATAACCTATAATGTCAACTGTCAATTAAAAAAAAAAACAATAAAACCCACAAATGCCCAGTGGGTTGGGTTTTATATAAGAAACCTGTTTTTTCCAACCCTGGTTTAAAATCAAGCAAACAATTTTCTGAGAAATGTAAAATATTTCTTCCTCTTTGTAACCCCATTATAAGATTATATAATATGTTATGTAGGTAGTATATTTTTTGACATTTTTTAACTTTATTTTTTAAGAATTTGGCATTATTTGTTTTTTTTCAGTGTATCTTAATTTTTATATTATAGCACTCCCAATCCGCCATAAAATAATGAAAATACATTGAAATTACATAAAAAATAGTAGTTCCATCTATCGCATTTACCACAAAATCAGTGTAGGTAACTGTAAAATTGCAGGTCACTGTAGAATAAATTCAAGCACATAACCTATAATGTCAACTGTCAATTAAAAAAAAAAAACAATAAAACCCACAAATGCCCAGTGGGTTGGGTTTTATATAAGAAACCTGTTTTTTCCAACCCTGGTTTAAAATCAAGCAAACAATTTTCTGAGAAATGTAAAATATTTCTTCCTCTTTGTAACCCCATTATAAGATTATATAATATGTTATGTAGGTAGTATATTTTTTGACATTTTTTAACTTTATTTTTTAAGAATTTGGCATTATTTGTTTTTTTTCAGTGTATCTTAATTTTTATATTATAGCACTCCCAATCCGCCATAAAATAATGAAAATACATTGAAATTACATAAAAAATAGTATTTCCATCTATCGCATTTAGCACAAAATCAGTGTACTGTCTGTCCACTCTAAGTTGGCTGAACTAAGGAATTTTGTTGTTTAGATATTAATGAATTGTCGTACTGTGTGCTTTTAAAACAGATTTTATATTATAAATAATACTAGTATATAATATGTACTAGTATTATTTATAATATAAAATCTGTTTTAAAAGCACACAGTACGACAATTCTTTAATATCTAAACTACAAAATTCCTTAGTTCCGCCAACTTAGAGTGGACAGACAGTAGGTAACTGTAAAATTACAGGTCACTGTAGAATAAATTCAAGCACATAACCAATAAAGTCAACTGTCAATTTTAAAAAACTATAACACCCACAAAAGCCTAGTGGGTTGGGTTTTATATAAGAAACCTGTTTTTTTTTCAACCCTGGTTTAAAATCAAGCAAAAACTTTTATTAAAAATGAAATTTTCTGTGAAATGTAAAATATTTTTTCCTCTTTGTTACCCCATTATAAGATAACATAATATGTTAGGTATTATATTTTTTAGACATTTTTTTTAACTTTATTTTTTAAGAATTTGGCATTATTTTTATAGCACTCACAATTTCAACAGTCAAATTATTATACACCGGAGTACAATAATGAAAATACATTAAAATAACACAAAAAATAGTAGTTCCATCTATCGCATTTAGGTCAAAATCAGCGTATGTAACTGTAAAATTACAGGTGACTGTAGAATAAATTCAAGAACATTACGTCAACTGTAGTGTTGCAAACAAGGAAAAGTTCGGTCGAAAAGTTGGAAAAGTTATTAGGTGGGAGCCAATGAACAATGAGTTGACTTCTAACCAGTGTTTCCACTACCATAAATTTTTTTCTGTAGATAATTTGGTCAAAATTCGATATAAATCGCTAGATTTGAAGTGTTTTTAGTAAAACGTGCTAAAATCATTTTTTTTTTAATAACATTCTGTCAAACTTTATAAAAAATGGTGTCTGCTAACAGCATATATGTATAAAGATTGTTTTATTATAACGTATTTTAGTTGCTAAAATTTCCCCAATAAGAATATTTGGGTCACGTATTTTGAATTATATCGTCATAATAAGATAAATATTTAAAATTGAAAAAAAACAAGGAATAAACTCATTAATAAAAAAATAAACTAAAATGTACCGAAGTGAAAATCGGTAGAAAATAAGGTATTTTTGGTAATTTTTAACAACAATAAATTTAATAATTTTTGCTCCATATTTTTTTGTAATTATTTTTTATTTCATAAGTGTTTTTTTATGGTGTGTATAAATTTCTATTATTTTTTACTTAAAAAATATGATTTTTTTAACTCAAACCTATTTTTGTTGTGATTATGTTGTCTGTTCATTTTATTTTGTTTGTTATTTTTTTTTGTTATAAAACAACTTGTTATGTATGTATAAATACATAAGAAATAAATTATTTTAATACATTGACAAGCATTATTTATGTTTTATACGTTTACATTACAAAAAACTCAACTTTTCCATCTTTTCCATCTTTTCCAAAAAATAAAAACCAACTTTTCAAAAATTTCAACTTTTCATGAAAAGTTGCAACCCTAGTCAACTGTCAATATTATCTACCAATGACAAAATATTGCAAATTCAAGGTATCCAATCTAAGTACAGAATTATTATTAAACACTTAATGTGATTTATTAATAAAAAACAAAAAAAAAAAAATTCCTACCTTATTTTGACACTCTTCCTGCAATTGCTTATATTCAGTTGTGGAAATTATGCTCATTGTATTGGTATTGCTCATCTCCCTATAAGAATCCAACTCGCTCGTTAAGGCTTGTATTGCTGTATCCTTGACGTTCAAAATCTCCTCAAACTCCTTTATTCTCTTAACAACATCCCCATAATTATCACCACCTTTATTTCTCTCGTTCAAATCACTCAAATCCCCTTGCCGGAACAAACTTAAACTTTTATCGTCCAAATCGAGATTGGCGAATATATTCAAACTCTCTTCTTGGGAGTTATTGGAAAGAGTGTTTGAGGCAGACTTAAAGTCAGGATTGTTTAATATTTCGTTTAAAACACTTTCAACGTTCTCATCAGCACTGTTTTTAAAGTTCACACTCACGCTGCGTTCACTGTTATTCAAGGAAAAGGGGTTTGACGTTTGTGATAGTCGAACATCATCATTTAAAGTTAGGTTTAAGAAACTCTGGTTGTTTACTTCAATCTCCTGAAAGCTCCGATCGTTTTCAATGTGCTCGGAAATGCTGAGGGACAAAGAAAGCGAAGAATCCGTGCTATTTAAAGTTTCTACATCCACTTTTGATTCGGGGTTTTGGGACTAAAATAAACTTGGTTATAAATAGACTTAAAAAACGTTGGATTTACTATACCTTTTGTACCGCATTTTCAGGGCTGTCCTCTTCCATTTTGGTGGGTTTTCAATCAAATTCACATACACAATTACTAGTTTTTCCTAAAATAAATCGTTATTTCACTGTTTGCAAACATATCCGTGTCAAAAACGTATAAATTTGACATTTTTGAATATTGTCGGTAACACAGAAATCTAGAAACTTCTAGTCGGTGACCCAACATCGATCCCGACTTCTCACGAGCTGGCACGAACCGCCTTATAACGTGACGTCATAATAATAATCCGGTTTTGTTCCCCGAACATACAAAATTTGTTGTCAAGCTAGATAGCTTAGATGGTAGGGCGTTTGCTTTGCATGCGAGAGGTCCCGGGTTCGATACTCAGAAGTTGTCGATTTTTTTTTACCTTTTTATTTCATAAATTTGTTGTTCCTTTGTTAAAAAGTGTTTTATTTTTATCGTAACATAAATTTGCCCATTTTAGTTGGGTTTTTTGCTCAATGGGGCGGGGGGGGGCCAATGGGGCGGGGTCGGTTGGGTTGTGTTGTTGAGTTTGGGTTGGTTTGGTTTTATTACGTAACTAACGTGCCCTTAACATGTATACAGGTACAATTTATTATTATATTATTGTTGTGCCGTCAATTTTAAATGATAATGATGCATTGTATAATATATAATAAATTCTTTGTCCAGTCGGGATCGATGTTGGGGCACCGGCTAGAAGTTAGTCAGAAATCTACATGCATTTTTTAAAACACTTCGTTATTTGCACAAAAACACCAAATTTACGAGCGCGATCGCGCTAATAAAAAAATATTTTATTGTGGTTTTTATTATATATTTTAATACCAAACGTTCAATATTGCTTTTGGTTCGGAAATTTAAATAAATTGTTGATTCCTTTAAACAAACGTAAGTAGATGGCGCCACAACCGCCATCTTTAATTATTTTTGCCATGCGCGATTCAAAACGTTGCTGTGTAAAATTTAAGTTCAAAAGTGTTAAAAGTAAGAAAATACCGAGTAACAACTACTGGTAAGTTGAATTCAAGGCATTTTGAAACCCATGGATTTGTTTTTCACTAATAATTTGTTTTGCGTTGATTTTTCAACCGCGGTTTACAAGCTTTGCTTCTCCTAAATAACAATAATTGTTATTCCTTTATAAGAGCCACATCCTGTGTAATAAGAGCCATTGATAATTTTTAATTGATAAATAATGAAAAAAATTGTGACAATTGTTGCCATGGCAACCATTGCTAACAAGCTAAAACTTGACCAATGCAATGTTGCCATGGAAATCACGATATTCTAAAGTAAATTGTTTTTTTTAATTTACAATTGTAAAAACACAATTTTAAGGCTTTAAATAATCAAAGTAGGTACGTATTTTTTCAATACCTAATTATGTTTTTTTTTTAATTTCCAAAGCTTAAAAATTATTAAATTATGCATTTTTATTGCTATTGTTGCCATGGCAACCAATAAGTATTTTTTATCGTTGTCATGGCAACCATTGTTCACAAGCTAAAACTTGATCAATACAACGTTGCCGTTCGAATATTCGTGGATATCACAATGGGGTAGTTAAATTTTTTCTGACCTATACTTTTTATGGTTTTATTCAAGGCGTTTTGTAATTTTAAACATCTTTGTGAAATCGGAATTTTAATTAAGTTTACCGTTTTCGAGATATTTACAAAAAAAAGTCTCCTAATTACGTCACTAGGCTATTGACAACGTTGCCAGCTTTTTCTATGGTGTTTAGTTTAAGATTCTTACGATAGATGGCGCCACGTTATAATATTTTAGTTTTAAAACTACTTGATCTAAAATTTTAATTTAGATTCAGGGCTGGATGCTCCCGTGTACGAGTTTTGGTTCGTCCCGCGCATGACGTCACTTGATGAGTAGTTGCCGTGCGAATACACGAATAATACATATTATCAAAGAAAATAGAGAAATATCTGGACATAGTGCGTTTTTATTAAACTTAATATTGAAGAAAGTGTTATAATATGGATAATAAATGCTTTCAGTCCTTGATAACATTTAGGGCTGTAGTTTAAGCGTTGGTGTTTTAAATTAAACTTATAGTCACTGTCCAGAAAATGTTTATAGGAAACAGAAGCGGTCTTAACGTAAATATTGTCTATTATTTTTGTGGCATTTAAACACTGTTTCCACAAATCAAACTTTTTCGGGAATCGACTAAATTTAATGTTTTTATTTAAAGGGTTTTTCTTGGACTGGTTGTCCAAATTGCATCCAAATATGCCACACCGCATTTTAATAAATGCAAATGGCACTATACAATCTAAAACACAAACAAAACAAGTTAACGCAACACAAAAACAATAATAAACAAACCTAACAGGTTAACTTAACGCAATAACAATAATTTGAACGCTGAAAGTAATTCGAACCTTACCGAACACAAAAACGACAAGTTAAACAAAAAGTAGAGCAAGTTAACATCCAAAAGCATCGCAAAAACAAGAATTTTAGCAGTAGATAATTAAAAAGCACGTTAAAGATTTAAAAACACTCATCAAAAAGTAGAGCAAGTTAACATCCAAAAGCATCGCAAAAACAAGAATTTTAGCAGTAGATAATTAAAAAGCACGTTAAAGATTTAAAAACACTCATCAAGTGACGTCATTAAGCCCCGCCCAACATGCGCACCATCCTATCTTAAGGTGTATGTATCTTGATTTAGATTACTGAAAATCAATGTTATTGTTATGTTATTTGTAATTGATATTAGATAAGTGATTTATTAATAACGGACTCCAAAGCAGAGGAATCTTGTGGAATGGTTGGTTACATTGAACATTGGCGCTTTTAAACAAATAAAGTAAATACCTATAATTATAATCATATTTTGTCGTAAATGCATTTCATTAGTATAATGCCTAGTTCTTTATATTCTTTTAGATATATCTTGGACTCAAAAATATCAAACAGTAATATGATACCTCGTAATAAGGAAAATAGGTACTTAATGAATTTGGTGACCATCTTTCACTCAACTGACAGTGACAGTATTTGTACATAACCTCTTCGGGTATTTTCTGACATAACCGAATGAAATCATTAACAAGACAACTTGACAACAGGGTAATTTTCAACCAATAGAAATCTTAGAATGTTGGTCACATGGCGAGGTTTGTGACGTCATAAAAATGTATATTTTTTGTAAATATCTCGAAAACGGTAAACTCATTTGAAATTCTGATTTCACAGAAATGTTTAATATTACAAAACGCCTTGAATAAAACCATAAAAAGTATAGGTCAGAAAAAATTTAACTACCCCATTGTCTTCAGATAAATGCGTTTTTTTTTAAATAATCAGGCTTAAAAATAATGAAACGTATTATTTATAGATTTTTATTTCTATTCTACACATTTATATAAAAAATAAAGATTACGAAAAAACGGGTAAATATTCAAAATAAGACATTGTCAGTCATTCAGTCTTTTAATTAACAGATTTTTGATAATTATTAACAATTAAAAAAAATAATTATAGCAAAATAGTCAGACTCGAAAATTTGTACATAATAAATTAACAATAAAATATAATGGAATGATTTTTTAACACTGAATATTTTAAATGATAAACAAATTCACGTATTCTAGCGATATTTGATATGTCAGAAAACTTCAGACTTTGTTATTTTTAAGCAAATAATAATACAAACACCAAATTTAACGTTAACAAGATGTAAATTACATCAAATATGTTTATTTAAAGCAAGCCATCATTCTCATTATCAGAATAATCTGACTGTTCGGTGACAATAATCCTTGGCATGTTCAAGCTGTTCTTTATTTCCGTCTCGTTCCTAGCGATTTCCATCTTCTTGCAGAACTCCTCGTATATTTCGCTTTGCCGCATGATTTTTTTGTCTTTGTCGAACAAACTCAAAAAGGCCTCCATCTCCTCCGGAAGACTGTACGCCTGGCAACCGCGCAGAATCTCGGGGATCTCCCTGGTGGAGTAAACCATGCTTGCCACCGCGACGACCTTATCGGTCTGCGGTCTTCTCAGTTCGTCTTTGATGAACTCGTGCGTCATGAAGTCCATCTCGCAGTTGGGGGTGTCGTACGACGGCGGGGGCACGTAAACGATGTGCGAGGCGTACAAAACGACGTCGCTGCATATTTTTTCGTTCTCGTGCGTGTTCTTGAACGCTTCGAGGATTACTTCGCGCCCGGTCAGCTCCTGCAGGATTTTGGCTAGCGCCTCGATTACGGCGCAGTGCAAATCCGAGGACGGTTTGAAGATGAACACTATTTTTTCCGTTCCCAGGAGTAGGTCGTCTAAAAGCACCACGTTTATTTTATTGAAAATAAAACGATTATACAGAACTTGCGCCACAGAGTAAAAGGGAACGTGCCGAAAGTTATGCGAAACACATACTTAAAAATTAAAATTATCTAACGCAAAGGATAAGCGAGATAAGAATAAAAAACGATAGCCAATCCCAATACATAGCCATAGGGAATTCTTTAATTGCTTGGATACTTTGAAGAAAATTCCCGACACTTTCTGGAGGATTGCAAAATTATATAACACATTACCATTGAGTCAATGACATTACCCTTTTGCCAAATTTTATTAAGAACAAAATAAAAAAAATGTTTATATGAATGTATATCTAATGCATTGCATGCTGACATAAAAAACAATTGCAAAAGCAAAAAACCAAAAATGAAAAAAAGTGTTATTCCCGTAATTTAAAATTGTAAAGATTGTAACTAGGAATCTACAATAATGGCATGGCATGTTATAACATAAACATTCAATGTACTGCATTGAGCATGGTCTTTTTTTACGCTATTTTGTAATAATTCCAAATATAAAATTTTTCTCTTGGCATTGTAAATAAACGACAAAAACGTTAAATTGATTTTAAATTTCTTTATTGTTTTTATTTTGTTTACCTTTTAAAAGGTTTTTATGCAAAGGGTTTTTGCAAACGATTTATGAATTGTGATGATGAAACTAATCATAGAAAATAACTAATTCTATACTTCTTCTTGGACTGTAAAGTTGTTCTGCGTTGTAACGAAATTGAAGGTGTTCCTTAACGTATTAGAATAGCGGAAAATAAAGAATCTATTTCATCAATGCCTTTGATGCAAATAGTAGGAAGAGCATAAGGGAAGTTGCACGCGAATTTTCCGTTCACAGTTCAGCGGGATATGAAGGAAGATAATCCCGCTAGAGTTGAATTCTGTAGTGGTTGCTAGAGATTTCGGCTCTGGGGTACAGAACTAGTTGTTTAATTTTTACTTTAAAACATTGGCGTCCTGAAGTATGATATTCCTTTTCGAATGGTTAGTAAACACAGTCGGACAAAGGATTTTTAAAAGTTTTAAGACAACAATGTTCCATCATCTAGCAATTTTTTAATCTCCTATGTTTAACCTAGGCGAGAGCTTTCGGTATTGGCTGCCGCTTTTTTGCTTTCATGTGATTACACTATTACCTAGAAATTTTTTATTTTTAAATTTGTAATCTCCATAGCTATCACCACGTCCCCTTTTTATGTGTGGCGTGAGTTCTGGGACATTAGGATCTTTTAAATAAAACATAGCTAACTAACTAAGTACTTAGTACACCATGTAAATGCTTACCATTGTTTTTGTATTTTCTATTGAAAAAATGGAAGATAAACAAAACAAACGGTATTATAAAGCTAGCTCCAACAATTCCAATCACGATTGGGGTGCCCTTTCTTACTAAAAATAAAATTTACAATAACATTCAGCAAATAATGGGCCCAAAAATTATATATTTTCAAACATGTGCCAAGTGCTCACCAACAACAACTTTTGGCGTGTAAGTCTTGAAACAAGACCCTTCCAGACATTTATCGCTTATAACGCTCAGCACGAACTGATAGAGACCCTCCTCGTTATACGTGGAGTAGTGATAGGACGTGTCCTCGTCTTCTGTCCCTTTAAACAACCTTATGTCGACCATTTCCCGTTCGTTGCCGCGTTCCCGATAAACTTCCACTTTGTATTGTGCGACGTTGTACGATTGTGGAAGATGTTGAAATGTGAGAATCAACGCGTTGTTTTCCGACGCGTCTACGTATGAGAATATCGAGGTGTTTTCTATGGGGACGTGTGGGCCTAAAAATTAACTTAGTGATGTAACATTTTCTTCTATCAAAAAATTACCAAAATGTTTTAACGGCGGAATACTAAAAACGTATTTCTTCTTGACTATATCCTGTTTACTTTCAGCCTTATACTCCAATGTATAAGCATCGGAATCCAAATTTGCACCCCTCCAAAAGCAACTATCATGCACCTCATTTTTTAATGGCTTCTCAACATTTGAAGGAATAGAATACATTTTGCAAAAATATTTGGAGTGATCATGATGGTCTGATAACTTCAAATAACATTCTAAAAGAAAATGTTTACATTGGTATTTGTTCAACAGTTGAAGACCTACTGTTCCAGTTGACATCCTTAAAATGTATGTCCACATCAAATGTCCCATTTTTGAGCAGATTTAAGTGTATGCCACCCATGCAGTGTTTAATTTTTGCGGTGGCAAAATTAATAGATGGGCATTCATTGTAACGCAAAACGGACGTTTTTAAATTGCATTCTTCATTATTTTTATCAACCTAAAAAAATAGATTTACTAACAATAACAACAATAGCAGTTGTTGATTGTTGATATTGACATTTTATAATATATTATGTAACGAGACTATAATATATTTTTCTACTCCTATTGCATATTATTGACATTATTTGTTTTTTTTTCGTAAATAATGGTAACCAATATAACTGCCCGGCCTAACAAGTGAATAATGAACTCATTACCCAGATAGCACACAAAGTCTTGAAGATGTCTTTTGTATGTCTGACAGACATACAAAAGACATCTTCTGACATTGTCTGTATTATACCTGAACGTCTGAAGATCTATCAAAAGACGTCTTAAAGATATCTTCATTTAATGTTCTAAAGACATCTTATAAATGCCTGATACCACCGTTTATTTTTTTTAAATTTTTTGATAAAAGTCAAAATCGAAATTATATCCCATAATCAGCGACTTCATAGTAGATATAATTAGGTACCATCTTATTTTGGTGTAATAGAAAAAACATTAATAAAGAATTTTGAGTTTGACAACGATTATTTTTCCTACAATTAATATCCATTCGTAATAAAAACATTATAAACAAACGTTTTTTAAAAATCAAGTATTAAGACAAAATAACCTTAAAATAACCCAGCGAAAGTTTTTAAATCAAATTACCCTCACATTTCCCATAATGCAATGAAATCATCAAATCGGCACCATCTTACAAGTCACCTGATCACACACTGAGAAAAAAATGGGACAAATAAACTGTGTAGCTAATACTTTTATTAATAGTGAATATATTGTTTATTACCTCTAAATAGTCGAAATAATAAAGATAAATATACTTTAGTAAAACTTTATGTGTCGGGAATAAAAATATATTTAGGATAAATAAACTGTACCCTTGTCCCATATTTAAATATTTTTTTTATTTTGGAGCAATAAACTTTTTTCTCAGTGCAGTCACAGTGATTCTTATGCTGTTCTTTTCTATTTCACCAAGCGCTGATATGTCTGCCTCTTTTTAATTCTTAAATAACTCGAAACTAAATGCAGATTGCAGACATCCGACGCCATTTTTGCTTCTTGTAAGTATGTTAAATTTGGGTGAATGCTATTACTAATCGTGGCGACGTTCAACAATTCAAGTGTAGTGTGCAGTGATGGTTTTCGATTTTTTTGTGAATTTGGTGTCGTTTTTGTGGTGTTTTTCGAGAAAATAATTGATAGCCCGAGGGATACCCTGGTCTCTGACCCTGATACCCACCTATAATATACTCAAGAAGGGCTTTAGACAGAAGGGATCTACTTGCCAAGAAGTTTTGACTCTATTGATTTGAATTAATAGGCAGAAATAAATATATAACAATTTAATTTTTTTTTATTTTAGAAGTTTTAGACGTTTTAAATAGGCAGTCTTTTACATCTTAAAGACGTCTTAACGACGTTTAACAACGACTTAATAATGCCGTTAAAAGGACATCTTAAAGAGGCTGTTTTGTAACATTAGATATCTTAAAGATGACTTACGTCGTAAACTGGACTGGGTATTCACGTTGTTAGGCATTAGTGATTGGCTGATTTCAATATTCACTGTTATTTGAACCAATCGGGTTTTGAATTGGAAAAAAGTAAGGTTAACATATGTCAGATTTGTTTATATATACGAGGGGCGACTATAATGATCTTTAAAATCGGTAAAAAGAGAGGTTATACCACAGACCTAGGTCTGTGGGTTATACTAAATTTGGTTATCAATAAAAATACTTAATTGGAGTAGAAAAAGCATAGTATTACACTCGAAATATTGCGCATTATTTACTCGGATGATTAACGTCTCTCGCCTGACAGCTCAGGATGCAAACCTCATCCTTGTGAATAATAGCAGCTTTATTTTGAAGATTTCATGGCATTAAATGCCAAGTTGTCAAATTTTGACAACTTATTTTATTTTTAATCATTACTTTTTAGCAATTTAACTAGACATGATCAAACACTAGAGTATCCAAAACATAAAACCAGTCTATATGAGAGCTCACCAAGATACATACACCTTGAACCAACCCTCATACTCATGAGTACCTGCAGGTATAAAATTATGTAATAAATTGCACGAAAGTATAATAAGTATTAATATTTACTTGGATTTTAAAAGAGAGTGAAAATATATCTATTCTTTAATTGTTTTTATTCTGTGTCTGACTATCTGCAAGCTGTTTGACAAATGTATGTATCTAACTTTATATAATTTATGTAATATGTTATGTTTTTAACTAATATTATACATATTTATCTATGTATTGAATACTTATTACTTATACCTACTGTTTTTTATCTGACTTCTCCTTATACAATGTAGGTATTTTGCTTTTTTTGTGGACTGATAAATTTATATTATTATTATTATAAATTTATAAATAATAATGCCGCTGACTAAAAAGACCGAAACCAACTGTTGATAACTTCAGCCCGTGACTAAAACGCCATAAAGTCACAGCTTTTCAACGTTGGAGTAAAAAAATATAGGTATAAAAAATAACAAATTTTAAAGTAAAAAATACTTACCTGATTTGCGCAAAAGTTCTGCTTATCATCGCAAACATTGAAACCCAAAACCGGAATAATCAAATTTAAAACACAAAACAACTTCAAAATCATACTTTCAACATGTGATACGTAAATTCGATGTAAAATTGTTACATATTTAAAAAATCGAACTTTATAACTTAATAATTGTAAAATTCGCACAAAAATTGCAAACTTTTCAAACGCTTTTAACTTTAATGACGGCTTTTATTATTATTGTTTATTAACAAATCCACCGTATGGAGCAGATTGTTTTGACAGAAACACGCAGTGTTGCCAGAGTGCACTCATGAAAATGCGTTCCAGAGTTTTTATACTGGTTTTATCTAAAATATATAGATTTTATTGAATTGTATTTTGTTATAATAATAATATAATAAGTATAATACGCGTTGGCTGTTTATTTTGTCTTATTTCTAAATAATTGGCAATACATTTAAAGAGGTTAAAGGAGTGTTTGGCAACATCGCAATAACGTGTTTTCCATAGATTAAAAAATGCATGGGATAAAAAATGCAAGGATACAAAAATCGTTACTCAATAAATAAATTTATTTTGCGTTTAAATGAAAATGGCAGCACATTTAACTAAATTTAACTAAATTCGGTAACTACAAAATTATACAAAAAAAATGATGGTAAAAATAATGATTTTAAAAGCTATACAATACAAAAAATCGGTATCAGTCAATCTAAAATTAACTTAACTTAGTTGCTATTTAGGGCAGGTCCATATCGGGGATTTTGCAAATAAATTGATAGGGACCTGTATTATTATAAAAAATATTGTAATTACTTGTATAATTATTTTATAACACTCCATTTTATAAGAAAATACCCGGTTTTACGTATCTAGTAATGGGTTATTTTTTATTCTATTTTTTTGTTAAAATTTTGGAGCATTTAATATTTGGCACATTGTTTTTTTACTAAATAATTTGCCTAGGGATTTCAAAAATTGTTTTGAAAAATGCCACTACTACCACTACACTAATATTTTTGACGCATATAATTTGAGTTAAGTTTAAAAAAAATTATAAAAGACAAAAATCATTAAAATATTTTATCTTAACTCAAAAAAGCGTTTAAGATATACCTTTGGTTTATTTTATTTTTTAACAATTCTCATGGTATATCTTCGGGTAGGAACTTCTTTTTACATTAATACATTCTACATACATTTAGCGGATCTATAAAAAAATCTAAAATGGAGTATTCGGGTCGCATCGACACACGCAGCAAGACGGGAAGAGGAACCAATCCATGAAAATGCCCTTGCAATCGTTATCTGGATCGTACGCCAGTAGTCGATGCCATTTGTATTTCTGCTCGCATCCGCAATCGCCGGCGCAGCGTTTCGTGGAACTTTTCCTGAAAAAATATTTTTTTAATATAAAATGCGATTTTTTTATTTCGGGCTCCTAATTTTTCGAGTGCGGCCCTATTTCTTCGAGTACGGCCCTGAAGAAATTTCAAATTTAATTTTGGGGCCTGAACTTTTTAAGCCGGTCCTGTGCTATTTTTCTATTGATTTGTTGTTTTTTTTTCGTTGTTATTAATATTTTTTACTTACGAGCAAACTTCTTGATGAATGGCTTGCTCAAAATGTTGAGTATTAACAATGGCTCTAATTTTTCCAGCTGAGTTTGAGGCCCAATACGGCGTTTTTATTTCCATCTTGCTATCACAAGCATCGACTCTAAAAAATAAAAAAAAACGTAGGAAGAATGTCAATAAAATATTACAAACATTTTTTTTTACCTTCCAGTCTCCTGATAATGGTTGCTCTGATTGCTCCGGAAGTTCCGCGCGCTCCTGAGCTTCTCCGTGGGCGACTCCGGGTCGAAGTGCAGGTCCGGCACTCCGGGTTTCGTCGCCCGTTTGTACTTTCTCGACGGCGTTTCCGGGCCCGGACCGGACGGATACGGCCCTGGCGGCGGTATCATGTCGAACTCTCCGTACATCCGCTTCATCAACGCCTTGTTCTCGTCTATGAACAGTTCTATTCTATCTCTGGAAAAATGTTCGTTTTGTTAGTTTTGGATTTTAAGGAGCCAAGAGTTTTTAAGTACGGCCCTGCATAAATCTTTAAAGTGCTTTAAATATTCTAAGTACGGTCCTGTAAAGACGAAATACAGGCACCTTATTTTTTTTAGTACGATAATGAACTTTTACTTGTGTTTTTTAAACCCGAAGATTGTAGAAACTGTTTAGAAAAATTGCTAATTTTTTATGGCATACCTATATAGGTATACTTCCGCATCCGCTTCCGCAAAAATGTACTATTTATAGTAGGAATTAACTAGCGATGCAACGGAAGTCGCCATAAAAGAAGCAGAATAAATTATAATTTTAAATATTCTTACAATGGGTATGAGGGTCCGGGGGATGGACACATTAATTGTTGATTTTTTTTTACACATGGAACACCCCGTAGAATCTCGCCGCTTCGTTCGTAGCCCAAAGCTACTGATAGTGCTGTCCAAAGGATCTAAAAAAATAAAATAAAGTTATATTTTTATTTTTACAATCCAATAATGATTTAAAATAATATTTTAATGTTTTTTTATATGCCATTTTGGATTTTATTAACAATTGTTAACTAATTAACAACAATGTATTGCATTCATATAATTGATTTGTTAAGAATGTCTAACGACCCATTTTCTTATAGCACACATACGTCCACTGGATATCCTTAGGACGTCAACCCAGGACATAGTGGACGTCCTACGGATATCCGAAGACCACGAATGGACGTCCGTAGGACTTCCAAAGTAGACACTTTTGGTTGTCCTTTGGCCGTCCTATAATGGTCTATTAAAGACTGTCCTAGGACCAAATTTGGCCATAATTTGGCTGACAGGAATAAAAACTAAAACACCTAAAATTTTTAACCAAACATTTTTATTCACCTATATTATAATTACAGCACAAATGTCCAGAGGACGTCCAAAGGATATCCCCTGGACGTCTCAGTGTCCAAATGACATCCATTGGACGTCCACTGCCGGTAAATTCGAAATTCAGACATTCCTTGCTTTGCGCTGACTTCAACTTGTCTGGTCCACCTACAATGTATTTTCCCTATGACATAGGCTATGTATAGCTTGCAAATGAAGGAACGGTATATGAGCTCATGAGCACCACATAAAAAAAATTCACGGTTAAATAGGAATAAAAGCTTTTTTAGATATTAAATAAATAAAAGCTTTTCTAGATAACAATAAAAATGATAACCTCACTTTGTAGTTTGGTTGTTGTAAAATTTTGATGTAGGGCTTTGGGAGGATAAAATAAAATTTAGAAAGTATAGAAAGAAATCCCTTGGAAAGTAAAAACAATAAAAATGTGTTTTTATAAAATATTTTTTTTAAATCCTTGTTTTCACGATTTGTTTACGTCCAATTATCAGTGCAACCGTAAATTTTGTTTGTGTGGTACAGTCTATTAGTCAAAACAAACCTAATCTAATTACTTACTTGAATTTATTCTATTACAAGTCTATAAACAGCCAATACCTAGTAGAAATCACAACACACACCGCCATAAACGCCATCACACAGCAAAAGAACGCCATTGCAACGGATTATGGGAAGCGTCGTCACGAACCCGTTCGGTTCTACCCGAAGAAGACCGATGTTTAAAATTTAAAACTATACGTTATAATAACGGTGTTTTTATACATTTAAACGTAATAGCGTTGAGTAAAGAAGTAGTGAACTTATTAATCAATGGTAATAGAATTTAATTGAATTTAAAAATGATGCAATAATGGATTTTACTACCTTTACGTGATAACAAGAAATTTTAAATTAAATATAAATGTATAAATCCCGACGAATAGTACGAATATGTATTATAAACTACCTATTCAATAATAAACTTAATTTTTTTGTAAATTAATCTTTCTTATAATAAGGCTAATCGATTTGATTGACTCTCTGTGACACCCTCAGGCTGTCCCACGAACATCCAAAGAAGGCAAAAGAGAAACCTCATAAAAATAGGTGGTTTATATAATTTGTACATGATATTTAATATTACCCACAATTTATTACATATCCGAAATTTCTTGAACGAAAAGTTTAGGCATGATAGCCCATGGTGCACCCACATAGTACAAGATGTCCAAAGGATGTCCAATGGACGTCATTTGGACATCCTGTGCTGTGTGAGCAGGACGTCCAAAATACGCCTAATCAGGCTAAGCCGAACAGGGTCTAGACTTGACGTTCTATGGATGTCCCAGACCCGTTCGGTCTGGCTAAGCCGAGAATTACCTAAATAGGACGTCTGTGGGTTATCTTGTGCTATCTGGGAGGTCATTAATAATTATTTAGTTTGCTGGAAATTCATCTTATTTTTTACATTATTTAAATCCAAATGAGATCAATGTCAACTATAATAATTTCATATTCTAAATTAATTTATAATTTTTATTATTCCAAACTTGTAGGCTCGAGGAACAATAAAAATATTGTTGTTATTGTCTGATTTTGTATTTTTTATACATTGTAGGTACATAAAGGGTGATTTTTTAAGTGTGTCCGAACTTCTGACAAGTGTCGCTGTCAAACAAACTGTCAATTTTCATGCATCTAGAATAGTATATTAAAGTACAAGTTGCAGAAGGCCACATATTCTCGCACGAATTCGAAATTTGGCCTCGAGCGACGAAGGAGCGAGTGGACGAACGAATGAGTGCGAGAATAGCCTTCTGCAACGTGTGATTTATACTATTTTCTCGATTTTAACTTTTATTTAGGTTTTTTTAATTGTTTTGTGGTCGTTGTTAGTTAGGGGATTTTTCTCGCAAAATGTCAGTTGGCAACACAAAATGACAATATTTGTTATCCTGCACAAGTACAACCTGAACTGCACTTTTACACATTAAACTTAAAATTTTGCATTAAAATGCATTGTTGGAGCAAACTTTATATTACAAAACAATAATAAAGGCTTCATTTTCAATAAAAGTAATGAATTTGAGGTTATTAATCAGTTTGACATTTTGGGGGTACCAATACTTAAAAACTAAATGTTACCAAAAATCGTTTAAGAATGAGCTTCATTCTTCAACGATTTTGCGTGCGAGAATATGACATTCTTACATAAAAATACTCAGTATAGTCTGACAAATCATCATGGAACGTTTAACGCTTACAAATTGTCGAAATTAACCATCAAAACCATTGTTTTGTGCGCCAAACTTATCGTGCTCTTCGTGAATTTTATGGTATACATACGCCCAATCGAGCGATGTATTTGCCGAATAATCAACAAATTTTGAAATAATTTCACGCTGTTAGATATTAAAATAAGGACAAGAACAAAAACAGTGCGAATCCAAGAAAATATCATCGCTGTTGCCGACAGTGATGAGAAAGACCCAAATTTGTCAATTCGTCGACGTTCGCAGAAAGTTGGGCTTTGTTATTGGACTACGTGGGAAATTTTGCGGAAATATCTTTATTTTCTTTGGGGTAATGTTAAATCTTTGGTATATGTAAATAAACCAGCAACTATTCAAGACTTGGAAGCTAACATAACTCGAAAAATTGCGTAAATAAGACCTAAATTAAATAAAGTGGTCGGAAATTGGATTAATAGAATTCGCTTTGTTACAAGTAGCCGCGGAGGACAATAATGTCATTGAATGTTATTTCATATAAAATAAATATTTTTAAGATATTAAATTTGGTTGTTATTTAATTTGAGTTTAAAGTTCGGACACTCTAAAAAAATCACCCTTTATAAGCATAGATAAAAGACCTGTTTTTAATATTAATGGGTTTTATTTTAGATAAAAATCTTTTATGACAATATATTGAAAAGTTTTATTTATGTCTTTATTAAAATAATTAAATTTAACAATTTAATTAATAATATACAAAAAGTCTCTTGTTAATCAAGCATTTGGTTGGGTGCACAAACCATAGTTAAGATTTGTTGGGTGTGGCTAGGGTTGCCAACCGTCCTATATTCAATAGGACAACCGTATATTTCACGCTTGTGTCCTATATTGTTCTATATGTCCTATATTGTCCTATATTTCATCAATTTGTCCTATATGTCCTATATCTCAAAAACTAGATTTGTAGAATTTAGGTATGCGTTTTTGAATACGCTTAGGAAAATTAAATTAAAATAAAAAAGACACTTTTGAAAAAATCCGATAGCTATGAAAATAGAGTATACAAAAGCATTTTAAAACCATTAACATGTAGTGGTCAATTAATTTGGGCCACAAAATTCTCTAATCAAAACGTTACGTTAAAGCATTTTGAGGGTCAAACTCGTTGACCACGATATTTGAATGTTTTAAAATGATTTTTTGTTCTCAACTCTATTTCGCCAACTTTGTTATTTAACTCGCTTGATTTCCACAGCGACGATATTATACGGGTGTCCAGAAAAAGCCCCACCTACGCCATACGACACTCTAGGGTGTTTATTTTAAGTATAAAAAACTACTTTTTTCCGACTAGTAGTTTTCGATTCATTAGGCATTTAAGTTTAAAAAACTCGACAACGCTGTTTTCCTAAGCCCATTTATGAGACATATAAAGGTGGTTATGGAAACAAAATTAATGCATTTACAGAGAGCTGAAATAATTTTTGAAGCAAACACCAGAAAATACATTTTTCAATCGTCAATTATCGATGATTGAAAAGTGTATTTTCTGATGTTTGCTTCAAAAAATGTATCCTAACTTTGTTTTGATTATAAATAAGCCTTGGTTATAATATTTTGGTTGGTTAAAATATAGTTTTCGCAAGGTTTTTTTTTTGTTTTTATAGAATTATATTAAAAATTAAGCACATATTTTAATATAATTCTAGAATACGATTTGGAGTTAAAATTTCATCGATTTAGTCGCCGCGGCTAATGGTTTCCGTTCCGACAAACCGATTTTTGACATTTGGAATTAATGACGCCAACCACAGATTATACAACGGAGAACATTCGCCGCGGCGACTATATTTATAAATAAACCTATTATTTATAACTAAAAAGTTAAAGAATATACCCCTTATTATAAATAATTTTTAACTTTTTCTTTTTGACACGCGTTAACAAAATTGTTTTTTACCCTTTTATATAAATAAACAATCTTAAAATATTTATAATTTTTAAACCCTCATAACTAAAAAACGAAAAAAAATTAAATTTATTTTATACTTAAAGTGATATGGCGTAGATCCGCCCTGTATATTTTTATGCCTTATAAATTATTTTATTTATTTGTTTTATGTTATTATATATTATGTTATTATATATTATGTTATTATATATGTTTATATTATTATTTTATGTTTTTGACTAAATAGTCTATTGTTTTTTTATAAAGAAATGAAATATGCTGTATTTTTAATTTATTAAATATATGTAAGGTACACAAATATTTATAAATATTTGTGTACCTTACTTGTTACTTGGAATCAACATAAAAATATAATTGAAAAATATTAGAAAAAAATTGAAAA